TGCCCGCTTCCTATATTTATCATTTTGGCAGTATTGTGTATTGACAAGTCTGGTGGATCTTTATAGGCCTCCCAAGGCCAACAGTGGTTGATATCTCAAAAAAAATGTGTATATCGATATTTTCTTTTTAGGCCCTGATGCCTAAAAAAACGTATGCCAAGCATTAAATATTTAATGTACGGACATTGTTCCGGATTCGAATTTGAGAAAAATATCGTTTTTGATACGATTTCGATTTCGGCATCTCTACTGTGTATTCAGTTTTTTGCTGCAGGCAAAGTAATAAAATGACGGACTTTCTTAGTGAAATGAACAAGTTTTAAATATTCTTTTCTCGAAAACTAAGCGACCGGTGAATAGTTTGAATGATATCCACGTTTCTAGCAGCTACATAGCCTTTAATTTGAAAGCGTATATTTTATTGTGGTTCTTTTTTCATCTGTACTGCCTTCTTTGGCCTCCCTTTTCTCGGAGTGCTGAACTTGATTGGAGTAGAAGGTGTATCAGTTCCGACTTCATTTAATATGTTGTTCAAAGTTCTTCTTGAAATTCCTGTGGCATCTGCAACTCGCTCTTGGACCTTATTAAAATAATTACGTACATTCTCATCCTCGTTTTTCTTAAATTTCTCCGCCTCGTTTATAAAATATTTATAAACGTTGTAGATAATTTCGCGTGACTGACCTTGTATAGGTTTTCCTTTTTTTCCTAAAGACGACATCGTAAAATTTAAAGTTGGGATTTTAAATTCTAAACTACTTGACGACCAAACTCACATTTGTACAACAATTTGTATAAGTAAGTAATAACCACCAATAACAAATAACAAACATCGAATGACACCTCATAGGTAGTGCATGACAGAGATAACGCTCTACGAAACCAAAATTAGCCGATTCTCTCTTTCTAAAGGTCGATGTGCCATATTTATCGCAGAGTATGCGAGTCAGACCAGACTTTTACTTAAATAACAAAGTTTCGAATCGAAAATAGGAGATTTTCTATTCGACCCGAATGACCCTATAAATAGTCGATTTCATTAAGAACGCATATTATATGAATAAAAATATGTTTACACTTTAAAAGAAGCAATTAATGTTGTCCTAGATATAAATTATAATATTCTAATGTTGTTCCATTTTTCTTTGAGGCAGGAACAAGTACTTTTTTTTTAAATAACGCATTACGATGTATTGACTATTGCTATTTATTGGTACAACTTTAGTTATTGATAATGATTTGTGTAGATCACGGAATACAGTATAATATTGGAAGTGCTATCGGGCATAACCCGAACACGGAACAGAGAAAACAAGTGGAAGTGTCTGGTGGCCGTAACCCGACGACGACAATTAAGCGAAAGTGTCACTAAGGGCAATATGAGTTCTGACGCGATTAGAGATGCCCGCGCTGTCACACATTTCCTCCTGATCATAAATCCTATTATAATGCCGTATTGCGTAATTTTACGACTGCAGACATAATTGCCGAAAAAAATGTCTCAAAAGGGAGCGTTTCACATGAAAAGCAAGTTTTAGTACATTTTACCAAAATGAAAAATTTTATATGAACAACAGTCTAATAATTCATTAAAGGGTTCTGCGTCATACGCAAAAAAGTCGTATATATGATGACATTTTTTTTCCAAAAAATGTGTTTCTACGTCCTTACACAGGCGTTTTGTACGAGAGGAATATAAAGTCAATTATATTTAAATACATTTCTTTTTTCAAAATATGCACCGTTGTTATCTATGCACTTTTGCCATCTCATAGCTAGTTCATTGATCCCTTTACTAAAAAGGCCATGGGAGCGAGAATCAATAAACTGTTTGAAGGCGGTTTGAACTGGTGCATCGGAGTTGAATTTTTTCCTCGTAAGAATTTGTTCAAATTCCGGAAAACATATTTGCAACATCCACCGTACTCCCAGGACCTTGCTCCAACTAGTGTTGCATATCGATAGACAATCGAATATCTATCGATGGTTAAGGTAAAAGCAATAGTATCGGTAGTCTATCGATAGTATTGTCACGTATCAATACTGTCGATGACTCTCCAAGTGCCAATACCATTGATAACAGCAATACTATCGATAGTAATGCATGCGATAGTTTTTGTTAAAAACTAATGGCAATTGCAATACCATCGACAGTATTGACTTAGACGATATAATATCGTTACGATATCCTGAATAGTTTTCGAGGTCAACTATCGATACTCAAACTGTCGATGGTTGTGCAACACAAGCTCCAACAGAATACCATGTTTTTTTTTAATTTGAAAAGTAGCCAAACTAGCAGACGGTTCACTTGATGTTAAGTGAATACCGCCGCCCTTGGACATCTGCTACATCCGAGGGTTTGCAGATCCGTTGACAACCTTTTTGAAAATTGGGTTCCGGCTACCTCACTCACCAGACGAAACGCGAAAGTATTATACTTCGACTTGACGCCGGTCTCATGTGAGGTCGTGGTACTTACACGGACGGACCTGCCCATTCATGCAACAGTGAACATTGTTGCGTGGTCCTACCACGGTTAGTAAAAAAAAGTAGATAAACGCAACAATTTAATAGTTTTTAGATTTCTGGGGTAGAGATACACAATCAATAAAACAAAAAAAAAACAACACAGTCATGTATAATTAATACATTAAATAACAAATCATCAATAAAACTATCATAAATATAAATAATACTGATAGGATGGTAAAAGCTTTTAACTAAATGCATATATAAAACGGTACATATACCAAAATTTTTTTTTACAACTTTTGCTTGTCTGTTTATTCCGGCTAATCTCTGAAACGGCTTGACTGATTTTGACTGGCAGATTGCTGATGTAATGAGGAGTATCCAACTTAGGCTACTTTTGTTTTAGAAATTTTATTTATCTATTTTAAATTCCGCCCGGACGAAGTCGCGGCCATAGCTAGTAACAACTATAAAGAATATTTATCAACGAAAAAAAAACCGATCAAGTATAAATCAGACTCACATACAGGGTACGAACCTTCACACAATATTGGAACACAGAAAATAGTGTGCTACAAAACAAAATCGATATCTTGTCTCCATTTAAAACTTTCACAAGACCCTTTTGCCATTTCCCATCAAGCAGCTTGATTCAAGTACTCAAGCTGCTATTACTGAAGCAGCTTGAGTCAAGCGCTCGAGCAGCTTGAGTCAATCACTCAAGCAGCTTGATTCAAGCACAAGCATTGTTTTATAAATCATTTTCAATCTTTTTATAAATATGTCAATTTTTTAATAAATACTTATCTATATAATATTTATCTACATCTAGATATATTAAATAATGCTCACGATACAGGCCTCGTCTATGTGAGCACCGCGGATGAACGGTTTTCGAAATGTTTAGTTTTAATCTTTTAAATATTCTGTATGTCCCATGTTTTTGCTGGTTAAATGAATGAATTATTTATTATTATGATTCATTCATCAAATAAGTTTTTTCTATTCTCCCATTATGAAGTAGATGTTGAACGTGATGGTTTGACCGATCACTAAGAGTACATCCGGTTCTGATTTTTTTTATGAGACTAACGGGCTGGCTCACCTGATGAAAAGTGATCACCGCCGCCCATGAATGTATGCAACGCCAGAGAGCTTACAAATGCGTTGCCGGCCTTTTAGGAAAGAATATGCTCCCATCATGAAGTTACCGAGGTCGTAACGTTTCGGAAAGACCGCCGGCGGCAGCTGGATCCACAGTGTTTGTGCGAGGCAGGAAATGCCTTGAAAATCGCGCTGTTGTGGAACGCTTGACATCAGCGGTGGTGTGATGAAATTTCTGGTTTTGGCGCGATGTCCGATGGTGGAATTCAGCCGCCGGGATCAATCCAAACAATTCCTTAACTCTACCTGTTATAAATGCAGTAGAAGATGCAGAGCGATTCTACATCTCTACGCAGAGCCAAAGGATCAAGACGATCGGAAAGACTTTGATCATCGATAGCCCAAGCGACCCTACGTTGAATGCTGTCAATCGGAAGAAGCTGGTATTGGGGGGCTTCCGCTTAGAGATCAGAGCAGTACTCCATGTGGGGCCGAATTCGCGCCGTATAGAGGTTTAGACGTTGAGCCGACGTGAAGTACTGTCTCGACTTGCTGATCATACCAAGCTTCTTTGAGGCCAATTTGGCCTTACCTTCCAATTGACCGCGGAACTGGACGTTGCTCAAAATGTCGACGCCAAATATTCCCCTTAGAATACTTACTTTGCTATATGCATCCACTGGTTGCCCATCTCCCTCCTCCCCCTAGCTATCTTCACGTTCATTATATTATTACCGAAGTTAACACATCGTCTCGTTATTCTATGAACGGGATGAAGGCTGTAATATAATAAACTCCTGCTGATAACGCCACTCTACACGCTCCATTAAATTTTCGAAATATCCTAAAGAGCAATTTCAAGTTCGACACGACACCAGGCAAACCGTGGAACGGCTACTAAAATAAGCTTTCAAACTATCAAACATTTTCAAAACTGCATCCAAGTAATTTGGCAGTAGCAAAGTTCGCTGCGTACACATAGAAGGTGAGACCAAATACTTCTGCGTTTGCTTTATAACATTTCTTTAGACAGGTTCTAATAATGTTGCTCTTTTTCTTCACAGACATACCCTTAGTCAAAAATAGCCCAACGGCAACTGAAAAGAATCATGCAACACCAATATCAATACATATACTAGTGTTGCCATTTCATCCTTAGGTGCAATAGTTGCAACACCTTCTACATATTTACCAACGTCTTTTGCTGCCTCAAAGCCATTTCAGACTATAAGGCTAACAAGTCTTGTATCACTTTGAAAAATCTTTATTCACAATGCTCCGAAGGATTCTTCCATAAAACCGGGATTTGCATCAATTCCTGATACCAACTCGACGGTGTCGATAATTAACGACTTTTCTACCTTTTCCAGTTTTTTTTTATGCTGGAAAAAATATCACAAGTATCATTGGAAAGTGTTCTAAGACCACTCTTTAAATTTATTATTTTTCATTTCTTGTATACTCTTTTTAAGGATAGACATTTTCTCTATCAGCCTTCCATTTCTCCTTGATAAGTTCATTATCTTCGATAACCTCTTCTTTGCTAGCAGCGATTTCCTTTGTAATTTCTTCTCGAGTGATTGCATCTTTGACGCGTTCAGGGCTGATTCCATATCGGAATATAGCATGTTTAAAGGCGTGTTGTATAGCTTTATTTCGATCACTTCTGTGGTGAGATTCAGTGACGGTGACGTTCGACGATGGTGAATCACTTGTGAATCTTCCACGAAATTACCTGCAATACCAAAGTGATATCCACAGCTGGGGCATGAGATCTAAAAAAAATTAAAAAACTGATTAACATAAGATGAACACTAGTAATTTTTATGTACTAGATATGATGAATGTGATATTATCAAAGCTTCTCCAAAATACAGATCGCGAGACATACATATTTTTACTAGCTGCTGCCCGCAAATACGTCTGCGTATAATAGGCTGAAGGCGTAAAATTCAGACAGAAAGACAGATATACATAAAATATGTATACAAATTATAGCCTATGTCTTATTCTGATGTACAAGCTATGTTATTGTAAAGTTTCATTAAAATCCATTCAGTAGTATTTGCGTGAAAGAGTAACAGACATCCATCCACACATACAAACTTTCGCTTTTATAATATTAGTAAGGATATGAAAAGGCTCAGTGTCCGGGCGCTCGCCTTTAATTCAATATACTCGAGCAACCTGAGTTCGATCCCCGGTGCCGGCACCAATGAAGTTTTTAACTTTAAGTGCTGACTTATCACGTGCTCCGCGGTGAAGGAAAACATCGTGAGGAAACCTGCATATTTTCGAAATAATAACAAAAAAATATATATATTTCGAAGATATGTGAAGTCCGCCAATTCGCAGTGGGGCCGTGTGGTGGACTATGCCCTGATACCCTCTGTATAGAGGAGGCCTTTGCTCAGCAGTGGGACATGTATAGGCTGTTACTTTTTTTTTTTTTTTTTTTTTTTTTTTTTTGTGAAAAGGTGGAAAGCGAGCTGGCGGTTCACCTGATATTCAGTGATATCAGGTGGCCATGGAAATTTGCAGCCCCGAAGGTTGTAGATGCCTTGTCGACTTTTAATATAGTGGGTTCCGGTTACCTCACTCTCCAGACGGAACGTAGTATAACACTTTCACTTCACGCCGATTTTCTGTGAGGTCGTGTTACTTCCCCGGACGGACCTGACCGTTCGGGAAGACTGAGGATTATGGCTCTACCACTGTTTACAAAAGATTTTTCTTATGTGAGAAGGGTTAAATCCGTAGGCTTACAGATGCGTTCCCATCTTTTAATGGGGCCCGGCTACCTCACTCACCAGGCGAAACGCAGAAGTTTACAACTTCCACTTCACGCCGGTCTTCTGTGAGGTTGTGGTACTTCCCCAGATGGACCTGCCAATTAGTGCAACAGTAACACTGTTAACATCGATAAATATATCATCAAATATATTTATCGATGTTAACAGTGTTACTGTGATTGCAAGATATATGCTTAAGTAATAAATAAGCTTACCTTTACTTTATGTTTACTTGGTGTTTCCGGAATACTTTCTTTTTTAATTAAGTTTAACTGCAACGTATTTGACGAATTGTAAACAGGCGGAGTGCTCACAAGAGGTTTCTCGTCCACACTTGGTTTGTCATGAATATTAGGCTGCTTTGCTTCCGATGCATGTGACGAGAGCAGTTTATCACTTGCAAATACCATCTGAAAATTTTCAGTTACATAATTTAAAATTAGAGTAGTAATTTATCCAAACGAGATTTTACAAGCCAAATGAAAACTTACTGTACAAATTGGTACAGCAGTTTTACTAAGCATAGTGTTTTTTTTCTTGGACAAATGGAAGTCTGTTTCTTTGAAATGAATTGAGCATATCTTTGAACACTTAGTAGGCATCCAATAGCTTTCCTGTCTCTCTAACTGAACGGCTTTTATCCATTGCTCCCTTCGTGTAGGGTCTTGTGGGAATCTAAATAGAAAAGAAACAAATATGAAATGTATATTAAGCTATATAACGCATTTATGAGTTCATTATATAAATCAAATATAAAAAGACGGTGCTGCAGTTGATAGATAGTTCAATTAAAAACAATACTGATCTAAGCTAGCTATCTAGCTCAGAGCTCTAACAAATACTGTAAATAACAGAGTAAAATTCTTTAGGTTGGGTTAACTTTTTATGTACTCGAATTTTACCGTTCATTCTCCTTGCTATACATTCTAATTTATAAATATGGTGAAATCTGATGGCTTTTCTTTTTTCTATACCTAAGAAAGTGTACTTGATTCCTAAATTTAAAACATTGTCAATTACAATAACATTTTTCTAATTTTTCTGTTACTATGTATGAATGTTGTCTTAGATTTGCATCTAAGTTTATAGTATTTTTTTTTATGGAGAAAAGGGGCAAACGAGCAGAGGGCTCACCTGATGGTAAGTGATTACCTCCGCCCATGAACACCTGCAACACCCGTGGGCTCACAAATTCGTTGCCGGCCTTTTAAGAAAGAGTACGCTCTCTTTTCCCAGGTCGTAACGGTTCGGAAAGACCGCCGGCGGCAGTTGGTTCCACAGAATGGTTGTGCGAGGCAAGAAATGCCCTAAAAATCGCGTTGATGTGGTACGTTGGACATCGAGGTGGTGTGGATGAAATTTTTGGTTCTGGCGCGATGTCCGATGGTGGAATTCAGCCGCCGGGATCAATCCAAACAATTCCTCAGAACACTCCCCGTGATAAATGCGGTATAAGATGCAGAGCGATCCAACATCTCTACGCAGAGCCAGAGGATCAAGCCGATCGGAAAGACTTTGATCGTCGATAACCCTAGCCGCCCTACGTTGAATGCGGTCAAATGGAAGAAGCTGGTGATACGGGGCTCCCGCCTAGAGGTGAGAACAGTACTCCATGTGGGGCCGAATTTGCGCCTTATAGAGGTTTAGGCGTTGGGCAGTCGTGAAGTACCGTCTCGCCTTGCTGAGCACACCAAGCTTCTTTGAGGCCAATTTGGCCTTACCTTCCAATTGACCGCGGAACTGGACGTTGCTCGAGATTTCGACGCCAAGCATTCCGATACTAGCTGTGGCAAGTAGGAGTGTGTTCGAAATGAGGAGTCACGACAAATGGGGACTTTTTAGCGGTTAACGCGCAAACTTGTGTCTTTTTGGGGTTGAATTGGACTAGGTTTAGTCGACCCCAGTCTGAGAATTTCGTTAACAAAGTCTCGACCTCAGACACAAGCTTGTTCCGACTCTCGTAGACGTTTTCCCGAGAAATGTTAGCTCGGCCAGTGTATGAGACATCCACAGTGCTATCGTCTGCATAACAATGGACGTTGCTGATTTGCAACATGTCATTGATATGCAGAAGAAACAGAGTAGGAGACATTACGCAGCCTTGTGAAACACCAGCATTGACAATTTGCATATAAAGCTTGTTTTGAATGGATTATCCGACTTTTTTTTTCATGGTTGATTTGCTGTAGGAAACCTTTAAAAATAACCTTGATCAATATTTTTTTTATTATTACATGGAAAATTACACCATGAATAAAATTATAAGGTGATAAACAAAATTACAGACTTACAATTAAACCAAATTACAGTTTTCCTTTTGAAAGACTTAAAAATAAGGTATAAGTAACAAATACAATGAATGCTTCACTAATGTTGAATGATTTTATATTGTGACCAATGATTCAATAACAAGCTTTTTAAACTTCATTTTATTTGAGTTACAGGGGTTGATATTATAAAAATTTGAATTGTATGAGTGTGGTATGCAAGACAGTATAAAATTTGATGGATACTGGATATGAGACAGGGAAATGCAAATAATTACAAAGAACAAAATAAAATGGATTACCCATTCCTCGGGAAAATTACCCATTTATTTCCTGGCAGCACTTATACATCTGTTAAGATTTGTCTTCCGAGGATAATAATTTTAAAATGTCAAAAATATAATGAATCAACCAGTTAACTTAGTTTCTTACCTGTTATAATATGTTAATCTTTGACACTTTTTCTGGGATACAGTACAGTTTTTATAAAATTTGACAAAATAAGATGGCACTATATTATTTTCAAAACATTACATACACAGCTATATAGCTCGTAGAACCGATAACCGTTGGGGAAGAAAGGTTCTCGAGTGGCAGCCTCGTACTGGCCATCGCAGTGTAGGACGACCCCCCACTAGATGGAGTGACGACCTGTGCAAATGTGCGGTCGATGGATGCAGGTGGCTCAGGATCGTACTTCGTGGCAGTCTGTGGGGGAGGCCTATGTTCAGCAGTGGACTCGAACAGGCTGAAATGATGATGATGATGATGATGAACATACACAGTACCCATAGTCCACACCTACCTTGTGTGTTGTGCGGCGTAATGGCGGTCGATAGGCTTAGCTTACTATGATGTAAATGTGTGCGCGAGGCATCTATGTACAAGCGGTGAGGCTTACTTATTATGCCTCGCCATATATATATATATATATGTAGTGAGGAGTCCTGTTATTCTTCGAGTCCGTATATTTACATTTAAAACTCTTTTTGTACTTACAAGTGGAAAGTAACGCCGCTTGTTATATGGTGATCTGTATGGTTTCTGCACCACTTCACAACACATGAAGGCATTTTGAAACGATAAAACGCTAATTCGAAAACTCCGTACGTCTGCACCTGTCAGCTGTCACAAATGAACTTAAAGCAATCGCGGTACAGTTCCTAAGCCTCCACCAACACGGTACAGTTTTCGTTATGCCATTTTAGAGCGACAATAATGCTACTATGTTTTTTTTTGCATTCACTGTACTACTCCATATCCTTTAATTTCCATAATTTTTATTTTTATTGTAGATTTGTTGGTTGTAGCTATGAATTGTAAATTTCAATAACATTATGACACTATGACAGACAGGTTGTTGTTTATTTAGGTAAGTAAAAAGAATATATCGATATTTATCTTATCGATATTTTAATTAGTATAGATAATTTACAGTAGGAAATATTAATATTAGATTAACAATAACAATTTAATCAATGTATTTATCAGATACCGACAATAGGAGTACCCTCTGATTAATGTGCTAGTGTCAAGCGGCTTCTAGCATTGGCCACGATTAAAGAATACGCATTCTAGACACACCGAAGAAACCTTGAATTTAGGCATTAGTAGCTACTAATGAAAAAAGACTCTCGAAATGCTGATAATTTATTCTAAATCTGAGTGGATCAGCTGATATCTAAGAAATTTCGATTAATTTTATGAAATAAACGAAGCGTAATGGTCATTCTTGTATTAACTGATGTTTTTGCTTTCAGTCCCTAGACTAGTAAAGCTTCATCTGACACAGAACCGATGAGCAAGCGAGAACCCACGGGTTTGGGTCCTCAGCTGTGGGTAGGGCCGCGCATATGCTCATGCGTGCGTTTAAATATGGTATGATAACTAAGGGTCAAGTAATATGCCCAAGTTACTCTATGATTTTTATAATAATTAATTAATTAGAAAATATCGATATTTATAATTAAAAATATCGATATTTTTTCGACTTCCCTATTATTATATTTATATTCACATAACTAGAAAATTCTCGTGTCACGATGTTTGTAATTGAACTCCTCGATATATCGATATTATAAAAATATCAATATCGGCATCAATATATCGAAAAAAATCAATATATCGGGCAAATTTTCGGTTTTTAAAAAAAATATTGATTCAATACTAAGTGATAGTAATTTTATACCAATTACATTACTTTAATGTATGGAAAATCTTAATAAAACCAAGGTATGTTAATCATTAATTATTTATTAATTTTGATCAAATTTCTTTTATTAATTAAAATTTTTAGATATATCATTAAACAAAACTTTCATTGATAAAAAAAAAACTTATGTAGTAAGATAAATAAAGACAACAGCTATTTTTTTCCCGTTTATTTTTAATTTTTCCGGCTTTGAATCTATTGTTAATTAGCTTAATTCAATTTCAATTAAAATAAAATTTTGGATACGATTTTGATATTCAATTTTTTATATCGATATATCGGATCAAAATATATAGGCTAAAAATATCGATATGTTTTCGGCGTCTCTAGTGTGAGTCTATCTCTGTCTGTGATTTGTCTTGTCTTCCCTCCCTAGTGAATTTATTTATTTTTGTTTTTAAAGAAATATTTTAAACAAATCAATTTTGATGTTTTTAAACTTAAACCCTGAGGATAACAAGTGACGTGATATAATTGAATTTGTGAATTCGATTCGAATTCATTAGACTTTTTTTTTCGACTGTAAACGCAAGTTATCTCAGGGTCTGAAAATCTCAACATAATGAGCAGATGCGATTTTAAAATTGTTCTATTAGGCAGCGAACATGTTGGGAAAACGAGTCTCGTATTACGTTTTGTTAGTTGCAATTTCAATTCGGGCACACCTTATCAAAACGTAAGTAAATAATGTTATAAGCGTAATAGATAACAGAGATTTTTCGCTATGAATCACCTTTTGTTCTAGTATTCTACGGAAATCTTGTTATTGTTTTTCTTTGTGTAATTTTAATATAATATAGGTATTTAGGGTTGAAAGTCCAAACTGGAAAATCGTATTGCAGAAGAAAGTACTTTCATACTTTTCAAGTGGGTTTGTGTTAAGCAAATTTTTTAAATTTTAAATTAAAACATGTAGAAAAACTTGTATATATTGATACTAGCGACCCGCCCCGGGGTCTTCCTTTTGAATCACTGTATTTAGTAAAAAAGACGGCATCAAGTTCCATTGAGTAGTTTTAAAGATCTGAGCATGCATAGGGACAGACAGACAGCGGGACGACTTTGTTTTATACTATGTATTGAAGTGTCAATTATGTTATGATGTTACCTTAAAGACCTATAATGACATTTTCTTACATGAATTCTTTGATTTGAATGCCATCAATGAAAATTTTTATTTTCATGGGGCTGCCCATTCATGCCACAGCAGAGGTCTTACATGGCCCTACACTAGTTTTTAGTTTACTTTCAACGGCACTTTAAGAAACTAGAAAAGTTGAAATACACAAACAAATATTCAGCCACCATTGTCTTAGTTATATATTGCTGCAATTAAGAATACTGTTCAAAAAGCTCTTGGATACATTTCAGACAATTGGTGCCGCATTCTGTGCCAAAACAATGCACTCTGGTGGGAAGGACTTCAATGTGGGGATCTGGGATACGGCAGGCAGTGAGAGGTAAGGCTGTTATTATTTACTATCAGAGAAACTACCATTAGTCAAGTGTGAAAGGTCTCATTCTTCTTAATAGTATGCTCTGTACTGGAGGAGCAGGAGTGTGTTCCATAACCCCTCGCAGAAGACCCCGAGCCCATTCCAATGTACTGCCTGTGAGAACTAACCAAGCTTTAGTGGATAAAGACCTTATATGACCCTACTGTTAAGGAATAAAAATTTGTGTACCACTCATATGTTTCCTCATCTCTTACAGAGAAAAAAATCTTTTCACTAAAATTTCATATTCTTGTGCTTGCAGATATGAGGCAATGACCAAAATGTACTACAGAGGAGCCCATGCAGCCATAATATGCTACGAACCATCCAGCCTCGATACCTGGACGAGACTAAGGCATTGGCTCCATGAATTGAGGACCGTAGAAGAGGTTAATATGAACTGATGCTTTCATTCTTTGTCCATATGTGATTGGACTGCTTGTGGATATTTCACTTTACTTGTGGATATTTTTTTGCGCGTTCTTATGAAACGTCAAAATTTAGCATAAAAATTAATATGTTCGTAAGTAAGTTACCACCTGCTCGGAAAGTAGTTTCTGTTGAGAAGAAACTAGCAAGAAAGTTAACAGTTACTCTTTTTTAAAAAGATTAGTCCCCAACATCATGGTAGCGGTATTAAAAACGAACATACCCCAGGGGGGTACCAGCACTTCTAGTTCTGGACAATCCCCTACTGGGCGTCCGCGCTCAGATGACCTTTCGCCATCTGGGCGTGGGCGCTCTACGGCACACTACGGCAACCCCTACCACGCTTTCTGTGGATTTTTGTAACATAAGGGGACTTCACTCCAACCTCAATGCCGTCCACTACCACCTTGAGACGGCAAAGCCGTCCTTGCTATTTCTAACTGAGACTCAGATATCTTCTCCGGCAGACACATCATATCTCTCTTATCCGGGGTATAAGTTGGAAAACTCCTTTGGGCCCCGAGCCGGAGTTTGTGTGTATGTTAGGGATGATATCTGCTCTCGTCGTCTCAGCAGCCTTGAAGGTACGGACCTGTCCATCATATGGCTACGTGTAGACAACGACGACCACCCTCGCGTCTATGCGTGCCTTTATAGGTCCCATAGCGGCAATACGGAAACAGACCGATTCATAAACCACGTCCAAATGGGTACAGATTATGTGCTCCAACAGATCCCAACCGCAGAGACCGTGATCCTTGGTGATTTTAACGCCCATCACGTCGACTGGCTCGGGTCACATACCACCGATCATGCGGGGAGGTCTGTACACGACTTTGCCATTGCAAATGGTTTAACACAATTGGTCACTATGCCTACGCGGATCCCAGATGTGTTAAATCATTCTCCTTCCCTGTTGGACCTTCTGCTGACCACTCATCCGGATCACTACCAAGTTTCTGTCGATGCCCCTCTTGGCTCGTCAGACCACTGTCTGGTCTGGAGCGTAGTTGCCTTTTTAGCAATTGGGATGGGATGCGGTCCTTCTTTGCATCTTATCCCTGGGGCAAGGTTTGCTTCTTGCTGGATGATCCCAGCGCCATCACTGATTCTGTCGCCGATGTGGTGCTTCAGGGAATGGAACTTTTTATCCCCTTCTCTACGGTTCCCATTGGCGGCAGATCCAATCCCTGGTTCCGTCGCTCCTGCAAATTGGCATCTCGCCATAAGCAGGAGAGTTATCGGGCCTGGACCGTTGCGGTGGCGTCAAGGGATGTAAATACCAGTCACTTTAAAAAGGAGTACAACTTTGCCTCTAGGTCCTTCAAAAGAGCAATCGCATCAGCAAGGTCAGAGCACATCGGCAAAATTGGCGAGAAATTAGTTAACCTTCCTTCGGGGACTCGTGCATTCTGGTCTCTCGCCAAGGCTGTTCAAGGAAACTTCTGTACGCCATCTTTTCCATCTTTGCACAGGGGAGATGATTCGTTGGCCCACACCGCTGAAGAGAAAGCCGAACTTTTGGGCACCCTCTTCGCGTCTAACTCGACACTGGATGATAAGGGGAACACACCGCCGACCATCCCGCGGTGTGAGCACACAATGCCAGAAATAAGGTTTCTGCAGAGCACAGTACGTAAAGCACTCTTCTCCTTACACATCCATAAGTCGAGCGGGCCAGACGGAATCCCTCCCATTGTGTTAAGGACGTGTGCTCCAGAGTTGTCACCGGTTTTAACGCGCCTTTTCCGGCACTCCTACTCTCTAGGCATTGTCCCAACTTCTTGGAAGACGGCTTTAGTGCACCCGATTCCTAATAAAGGTGATCGTTCAGATCCGTCGAACTATAGGCCTATTGCCCTCACCTCTTTGTTCTCTAAAATCATGGAGTCCATCATAAACTGCCAGCTCCTTGGGTACCTTGAGGAGCACCAGCTCATTAGCGATCGTCAATATGGCTTTCGACGCGGGCGCTCAGCTGGTGACCTTTTAGTGTACCTAACGCATCGATGGGCGGAGGCAGGTGAGACAAAGGGTGAGGCCTTGGCGGTTAGTTTGGATGTAGCGAAAGCCTTCGATCGGGTTTGGCACAAAGCACTTCTTTCTAAGATTACATCTTACGGGCTTCCTGAGAAATTGTGCAACTGGATCACTAGTTTTCTCACTCGTCGGAGCATCAAGGTCGTTATTGACGGTGCTTGCTCCGACGCTAAATTCGTGAACTCTGGTATCCCACAAGGCTGCGTCCTGTCCCCTACGTTGTTCCTCCTACATATCAATGATCTGTTGCATATTTGCAACATTCATTGCTATGCGGATGACACTACGGGTGAAGCACTATATACCGGCCGGGCAAATATTTCTCAGGAGTACGTCGAAGAGTGCCGGAATAAACTTGTGTCTGAAGTCGAGGTTATGTTATGCAAAATCTCGGCTTGGGGCAGACTTAATTTAGTCCAATTTAACCCAATGAAGACACAGGTTTGCGCGTTTACCGCGAAGAGAAAACCCTACGTCGTATCTCCCTTTTTTGAAGGCACTCCCCTTGTTGCCACCGATTCGATCGGAATTCTTGGGGTCGATATATCGAGCAGCGTTCAATTTCGCGGTCACTTGGAAGGAAAAGCCAAGCTGGCTTCTAAAAAACTCGGTGTCCTAAACCTAGCGAGACAGTATTTCCTGCCGACACATCGGTTGCAGCTTTATAAAGCACAGATTCGGCCTCACATGGAATACTGTTCTCACCTCTGGGCTGGGGCACCGAAATACCAGCTCCTTCTTTTTGACCGCATTCAACGAAGAGCTGCTCGAATCGTCGACGACCAAATCCTGTCCGATCGCCTCGATTCTTTGGCCTTGCGTAGGGATGTTGCATCCCTATGCATTTTCTATCGGATATATCATGGGGAGTGCTCTGAGGAATTGTTTGGGTTGATACCTGCTGGTGAATTTCACCATCGTACAACTCGTCAAACCGCCAAGTACCATCGACACCACCTTGATGGTTGGCGCTCCACCACAGTGCGTTTTTCACGAAACTTTCTACCCCGCACAACTACTTTGTGGAACGAGTTGTCGCCAGCGGTATTTCCAGACCGATACGACTTAGGGACCGTCAAGAAGAGAGCCTATTCCTTCCTTAAAGGCGGGCAACGCAATTGCGACTCAACCGATGTTGCAAATGTCCATGGGCTGTGGTGATCGCTTATCACCAGGTGACCTACATGCTCGTTTGCCTCCTATTCCCATAAAAAAAAAAAAACACATTGCTGTCGTCAATTAATTCTTATAAGTCTGAAAGTATAGCTTATGTATTCACAACTGATTTTCCTTTAAGAATACAGACACTGATTTTCCTTTTCTTTTAAGAATACAGGACACTTTTTATACATCGCCATGTGTGGACCTTTACAATTAATACACATATAATTATTCGTCTCACAATTTTCATGCTGATTGCCACATTTGGGGCCAATTATTTTCTTAATGGGACCAGTTCTGGATAGATGACCATATTTCCAGCATCTCGAACATTGTGTAACTGGGAAGGTATATGGCTCCACTTTGAACCTACAACCGTATCCATATACATACGGAGGCAAAGTGTTAGCTTTAAAACATAACCTTACTGTTTCCGACTCTATCCATTTTCCACAATTTGACATTCTTTTCAGTCTTTTTACTGAGACTACGTTGTATTCAGAAGATATGTTTTCAAGAATTTCTTGCTCTTCAAACCCTAAGTCAACCTGTCTAACTATCCCATAACATAGATTCATCTCATCTGTCCTTTGCACTCTGTATCCTAGGTTAACAAACTTCTCGCAATTTAATAGTTTCGATGCACTTTCTTCATTTTTAAAGTGAATAAGAAGTCTGTAGGCGCTTTTGTAGGAAATTTTTATTATATTTTGAATATTATAAGATCGTAAAAGTTTTGCCATGCCAAATTGCTTCGGCAAAATTTCTTTTCCTGTCACACAAATAATGACATCATTTTCTGCCTCGGAGTCATGATGACCCTCCTTCCTTGAATATTCACATAATGAATCCTTCCTATATGGCCGCTTATGACTTCTCGGAACTGTTACAAATTCATCCACTTCGACTATTTCCTCGTCATCTTGTCTCCCTTTCTTCTCTATAACTCGTTGCTCACACTTTTCATTCATATTCATCTCATTAGTTAAAATCGAATTAAATTGTTGTTCACTTTCAAGTTCTATCTCCTGTTCCATTACATCACTACCACTTGAAACCCAAAGTCCGTATTATCGTTTATCTCATCCATTTAAAAATAACATAATTAAAATGTGGGTAGAAGAACAAAAATATACGTTATAATATTATGCGGCCAAATGCGTGCGTTCGCTACGATTACTCACGCGCCAATGAAGTTTTCTTTTTAAACACCTGTTGTTATATGGTCCTGTATAATGGTAATGTATGTTTGAGGTTTCAGCCATTTCCAGACATCTTTGGAATTATTCACACAAATTAGAAACTGGCCATAGCATAATGTTACTTAAGGAAACAAACCTAGACCTACATTAATCATGGTTTTCTTTTTTATTTTTAAATTAATTATCTTCTCAGGGCATAAATATTGAGGATTCATTTACCAACAAATTTTACATTCACCCCCTATATTTTAATTGGTGTAATTGAAACAAGGGAACAAACATTTTTAACGTTAATAAAGTAATTTGGGCGCGTTCTCTACAATCCGTAGTTTCCTGCCAGGAATTTGGTCATAGTTTATCTGTTGAAAAACATGTGTCCATAATTTATCTATCCATTTTAATCTTCATACATCTTACATTCTAATCTCGTTTTAGTCTTGGTATCTCTTATCTTTTACATTCTTCTTATCCTTATAAAATGTCCTCCAAGGATATTAATTTATCATAGTGCTATTTTCTGCACTTAGGACGAAATAAAAAAGAAATAATTTCATCTTAAGTGTATGATGAAATTTAAGTTCTTAAACACTCATAAAATGGTTCATGGAATGCATCTTTCGATTGTAATACCAGATGTGAACCGCAGGAATGCAAGGTGTACCTTTGCGCTACCAAGAAGGATCTACTAGACTCTGGAACTGTCGTCCGAGAGGTCCCCGAAGACATAGTGGCCACATACTCCCAAGGGCTGTGTGGGCACTTCATGACTTCTAGCAGAACTGGAGAGAATGTTGGTGAGTGTTCACAATATGTACATTTTTATGGTCTTTATCATTGTTGAATGAAACTATGTTTATTGGGATTATACTGGGATTAGTTAGAGATTAAAATTCTCCGCACACGGTCATTTGATTTTGGTCCGATTGTATGTTATAAATACGACCCCCGGCGCCGAAGCCAGTACCTTGGCAAATGTGCCACGAACTCATCTAAACTATAAGATAATATGTATCTTAAAGAAAATGAAGTTTTCTTGTTGATCTTCTAAGTTTTTAGAATTATTAAACGGACTCTCTTTTAATTCAACATACTCGTACAAACCGAGTTCGATCGCCGGTGCCGGCACCAATGAAATTTTCAATTTAAGTCCGGTCTTATCCCGTGCTCAGCGATAGAGGTAAACGTTATGAGGAAACCTACTTATTTTCGAAATGATAACGAAACAAAATATTTCGAAGATATGTGACGTCCGCCAATCCCCAGTGGGGTCGCGTGTTGTACTATGCCAGATGCCCTCTGTACGTACAGAAGAGGCCTTTGCCCAGCAGTGGGACATGTATAGGCTGTTACTTTTACTTATTTTCGAAATGATAACGAAACCAAAAACATTTCGGATTCTGCCAATCCGCAATGGGGTCGCGTAGTAGATGCCCTATGTATGTGGGTCATAAACAGGCTGTTATTTCACATTTCACTTGATCAACTGTTTGCGCGATTTCAGAGGAGCTATTCCAGAGGATCGTGGACGACTGCGCAGCGGACGTCGCCTTCATGAGGGGCGTAGAGGAGACCCGGGTTCAGCTCGCGAAGGAGGAGGCTGCGTACAAAGCGAAGAGCAGAGACTACTGTTTCTGCTGATGGGACCGCCGCCCCGTGCGTATTTATCCGGCTCGAAGGACCAATTGGGGGGAAACGGGTGGGGGAAAACTGGGCTGAATTGTGATCGCCGTTACCCGCTGTTGCGGGTCGGTGTTTTGCACGCTCGTGGGCTTTGACGCCCGCTCTTAAATACTCACCAGTGTGAGTAAACAGTCACTTTATCCGGCACGAAGGACCAAGTGGAACGTACTGCCCATAGCTTTAGCGGCGTCTGGCAGAGAGTGACTGTAAAAATGTAATATTATATATATAATATGGAGAGGATTACATAGATAAGTGCTTAAAGACGAGAAAACTAGAAGTTATTGCCCGGGAATCGTTTTTATTTCTTCGAACGCTTTCTGTCTCTGTTTGTCTGTCTTTCCTTTAGGAGTGCTAACCGACTGTGTTAACGATGTGGGCACTATTCACGGTTTGTGGTAAAAAGCGATATTAAATATGACGACTCAATGTCTGGGAGCTCGCTTTTAATTCAATTTAATCGATCAACAGGAGTTTAAGTTAGGTGTGAGTTTACTAGGTAGTAAGAGTTTACGAGTACCTTATACTTGACCATAACTGTTTTCGTTAGTTGTTAATTTGTATATCCGAACGCAAATGCGGGACAAGTAATTATTATTACTGCATGTCCGTACTTTCTAACAAATTTTATTATTATTATTTACGGAAATGGAAAGACATTGACATTGACAGAATGTTCAGTAACAGTGAAATGGTGTAACAGTTTTTACCTCTTCATGAATAGGGAAAAGCTTGTGACAGCGAATTAAAGAACAATCTGTGTGGAATAAAAACTGTTATTTATGTTTGTTCGTAACAGGTACATTAGTTATCCTATGCTACCTGTTATATTTACCTGCTAAGATAAATACGCCTCACTCCTAACACGCCGGCACCAATGTTTAATTGTCAATTTTAAGTGCTGCGTTATATCATATTTTCGAAATAATAACAATAAAAAAATATTTCGAAAATTTGTGAAGTCTGCCAATCCACAGTGGGGTCGCTAGGTCGCTCTCTACAGAGGAGGCCTTTGCCCAGCAGTGGGATTTTTATGGGCTGTTTACTTTACTTAATTTACCTTCGAAACCTACTTAATTGAAATTTATGAGAGAAATTGTATTTTTTACAAGGCAGAGTTTATTAGGGTTGCAAAACTGCCTTTGTAATAGTTAATGGGATATGGTGCTAAGTGAGGCTAATTTGTAAACGATCTTATCATTTCATGCTTGACTAACGCCCGGTTTCATAAACACTAATCATCGTAGAAGTTAACTAATCACCTGTCAAATGGCTTTTCAAATGTTATTCAAGCTGCCAAATGGATGGGTAAACTCTCTGAGTCAGAATTTAAATTCTTAATGAGTAAGATGATAAATTCAAAGAGTTTAGCCATTTGACAGCTGATTAGATAACTTCTAAGATGGTCAGTGTTTTTGAAACCGGGGCGTAAATCGTTCAAGGAGTAATTCTTAATATTAAGGGTCTACGTGAAAGCGAAACGTTTGCAAAAGCATTGAGTTTAATGAACTTCTAAGAACCATGAAGGAGAAAGAGATACCTCAGAGGTATAACAGTATGTGACGAAATACAAATTTCATAGGTGAGACAAAAATGCGTGGATGAATCCTTGAATGCATTATTGATTATTAGGCGTCGTAGGACTTAATGGTTTATACTACTGGTGTAGAATTTCTTCTTGCGATTTCAATGGTGTAAGAAAAATAATTTTGTAAAATGTGGAGTTGCTATTGTATGCCTCTGAGGTACCAAGTATTCCGGTTCGATTAAAATTCAATCATTCGACCAAAGAGTTTTCCAAATTGATTATTGACTTTGATTTAAAATTTAAGTTCCTATGACCCGATTGCTTTTATAACCTAATAAAACTGAGATGCATTGTAAAGCTTTAACTAAGTTATTTGTGTAAATAATATAAATATTTACCAGTCAAACTGTTGTTTTTATTACATCCCATGTGTGTGCCAATAAATGCTTATTATTATTTCGTATGGATGTTTGCGTGTGCGCGAGAATGTGTGTGTGGGGGTCTCTGTGTGTGTGTTGTAAAATATCTTGCTATCTTCGCCGACTTTAAAAGAGGAGGGTTCTCGATTCGACTGTATTTTTTTATGTTTGTTACCTCATAACTTTCGACTGGGTAAACTCTGATGATTCTTTGTGTATGTTTGTTCCATGTGGTCCCGTATTAATTTCATTGGTATTGGACCTTGGGCTACGGCGATACTTGGGAACTCCTGAAAATCAATTATAAAATTAATACAGAGCGAGTAATTTGAAGTCTGTTTCGTTTTTTTTTATACCTTGTTAATAACTTGGTTTTCCGTGTTTCATCTTTTTACTTTGAGAAGTACCATGGCTTCAGAATAACGACGTGAAGTGGCAGTATGGTCTCGTGGTATTATTTATTCCTGCGCCTCAAGAAAAAAAAACCGCCCAAGCGCGAGTCAGACTGGCGCGCGAAAGGTTCCGTACCATTATCTATAAAAACGGCAAAAATCATGTCAGTTGTATGGGAGCCTCACTTAAATATTTTTTATCCTGTTAGTATATGTTGTTATAGCGGCAACAGAAATACATCATCTGTGAAAATTTCAACTTTCTAATTATCACGGTTCATGAGATACAGCGTGGTTACAGGCGGACGGACAGCGAAGTCTTAGTAATAGAGTCCCGTTTCAACCTTTGGGTAGGGAACCCTAAAAACAGAATAAAATCTCTTATTTTTGTTTTTTTCGAAATAGTAAAAAGTAAAGTATCAGCCTATACATGTCCCACTGCTGGGCAGAGGCCTCTGTACAGAGGGTATCAGGGCATAGTACACCAGGCGGACTTCACATATCGAAATATTTTTTTTTTTGTTATTATTTCTAAAATATGCAGGTTTCACGATGTTTTCCTTCACCGCTGAGCACGCCATAATTCAGCCCTTGAAATTAACAACTGCATTGGTGCCGGGGACTGCACCGGGGATCGAACTCAGGTTGATCGAATATATTAAATTAAAGGCGAGCGCCCGGACACTGAGTTATCACGGCTCTTTTGAAATAGCACGGAAACGTATTATTAGAAGAACCCAGACAATAGTGAGAAATGAAACAAAATGGAAATTACTCTTGCTCTGCACTTGCAAGACCCCTGGCTGCTGCTGATTTTATACCTAAATAAGTGTGTATAATTGCATAAAAAAAAAAGTAACGAAAAGAACAAGACCGCAGAGTTTCTTGCCGGTTCTTCTCTGTGCAGGTCTAGTTTAGTGAACCGGCGGTAGATTTTTTGTTGACGTTCAATAAAAGCTTAAGTTAGTCCTATATTGAATAAATATGCTTTGACTTTGAAACAGTTCTGAAGATGGACGACTCACTATGTGAGCTAACTACATCCTGCTTCGCAGTCTTCTACGGCGGATCTCTAGGCAGGATAGTAATGGGTCTTTAGTTTTTTTTCTTTAGCCTCTTTAGTTTTCACAGGCCGTTAGGTAACATATTTGGAGTTACGCAAACGGCTCGTCGTGCATCATAGACATTTCACTCGATTACTATGTATGTAGTATGCCTAATTTAAGGCAGTACGCGGTACGCCTCCATCGAACCAATACCATGCCGATGATTAATATCGCGTGTTTAATAACCAGTAATTAGTGATTTATACCATTCACCACACCATTATACACAAGTGTTAATGTACTGTTTGTTAGACTTTAATAAATCATTTACCAGACTCTAGAAACTATCTCTAAGCAAGCTTTTTCAAGGTCCTTCATTTTAACATACAGGCGAAACTCGTAAAAACAAGTGGTATATTCCGTTACATGAAAATTGGACGTTTTTAAAACGAAACTATTTTATCTCGTTTATTAGGTGGTAGTTTTGTTAACATTTAATAAGAGCTTAAATTAAGCCTATTGAATAAAGAAATTTTGACTTGGCCTTTATTTAAAACTAACCGTTTCGAATATTTGCAGGATCCACCGAAACGTTTGCGTAAATATTAAAAAATATATATTAAATGAAAGTAGCACCACAAAATGCGCGAAAAGTTACTTATAAAATAAACCGTGCGGCCAGTTTAATTCGTCGAATAAAATTTACGACAGCAAAATAATAAAATTCCTATTTATTACGTTATTTATTCAGTTTAACAATGGCAGGGTTACGGTGGGTCTTGCTGTTATATGCGCACGGTATTTTTTTTTTCTTGGCGAGTGCTTTTGAAATTTAAGATGTAAGTTATGGTAAGTTAGGACCGCCGACAGGCACGGATGCCGACTTACCTCTAACTCCTAAGTTAAGTAAGAAAAAATTTACAATCGAAGTGTTTTTGGAGGTAAATTCAAACCAAAACTCCCTAAATGTTTCTCATTTAAGAGGTTTTGGTTAGAATTTAGTGAATTTGTAAAACATTTTTTGTAACATTTGTGCACGATATAATGGCGACAATGTTTCGCCTCTCATGTTTTGAGATTATAAAAATTTCAATAAACTATACTGTAGCTCTGTGTAACAATTTACCGTTAAAGGCCTTTTTTCTGATGTATCATCCGTGTGTATTTCTTTCGAATTTCCACAAGTTTGTTGAGTTTTCCACTCCTGACGATGATTAGTTACTAGAATAACGTACAAACGCAACTCTATCGTAAGTTTGGTTCACGTTCCAGCGGCCGCGATGGCGTCGAAGCCGCGGAGCGTTAACCTCGCTCTGGAGACGACGTTCGAGTTCAACGAGAAAAAGGACATGGCGCTGATAAAAAACGTGCGCCAGTTCCTCAACAGGATCGAGAGCAACGTCGAGAGGAAGCTAGCCGCGCGCGAGCGGCCCAACGAGACGAGCTACCCGTTCACGGAGTTCCTGCGGGACCTTATCTCGGTCCTGAACTCTTACGAGGACGACGACTTCCGGGGCGTGTTCAAAGCGCTCCACCACGTGGTGAGCACTCACAGGGGCGGGGGCGGGGTGAACGGAGTAATCGACAGCTCGCTCAGGCCCGCCCTGTTGGACGCGCTGAAGAGGAGTATCGAAACACCGGTGCGGCTGCAGAAGGAGCGCTTGAGCAAGCTGTCGTTTGTTCTGCGCAGTGCGGACAGGTCGCACGCGAGCTTCGTGAACTTCCTCAACCTGCTGTACAAGGGCAAGCCGGCGTCGGGGCTGAGGAGGATCCTGAGGGGCTTCAGGCTGTTCCGACGGCGGACGGGCAGCGAGAACTTGCGCGAGTTGGTCCGCGACGCCGTGGAGTATTTGGTGTACGCGCATTACGCCGGCTTGGACGCGAGCGTCCGCCGCGACGTAGGCGCGTGGCTGCGGACGCTGCTGAAGGAGCCGACCGCTGGCCGGAGCAAGCTCGGGACCGCTAAACCGCTGGCGAGGCAGCGGCTGAGCAGCGCGAAGAGAGCCAGCCGGCACACCTTCGTCACGCTATACCCCGAGGCGATAGACCTGAACGGGATGACGCAGAGCGCGGCCGCCCCGTGGAAGGAGATCACGGTGCCGAATAAAAATCGCTTCTATTTGGTCAAGGGCAAACGGAGGTCGTGGAAGGGAACCGGCAACGGGGACGAGTCGAGCGGGTCCAGTTTGGAGATAGCGACGGTTAGGTACGTGAAATCTATCTCCCTTTAAATAATGCACTGCTTTGTAACTAAGCGCCTTCGTGGACTAAGTGAGCAAAGTTTAAATTATGACCGTTTTCGTAGGACTCCTGAGAATTACGATTCAAAATTCGTGTACCCAATTTATAAGTAAAATTAATAAAGTTGTAAACTCTCCTTTACCCCAAATGATGTGAGTCTCCATAATCTTTACCATCGTAAATAAAAACGAACAATTGCTTGATTACCAGCATTCAAACTACGTACTTAAACATAAAACCATTCAACAACACGATTTGAAACGTACTTCAAAATGTGTCAAATCTTTAGACTGTTCCTTGGCAGTTCCAAGCTAGCTGTGTCTAACGGTTGCTTTCAATATTCTATCCACAGATAGATTTAATAACTAGCGATAGGTATTTGAGATTAGCTTCATAATACTTACGTCTAAGTCCAGTAACCAAATCTATCTGTAGATAGAATATTGAAATAGCCCGTAATTTAGATGATTTCTAAACTTGATGAAACTCTTTGATATAGAGACGGGTACGACAGACTGTAAGCCCATCGCGTAAATAATCCGAAGTACATAGAATATGACTATATATACTTGATGATAATTTATTACACATTGACCCATAGCATTAATATTCATCAGGAACTCATCAACGACAGCATCACAAGGGCGTAGAGAACGGCCAACAGATACAACGTTTAACCCTCGCAAAGCTTTCGCCGCGAAACCTTCGTCACGCCGATTGGGTCAAAGCCACCGGGGCGTTAACTCGAGCGATCCGTCCGCGGTGACAACCCTAGCGAATTGCAGCGACTTGACCTCCGTGAGCTATTTAGAGCGAATAAAGCACCTCGAGGAGCAACTCAGCGAGATGAAGAGCGAGCTGAGGGCCAAGGCGTCTGCGAACTCAGTAGGGACCGACACGCCCCCCATCGACCAGTACGACTACCCGGACGACAAGGCGGACTCGAAGCGTTTCGCGACGGTCGCAAATAACGCATCGGACGAGACGAACTCAACCGAAACCGTGGAAGCTGATGCGGTGTTCAGGACCGAGGGCAATTCAAGCAGCATCCCGCTGGGCGACAGCCCCCTGTCGACCGAGATCAAAGAGTTCCTAAAGAAGCAACCGCGGCTCCTCGATGTGCAGCGCGCCAACCATTCGACCACCGTCAGCGTTACTGAACACGAAGCGGCCGATAAGAGTGCGGACGAAGGAGACACCGTAGCCACCACTGAACACGGAGTGGCCGATAAGAGTGCGGAAGACGCGACTACGGTTGCCGGCACCGCTGCGGAAACAGCGCACGGGAAACAGCAACACAACCAGACGCCATCAGACACAACCGAAGCGACCAAAGTGGTGAACGGAACCCAGCTAACTACCGTCGCAAGCCTCGCGAACAACGCTACGCTGTACTTCGACCCGGCAATCAATCTGATCCGGTAATAAAGTTCGTATATTCTAAGGGTTTTCATTTTTAAATTCGGGAACATTGTCCAGTTAGTGTTGGATTAGAATTTTGCATGACACGTTATAGCTTTATGCTTTCTTCATGAGAGAAAGTGGTTACCTGACGGTTCAATAATTATAAATTGTCATTTAACTTAAAATATAAAAAAATACGAAGTATTCACTTTGTCATATTTCGTTTGCATTTTACTAAAAAAAATCTTTTAATTGGCCAAATACCTATTTTATTTCAGACAGTTTAAACCAATAAACAATAATTTTTGGTATTTAACTCTTTTATAACATTCACGATAAAACTACTATGGAAGAACTAGAAATTTATTTTACAGAGCAAAAATATGGGAAAACAAAATGATATCAAATTTTTAACATCACGAACGTCATCACAAAATCAGACTAGAAACAAAACGAGTAGAAATAACAAGCGAAACAAAGAAAACACATTATTGGCTGTTCCATATGATTTATTGCAGATTAGGTACAATACCGTAACTACATAACCTTGTATAGCTAATAACAATAAAATGCATTTAATAGAAAAAAATGTGTACATACATTTTGCGAATAAAGAATAAATTGATTAATCTACATTAATGCTTACAAACGCTTTTGTTATAAAAAATATACATATTTGATACATCACATGACAGTTACTATAAATTTCCACCATTTACGCGGGCAAATGCAATGCAATAATGTTGCTGCTTTTTTTTATTATATACATGAAATGTATAAAAATATCTCTGTGATCTATAACAAAGTCTATATTAATAGTTTGTATAGGAATACAAAAGTACATACGTACATAAACATTTACAGTCCTCAACAACGAAATATTTGTATATTATCACTATTTTTTATCTATTAGGATAATTTTTAACCTGTACACGGCATATTCGTATTTCACTAAATTTTTTAGCAGCTTAGGAAATACGAAATTATAGAGTAATATAAATAAATCATTTAGTAAGTATTACTGAAAAGATCATAGTAATTTTTTTTTTCATGTCATTGTTTCGTAATCATTTTAAACTTTTCATAAATGCATCAATAGCTGTATACATGCATTCATGGCATCATTATGTCAATATTAATGGCAGTAAAGTCATATATTTAGTCCCGATATATTGTACTAAAATCTAATAGTAGTAAATTAATAAATATGTATATATGTATATAAAATACAGCTATTTACTTATGTTATAGGAAAAGTCCTTTTCTACGTCAATGATAATTTTGATAATAACTTTAAACTAACATTTTCCACTTATTTACTTGCTCATAACAGCGTTACGAAAACAAAACTCAAAGATGAATCTTCATATTAATCATTACTTGGGTTGAAATATCTATGCCATTGCTATATTTAAATATATCCAAATGATGGCGAACGTTCCACTGGTACTGGAATTTATTTCTAAAATTCGTCCTTTCTCGGGCGATTGTCGCAACTTGTCCACACGGTAACAACGCATTTTTTTTTTTCAATAAGCAAATTTCGTGTCCAGTTCAACTGTCAGACAAGAAATTCGAGTACAAACGTGTGTCGGTTGCGTTATTAAATTTTACTAGAAGGCAGTAACCTCATCGCCTCCCTGTAGCCAGTCTCGCTGGCACCGTGGACAGTCGAGAAGTGTCTGAGGTTGGTCGCCTCACCCGCAAAGAGAACTCTAGGGGTGCCAGCACTGTCTAATAGGGGTGTACCAAGGTCCTTTCTGGAGTCTGGGTACTTCATTGACTCCATGCTGTCGAAAGTGTAACTACCCCTAGTGTATGGGTTCGAATACCACGTCGTTCTGTGAAAAAAATGTCAAATCTAATCAAACATAGAGGACGATGCTACTTAAACTGACTGAGACTCTGTAGATGAATTGTCGAGTGTTGGAAAACATTTGAGATAACAAAAAACAGGCTGCAATAACTACTAGGAATGAGATAGATGATACACGCACACAAGCGTCTGTAAAAAGAAACTTTTTGGGAAATAAATTATATCGGGCGGGGATGCCCCCACCGCTCCGGACTATTCTTCGCTTATAGGCATATTGTTGTACTTTATATACAATCATGTAGGATTAAAGTATCGGACACCAGGGCATTAGGGTCAACGTTGATCTAGGTTTGCACGTTTTCTGGCTACTGCCAATGTATATGTTCATCAGATATATTTTTTTTAATGTGAGAAAGTGGCAAACGAGCTGGCAGTTCACCTGATGTTAAGTAACCGCCAGCCCATGGACATTTGAAACTCCCAGACAGTTACAGATGCGTTTCTGGTTATTTCTTGCCAAAATAAAATATTATTTTTTTTAAATTATGGAATGCCCAATTAACATTATGTCAATGTACTTCGTCTAAAAATCACCTTGTATACATGCTGAGAGATTATACAAATGCTTACGTTCAGCAATGGACCGCTTGCGAACTTTCATGGTCATCTTTATGCGTTACTTATGCCCGGTTCCTAAATTCAACGAACGTCCGTTAGTTAAACAGCTTCGTAACTTTAATATCGACATGTAGATTAAAGGAACGCCAGTAACTCACCTTCCGTAGGTAATGAAACGGCTCGTAAGGAAAACACCTCGTATTGTTAATAGGTAATAGTTAATAGGAACCGGGCATACACGCCATTTATTTACAAGTCGTTATGCAAGTTACGAAGCTACGTAACTAACGGACGTTCGTTGAAAATAGGAACCGGGCTTAAGCGGAGACGGTTTGAACCCGGGACATTACCTGATCATTCCAGTCGGCTCTGGCACGGTGACGTTGGCACCGAGGAACTTCTGTAGGAGCTCGACGGATTTCCTCTTGACCAAGTCCTCGGGTAAAGTTTCTACCTGTATTTCGATATACGTCTAAACTTTTTTGTATTTGGTGGCAAATGGGCAAGCTGATTATCGTCCATGGGCATCTATGACCCCCGTGACGTTACAGTTGAGCTGTCAACCTTTAGGGAAGAAGGTCCCTGGTAGCGTAGCGAAGACTAGCGTGAAGTAGATGTTTATACAGTAGTATAAACATCCACTTTACGCTAGTCATCTGTGCTGTTGTTCTACTACCTTGTAAGTAATAAAAAAGGTAAAGAATACATATGCTAACTTAATTTTAAGCCGTCTTCAAAAAAGGGTACTCAATTCGGTCTTATGCTTTATTACGTTTGTTATCTTAGAACTGAATACATACATAGGAAGGTGCATGTGGAAATGCACACATGGACCAGGCTAGATCCAGAAAACCGAGATCAACAAACAAGCGGCAGCATGCTTCTAAGAACGAGCATTTTAGGATTAGTCTCAATGGATATATGGATGGCTAGGCTTCATCTTAATCAAGCATCATTGTTAGCAAGTAGACATTTCCACGCAGTCTATCCACCTCACTTGGGGTAGTGAAAACTTAGCGATTAATCAAGAGGTTAGTAGACGGCAAGCGTTAAAAGAAATCTTGACGTGCAATGGAGACATACTTAAGTTTTGACTGTGCCCATCGGCTTAGGGAATGCGACCCACCAATTTCCCGGACTCCCCGCTGGTCCACAGCGTGAGCGTGTTCCCGGATCCCAAGGGAGAGCTCGCTCCGAATATCCTGGTCGTCCAGCGATCCTCCCTCGCCACCTTCCTCCTATCCTCGGGCCTCCAAAGGAACCCGAAGAAGGTGTGCGAAGTGGGCCACCAGGGTTTTGTGAAGGTGAAAACGATCTTATCCATGACACCCATCGTGAGGCTGTTTATGGCTTTCACTTTGACCTTAGGCACTGGGGGAGTGAAGAGGCTCGCGTGCCTGGAAAAGGGGGGAAGGGTCAGCATGCCTGACAATAGTGCAGCTCCAAAACTGAACCAAGAATACCATAAGTTGATTTTTAGGTAGGCGTCTTCAGGCAAACGATCATGATACTCCTCGGTATCTGTTCCCGAGGAACGATTTACATATGTTTTTCCAAACAAATGGTGGCAGGAGCAGTAGGGAGGTCCGATACGAAGCGATATACCGGAATATCGATACAGCGCTGTACGATATATCGATGATTAGATCAAAAAATACTCCTAGACCTATAGTTAAAAAATATATCGAAAGAATAAAAATGTTTTATTTGTTTTAGTTTTTAAATTCGCTTTATAAATTGTCAAAAAAATGGTAAATAAACAACATTGAACATAAAATTTATATGGTCTATGAACCTTTGCCTGTTCGAAAGGACGAATGGTAAAGGGTGGTAGAAAGTATAATAGAGATTCGACGACCAGCCCCCAAATAAGACTAACCATCAACAAGAACAAAAAGTCCAACTAAAACCACGTTAGTTATCCCACTTCTACGATTTGAAGAATGCTGTAAATCTCGCATGCATCATTCATCTACTCGTCGATCAGCCCCCAAACAGACTAACCGTCACCAACAAGAAAGTCCTGCTAAAACCCGGTTAGTTATCCCACTTATACGATTTTTCGAGCACCCTGTATGTCCCGCATGCATCGCACGACCAGGCCCAACCGGACCCCGCATCACCGGGCCCCATTCACTGACCAGCCGCGCCGTTCTACCGGCGTGCCACACGCTTATCGCGTTCCTGGAGCCCATGGCGGACGAAGCGAAGTAATTGACCCAGCCGGTCTCGTTCAGTTCCCGTTCCCTCTCGAGTCTCGTCTGCCGGAACCAGTAGCTCTCGTGGTCCGGCCACCAGCGATGGGGGAACGCGAGGACCACTTTGTCAACGGTGCCCATGGACAGGCGCGAGACGGCTAGTACCTTGGCCTCAGGAAGGGGCGGTTCGAAAAGCGACCGGTGTCTGAAAGTTGCCAGGACAGCATAACGGTGTATAATGCCTCAGACGCGCATGTGCTCATGCGTGCCTGATGCAGGGCCGCGCATGCGCGCATGCGTGCGTTATCTATGCTAAGGAGTGTCGCCTGTGTTCGCGTTCGTCCCGCCGCTTGCGGGATTTGTGAGTGTTGTCGTCACGTAAGGAGAAAACATTACGTGTCCCGCTTTCGCATATAAGTCTCGCTGTCTCTATCTGACACGCATCAGTTGACGGTATAAAGTGGGGCGGGGGAATGTTCGCTTGTTTTGTTATTTTTCATTTAGATATAAGTTCATTTTGCTTCTTATTAAATACACAATAAAATTATACAGAGAAAAGACCTTCGACCGCATGTCCCTTGACACCTCTCGCTTTTTCAATAGATAATATATAACTTGTAACAACAGTTTGAATAAGGTATATAAGCCTATTCCTCCTTCCCTAACGACCATTTTCACTCGCTGCACAATGGGTCTTAAATCATAGTAAGGCTAGCCTTGCTCTAGAGCAGTGTGCGGCGCTGAGCCTGGCAAAATGCTGACACAAGCCAAAACCACCGTCTACTCACCTGTCCTTTAACACACCAACCGAAACGGTCACTATGACGTTGTTCGCTTTGTACGTCTGTCCGTCCGCGCACGTTACTTGCACCAGCTCCGATGGGCGTTGGGGCCAAGCGATTTTCGACACTTCCGCGTTCAGTTTAATGTCCAGATTCGGATATCCCGGCCCGCCCTGATATGTGTTCTGTAAACGGAGTGTACGGTGCACATTATACAAGAGCAACAACAGTTGCTGGCCAATAGCCTAGCTTTATCTATTAGCTTAGCATGTTTGTTAAGTAATGTGATGGTAACCTGTTGGGATTGTGACATTGTAGTGTTTTTTATGTAATAAATAAGGTGGTAACGAATTGGCGGTTCACCTGACGTTAGGTTATAACCGCCGCCCATGGAAACTTGAAACACCCGTAAATTCGCAGATGCTTTGATAAACCGGAGCCGGTTCTCCCAGTCACCAGAACAAACGCAAAACCCTTCCATGGACGGACCTGATCTCTCATGAAACAGCAAAGACTGTTGCGTGGCCCTAACACAGGAGAGGTGCACAGTGGTTGACCTACACTAAATGGTTTTCACTACTTCTTTTTTATGTGAAAAGTTGGCAAAAGACCATAAGGTTCGCTTAATGTTAAATGAAACACCTCCACTTCACGCCGGTCTTCTGTGAGGCCGTGGTAATACCCTGGACGAGGCTGCCCATTCGTGGAACTGCACCAGTCGACCAAATCACCAGGGGCACCTACTTGGTCATTTGGTCAAGGTTCTATCCGTGGGTCTATCAGTAAGCTTACAAGCATCAGCTCGAAGAAGGTCTTGTATCCGTGCCTGTGCCAGCTCAGGTGCTGGTCACCGCCCAACTCCTCGTAGTCGGTGCGCGAGCTGACATCGTACCAGCTGTCCGAGCCCTCGTAGTTGTCCACCACCAGGTCCATGAGGTCGAGGAACGAATCGAGGAAGTCTTCGTCCTCCAGGAGCTCGGGCCTGGTCTCCTTCAGTCTGGAAGGAGGAATTGCCACCGGTGATGGATGAGGAGAGAATTGAGTTGTTGAATAATATACAGAATAAGGAAAAGAGAGAAGATATTATAAATTGGACCGAAACTATTGGGTTGGTAGTATATTATGACGTAAGTTCTTGAAAATAGAAAAAAATAGTTAAATGTAATGCAATAGCCGATCTTCAAACCATCAACGAATCACCAAGATGAATTACAGGGTGGTGGTTTTAAGTGGTGGTAAGGCAGGAATTTCTAATAAGGTGTCCATAATGTTTAAAAAAATCAAAAATAATGTTCAAAAAAAAAATGAGGTCACAAGCACGTATCAGATTCAGATTTAGAATCAAATTCTGCATATGCTCTGTTAATATGTCCGTCGTCTGTAAAATCACCCTGTATAGCATGGGGTCCAACGAAAACATTCCACTAGCAAGACCTATAGGCGAAAATGACAAACAAGGGGTCTCTTACGACCTCGCCCACTCACTTCCTAGTGATGAATTCTCCCAAGGGTACGGTCTCGTACGCAGCCGCCTCCACGGCGGAGAGGCAGTATTCGACCAGCTCGTTAACCAGCACCGAATCCGCCCGACTGCCGTCAGAGCGGTACACGTCGAGGGTGAGGTTCTGAGACAGCACCGTCACGTTGTTCCTCACCGCCGTCTCGTACACTCTGCTGCCGTGTTGGCCGTGGATCCTGCAAGAGGTGGTGGACTCCTGCATTCCCGGTATTGAGGGCTCATGTGTCGCGCAGTCGAAAAGGCGCTGTGACATTTACCGTGGAATCGCAAACACAATTGCGGAACTGAAAAAGGGATCGCGGAATGAGATATTGTGCCCTGAAACGGGAACTCTGGCATGATCTTGGTGTAGAGATAGAAGTAGTTCTTCTTCTACTAATATGATTTAATGTGAATTTTTTTTAATGCTTTAATTGTGCAATGATATGTGAAACGAGTGAGGAATTCACAAGCACCAGATCGCACGAACTATATTTGTTGCTTTATTATCTAGTAGTTTAGTATTTGCTGTGCTTTTATCGCTTGTGGAGAAAGAGATGCACACTATTATATTATTATCCTGATATAGGCCTGTGATAAGAGAAGAACTAGTGATGCGCCTGGTTAAATGTTCATATTTGGAGGCATGTTAAGTTCATCGAATGATTGCGAGTGACAAATCGCAAGTAAAGTTCTACTCCAGGAAGATCAGCAACGATCGCCGGCACTCCTGCCACGAGGAACTCACCACTCTGCGCCTAGCTCGACCACGCCATCGCCAAAGGGCACTGTGTGGACCCTGCCGCCGATGCGACCCTGCGCCTCCAAGCCTAGCACCTTTCGACCCGCGCTGGCCAGGGTCGAAGCAGCGGTCACCCCCGCTGCGCCTAACCCCACCACGATGGTGTCATACTGCATCGTCGACCTGTAGGAGTTCCGTGACGTCTACCATTGATAATTTAAATAAATAAATATTGAAACAAATATTTTCGGACACATTTTTTACACAACGTTCTCTAGTTCCAAACTAAGAAACGCTTTTACTATGGGTACTAGAAAATTGTAAAACACTTACTTAAACATACCTTTCTTTTGTAAATACATACATAAACAACCAGACACTGGAAAAACGCTGTTCATCACACAATATTTTTCCAGTATTAGGGATCGAACCCACGCCTTCTGGCGCAACAGGCAAGGTCATTACTCTCTACGCCAATCCGGTCGTCAACTAATCTCTTAAATCTCATAAGGACGTTGGTGAGACTCGAGATTAGGTTAGATTTTTATAGTATAGGACTTTACTAGACTATAGGTGTTGACTCCATGGGTTCGTGTGGCCCTACTTATTAAATGTCGCGGAGGATTGCGTCTTCCTGTTCCCCTGGCAAGGGTCGAAGCGATATACAGGGTGATTTTTTAGACGAAGTACATACTTTGACATAATGTTAATTGAGCATTCCATTATCCAAAAAAATATAAATATTTTATTTTGACAAGAAATAACCAGAAAAATGTAATTCAACCACCGTTTGTTTATCCCGTAAATAGTGGTCACGCTATTGATAAGTGGTTTAGTAATTATGCGTTCAGCGAAAAGTGTTAGCTCGTGAATAGGTTATTTTATTGAGACGGTAAGGCAGGAATGTCCATAATTTAAAAAAAAAATAAAAAATACGAGGTCACATGTACGTACCAGATTCAGATTTAGAATCAAATTCTGCATAATATTCTCTGTAAATATATCAGTCGTCTATAAAATCATCCTGTATACAAATGTAACGTCAATTTTCTTTTATTAACGTCATTTTATAAATAAACCGTATTTACGTTTGTACGTCAGAAGTGGTTCATTTGAGAAGAGGGCGGCGAAACGAACAGTTTGATTTAACTTGTGATAAAACTGCGAAAGAACCATAATCAAGCACGCTTCTTACATTAATCCGCTCATAGAAGCATGAGACGCTTTTATAACGCGGCAGGAAAGTATAATCCCGACTCTACAAGACTAGAATATTATTATTCATTTCATTATTTCAAAAAAGTACATCACTAACGCCCGGTTTCTGTAACGCTGATCATCGTAGATGTTAACTAATCAGCTGTCAAATGGCTTTGCAAATGTCATTTGAGTTGCCGAAAGGATGTGATGGACTATTAACAGGTTTAAGATATTTATTGAAGAAAAACTTTTTAAAAAGTGTTATTACAATATAAAAGAGTACATTAACGATAATAACCCCTGGGATTGAGATGATCGCTCCTAAGCTGTTTTTCTAAATAAAAAAAATGTAATAATAATAATAATAATAAAAATGTAATAATAATAATATTTTTATAAGTATGTTTATTTTTATCCATAATATTTATTTTATATATGCAATATGTATCTATATTTTTATTTATAAACCCAACCAGACGAGGAAACAAATGAATATCCCCCCATAATAATAATAATAAACACTTTATTTGTAAAAAACATGGTTGTACAAATGCAACGTGATGTTATGTCATAAAATTAAGTAGAGCATGTTTTTTGCTCTAGACGAGCGTATAAATATTTTTTGTGCTGTTCTTAGCACCTGGATTAATAGATATAATTTTAATGATAATAATGTACTGTAACAATGTATTTTTGATTGAGAAAAAAAATGACAAAAAAGATGATACCAACGGAGTTTCTTACGCCTGTTTCTTCTCCGTTAGAGGAACATCATTACGAAACGGTGGTAGATTAAAGAAATGACTATCGATAGATGAAATGGATATTTCTTATTTCGATGTAAATTATTTGATTTTGATGGTTAAACTCTTTGAATTGATCATTCTGATCGTTAAGATCATGTTTATGGATTTATAACGTTTTAATACCCGACGTTTCGAACTCTTTACAGCGTTCACGGTCACGGGACAGACTGAGGCGTTGGGCATCTGAATGTCATAGTTAACATAGGCTACCGTCATTCTCCTCAGACCGGGTTCCCGCCTTGACGAGGCGGAGGGGCTTAGTAGCCGTGGCTTGGTCCCCCACGGCGAAGCTAAGAGGAACCCACACTGGGCCGGCCTGTGGTGTAAGGCCGGCCCGAGAGGGCCGCTCCGAGTGGGCTCATTGAGCCCACTCTGGATGCGTACTGGAGGGTGCAGATGACAGGTCGAGGGTGGTAGAGGTGGAGCCACTCTCCTTGTCTTCTGCTACCGAGGAGTCGCGGGGGAAGAGGAGTGTCGGTATTGCGTTGGCCGTGCTCCCTATCCTCCGCGACTCGGTGGGGCTGCACCGCTGATGCAGTGGTGGTGGGGCCGCGGGGGGAGAGGAGTGTCGGTATTGCGGTGCGCCGTTCTCCCTATCCTCCGCGGTCGAAATGTTGTGAGCAGCGGAGCCACAGACCAGGTCCGGCGCTGGGGGCTGGGAGGCTTGCTGCTTATTAGCACTGGCTGTCCTGGCTCCCATGGCCCCGGTCAGCAAACTCGGGGGAGTTCGTTGGCCGTGAAAATAGGGCCAAGTAGGAAGGCGCGCTGAACGCGCCCTACCTGGAGGAGAGGGGAGTTGCTCCCCGTGAGGGGGCTGCTAAGGCGGCCAGCGCTGGCAGGGTCGCGGAAGTGTGCGAAAGCGTTTCCGTGACCCTGCCGATATGCGCCTAGGCGTAACATCGTGGCGGTTTTAGTCGGTGTGAGTCCGACATAACCCGCTCTTGCCCCCGCGAGGGCGGGTAAGCGTAGGCATTTCCCCCACGTCAACAAAAAAAAAAGGCTACTAAAACATGTAGAAAAAGTACGAAAAGATTGTCGCCGCTGTGGGAATCGAACCCACGTCTTCGGCATTCGCGGCCTGACGCTCTAGCCACTAAGACGTACTTTTTCTACATATTTTAATGTTCAATCTTAAGTGCAGAGATAAGCACTATAAAAAACTTAGGCTACCGTCAGTTTATAAATTATTAATTAAAACTTAAAATAAACACGACAAATCGAACATCGTGTATTAATATTTATGGTAAATGTAAATAACTTTAACTCCGGCGTAATTCAAATCAAATAAATTTTAAACGATAGAGAAAAATCACTTATGAATTTATCAACAAGCAGAATTCGGCGGTCGCTTATAGTTTTCGAAAAAATAAATAATGAAATAGTGTGATTTTTACTATAGAAATCCGCCATTTTTTTGTTGTCAATATGTCAATTCAGCTCGTATTTCTTGGTGATCATAAAAAAAAAACCTAACATCGAAGGTTAAGGCGGGAGCGTAGCTCCCGGCTGAACCTTCTAACCTAATCTATCCGAGTCGGATTCGCTCTGTGTCGGTTCTGTGACTCATTAAATTAAAAAAAAAATTGGAATATCGATACGTGTATGATGTCGCCCGCTTCCTATATTTATCATGTTGGCAGAACTGTGTATTGAGTTTTTGAAGTCAAACAAATAAAATGGTGATTTCTTAGTACAAAAAACAAGTTTTAAATATTTTTTTCTCGAAAACTATAAGCGACCGCCGAATTCTGCTTGTTGATTAATTCATTAGAGATTTATCTCTATGGTTTAAAATTTATTTTAATTGAATTACGCCGGAGTTAAAGTTATTTACATTTGCCAAAAATAAATTGAGTTTAAGTTATCAAAATTGTTGCTACCTTACGTACGTTTAAAGCGCAACTGGACTACAGATGTGCAGAAATATTTTCTGGTTTAATCTAGTTCTGCCGCTTACTAAAGATAAGTTAATTTGCCTGATCCCAGGAATTATGTATTTACAAATGGATTTGTATGTTTTCCACATAAACTACCATATTATATGCAACTAAGAGTCAAGGTATTAAGGGGCATACAGGGGACATTATTACAGTTAGCATTGGTCTCTGTATTTTTTAACAAGCTCTTTCGAACAATCATCATCATCATCAGCCGCAAGATGTCCACTGTTGAACATAGGCCTCCCCCTTAGAATACCACAACAAACGATACTTTGCCATTTGCATCCACCAATTGCCAGCGATCTTATGAAGTTTGTTAATCCACCTAGAGGGAGGCCTTCCAATGCAACTTGTCCATGGAGTATGTAGTAGCATGCGGTTAATCTATAGAATGAATAAATTTTGCCTTTAGAATTTTTTCCCTTATCAAGAATAATGATTCATAATCTCCATAAGCACTTTAACAACAGTTTCATGACATGTAACTTTGTCTACAGCTCAACTAACAATGATAAATAATTGCTCATAAATCACTGAAAGCAACACATTGAATAGTAAATGTTATGATATATCAATGTTTTAAAGAGAAACTGTAGTAGTGCATCATTCACAACAACAAGTGATTATTTTTTTTTTTGTTTTATAAATGGTTTTGTTTAAAAATCTGTATGGAACTGCTCAGCACAATTTTTGTGGACTAAGTTATAAAACTCGAGTGGCAGCCTCGTATTGGCCATTGCAGTGTAGGATGACCCCCACTAGATGGAGTGACGGACCTGTGCAAATATGCAGGAAGTTGATGGATGTAGGTGGCTCAGGACACTTTGTGGTATGCTATGGGGTAGGCCTATGTTCAGCTGCGGACTCAAACAGGCTGAAATGATGATGATGAAGGTAAACCTACTGTGGGAACAGCGAGTGCAAGTTAGCGGATGAGTGTACCAATAAGTGAATCTGAGTCTGACTTTGGTCAAGTTGCACGTAGCATGCAGTTTCTGTTGTTTCATGAATGGGTAGGCTTGTCCTGGGAAGTACCACTGACCCACAGTGAACTAGCGAAGGGTGGAATTGTTATGCTCCTGTGTTTCATCCGGTGAGTAAGTCAACCAGGGCCTACTTTCTTAAAAGGTGTTAATGCATCTCTAATTCTATGGGTCAGGCGGATGTTTATGGATGGTAATTACATTATTTTGTGTTGCATCAGCCTGTTACCTTCAAGCAAAAAATCAGAGTGTATACAGCTAACTGCTGCCTAAACTTGAATGTCTTTATTTAACTTTCTCTAACATATCTTATCAGTCTAACAAACAAAGTGATCTTGTAATATAATTCTTTGATATGCTACATATATGGATGTGACATAGGTAGATATATATTATAACTAACATAAATGTAATAAATGACATTAACAATTATACCCACTTTATAAAAGATTGTAACAATTTAAGGTAAATGTAAATAACTTTAACTCCGGCGTGATTCAATTGAAATAAATTTTAAACGATAGAGAGGGATCAGTAATGAATTTATCAACAAGCAGAATTTGGCGGTCGCTTGTAGTTTTCGAAAAAAATAAATAATGAAATAGTGTGATTTTTACTATAGAAATCCGCCATTTTTTTGTTGTCAATATGTCAATTCAGCTGGTATTTCTTGGTGGTCATAAAAAAAAAACCTAACATCGAAGGTTTAGGCGGGAGCTTCGCTCCCGCCTGAACCTTCTAACCTAATCTATCCGAGTCGGATTCGCTCTGTGTCAGTTCTGTGACTCATTAAATTAAAAAAAATCGGAATATCGATACGTGTATGATGTCGCCCGCTTCCTATATTTATCACGTTGGCAAAACTGTGTATTGAGTTTTTGAAGACAAACAAATAAAATGGTGGATTTCTTAGTAAAAAAAACAAGTTTTAAATATTTTTTTCTCGAAAACTATAAGCGACCGCCGAATTCTGCTTTTTGATAAATTCATAAGTGATTTTTCTCTATCGTTTAAAATTTATTTGATTTGAATTACGCCGGAGTTAAAGTTATTTACATTTACCTTATTTTTATTTTTTATTGATAAAATAGTTACGTACAGCTCTTCTCGTCATATTCAAATAATATGATTTTAAATATTTTGCCAATGTACAAATAGAGTAAACAACAATAAAACGACTAGGTTATAAATTATATAAATTTTACGCAAAAATTAAATTACCTTTGTATTTATGTAGGGATTAAACTTCACTTTGAGTACAGAAGAATTATATAATGCAACACAACTATGCCACTATATGAGGAACACTGATAATTTCACTATTGAACTACTGTTAAACTATTTAACAGTAGCATTAGCATTTAGCAATGACATGACTTACGACATTGACAGTGACACTAGGAGTGAGGCGTACTAGGGATGGGCGTATATACTGGAACAGGTATAAATACCCAGTATGAACATGCCAGTACGCGCACCGGGTATGTACGGCAGAGGCCCGTTCCATACCCGATAGGTATGGCTGGGTATGGCCGCCTCGTCCGACGGTGGCGGTATATAACGCTCGCGACAACCCGCCCGCACACCGGGTATGACGTATGTACGGCAGAGGCCCGTTCCATACCCGCACCGATAGGTATGGCTATGGCCGCCTCGTCCGACGGTGGCGGTATATACGCTCGCGACAACCCGCCGGCCGAATAGGTACGAAGTTCCCCAAACGCTTACGGCGGCTCTTTCCGATCATGCCCGAATTGAAACGTTTGATTTAGACATTTTATACCAAATATTTCCTTGAGATAAATTTATTCTTTATTTCTATTAATTTATTACAATTAGGTAGATAAATAATTGCGTAATAAGATTAAACAGTAATATTTATTTTGAATTACTTTTTTTTTTATAATAGGGTTCTTTACGTTGTGCTAAAGATGGAGCTTAATTTAGACTGATTAAATCTCAAATAAAAAAAAAATGATTGCTAAAAAAAACATCTAAATGTTCCAATTCCAACCAAAGAAAGGTTCAATTCCATACCGGGTCTCCATTAGGAGGCCAGAACATAACTAATACCTATAGGTATTTTGATACTGGGTTTTAGCACCGGGTATACGGCGATACCCGTACCTTTGAGGCCGGGTATAGAATGTTGCAGGTATATCTCAAGCCTAAGGCGTACTTATTGTAACAGGTAAATATAACAGGTATTTCGAGATGACAAACTTTACTCGTTACGAACAAACAAATATCAGTTCCTGTTCCACACAAATAGCTTTCGACCTTACACTTTGTAAGTGTAAGATCTTTGTGCTTACGACTGTTGTCTCAGTTACAAGTGACACATATAGATGGGGGTTGATTAAATGAACTAGTTAAATCAACGGTTGATCCCTTGTCAACGTATCAACTTCAACCTTCCATGGAATCAACTAGTTGAATTCGTCAACAACGTCATGGATTTTATGTCTTTTAACAAAATCGACCCGTTGAACGCAAACGCAACGAACTGAACAAATTAAAAAACTTCCGTTAAAAGTAACGCAATCGAAAGTTGACAATTATTTGACTTATTTTATTTACAAAAGGATTACGATTACAGACGACTTTTACGAATGACAGATTTAGGTTCGCTTTCTTATGATTTTGTGTGACAATTTGTGAACAGTTGCACGCAAGTTCAGAGATTATTTTGCGACTTATCATAAATGTTATTAGAATTTTACTGGATGTTTATGGTGTCTTTTTTCCTAAATTTGTTAATTTGTAATTGTATAAAATGTATAATATTAATCGGTCAGACAATTTAGACTTATTGAACGTTATAACGTCAAATAAAACCCGTTCATTAATGTCATAATAAATATTATGTATCACCTTAACTAGTTATCGAATTTAACTAGTTTACGAACATGAATCAACGTTAGCGTTAACACTCTTGACACTGACATCATAGGGATGTCGACTATTTGAAAAAAAAAACTATTGATTTTTTATTTAATATATCGATGTTTTTAGGTAATATATTTCCCATTTATCGATATAAAATATTCAATATTGAAATTCAGATTTTTTTTATTCAAATTCAGAATTATTTTTATTTAAATTTAATTCAGGGTAGGGTTGATTTTCTACTATAATTATGGTAGTCATCCTTCAATTTCATGTTTCGTACTATGTATTATCCATATGTAAGGTACAACATTGTATAGAAGTGTTACAAATCATTAATATTGAACTACATGTTAAGGTTATTTATAAATAGCATGCGAAATATTAATGGTATCAACTAAAGTTATAGTGATATTTGACTTTGGTCCTTTGGGAGAGAGGCAAAGCCCTCGTTTGGGATGCTACTTGTGTAGACACTTTGGCTGCCTCTCATCTAAGGGGTACTCGGTCAGGGCCGGTCAGGCATCGGAGGCAACTGAAGTAAGTAAATGGCGCAAATATGCGTCTCTATGTTTAGATTATGTATTTGTGCCATTTGCTGTTGGAACTTAACAAACACTTGCGTGTTTTGGGTTCGTGGAGTACCCGCACATCAAATTTTTTTAAAGGTTTATGGCCTAGGCTTAAGTCCACGGCTGGTCACTACAGAGCTGGTTTTTTTTTCGCTCAAAGGCTCAACATAACTATTCAGCGAGGAAATTCAGCTAGCGTTCTAGCCACGTGGCCAATTTGTTCGTGCCGCGTGGATTAGGTTTGTTATATAATATGTAATTTTAGATAAATAAATGTTCCTTTAATTTAATATTTATATAAAATTAACAAAATTTAATTATAATGAAATTCTCAATCACGTTTATAATTTAGGCTTCTTAATAAAAAAATCTATGAAAAATATATCACAAAAAATATTATCATTTAACAACATAAGTAGGGCACGGATATATCTTTCACATTAGACATTGTTATTTTGAAAAATTACAACAGTAACAGTTACATTTAAAAAATTATACAAAGATAGCGAAGTGTTTAGGTAATTAAAAAAAAAAGAAGTTTTATTCATTTTCCAATCTTTCTTATAAAATTGATTGATTTGTTAGGGATGTACAAAACGGTTGATAAGGAGATATCTGTCTCCGCCAGTTTAAAGAACTAATAGCCACACGTACAGATTTCAATTAGCATTAACGAGTTAATTTCTGTCAAATAGGTTAGACTGAAATTCATTCATTTTGACAGCATTAGAAAAGTGTACCATACCGTATGTCCGGAAGGCGATGGTACACTCGAACCTGCGAATTGGTTATATGGCATTAATTGTGGTAGGGCCACGATACTTCTTCTGCAGTTGCACGATTGGGCAGGCTTTTGGGAAGTAGATACTACTGCCTTATAGTAGAACGGCATGTAATTTTTAAATATTTGCGTTTCCTCTGTGAGTGAGATAACATGTGCCTGGTAAGGTTGTCAAAGCATTTGAAGCCCTCCTTGTTATATCATTGCACCACAAGCTCGTGAAGATGGCCATGGGCGACTGTATTAATTTAAAATGAATATAACAACATTAATTGCACATAAAAATAATATCAATTATGTACGTTACATAAAAACATATAAAAACAATAATTGTTTACAATCGCTCCTACGGGCGGATCGTTCTTAATAGATGAGTTTGTACTTGACCTGTTTGGTACTCCATTATCTGATTAGCGAAGAGAGGAATAACAACATTAATAAGACTATTCTGAACCGATAATCTTAAATAAGTTAATAGGTAGTACAATTTCGTTATTAAATGCGCAACCCTTCGAACATTCTAGAAGAGCATGGAAAGACGTTACGAAACTGTGGTATGATACTTTTTAAGTTTCGTGACAAACAAAACAAACTCTAATGAAGTTACAATCTAATGGCTAAGCAAATAGGGATGGAACGACCTATCGCAGGCTGCCTTCTCCGTGTCTAACATGCACATTTTTAAGGGGAGTGAGAATTTTTACCAAGTGCATTTGATGACTTTTACTGCTTGCATTTCACTATAAGATGAATTCAAGTATTAGCCAGTAAAAGTTACTCACTGTTCGGCAACCGCAACTGCGATAAACAGCAACGTAGTAATCCCGATCGTAATCTGACCGGCCATCTTTGCCTCTCCTCACCACAATGACATGAGAGCAAAGACAATTCACTTATATATGTCGACGAAATCGCGACAAATCAAACGTTTCAGTCGCGTTGCGTATATACATCCATTAGGCGTTACGCTAGCACACATATGCACTGTTCATAAACAATAAAACAAATTTTTTGTATCAACCGGCTGTGGCGATCACAGAACAGGTTTATAATATTTCATGAATATAGTACAAGTCTCAAAAGGATTGAGCTCTTACTTTGTTCGGTAAGGGTGTAAGTCACCTTGATAAAATGGTGAAACCGAATTGACAGCCAATTGAAGTTCAATACAGGTCAGAATCAATCGAAGGTCGGCAAGTAATACTTGTACCATTCAATACGATGCCCTTTAATTACGATGTCCTTGAAAAGTTCTCGAGTGGCAGCCTCGTACTGGCCATCGCACCCCCCACTAGACGGAGTGACGACCTGTGCAAATATGCAGGAAGTCGTAGTATGCAGATGGCTCAGAATCATGATTTGTGGCAGTCTGTGGGGGAGTTGTATGTGCAGCAGTGGACTCAAACAGGATGAAATTATGATGAATCAGTCCATCCTTATGTTGTATATCCCATATGTTGCCCTTGAGGATCAACCGTGGGATCCCATAATGTCTCTATATCTCCCCTTTCGCAATTTAGCGTTGAAGGAGCCCTTTCGGATGACAGTTAAAATTGCCGCCATTTTGCGGTTTGACGTTTCCACCGTTTTGGCGTTCGGGTACTATTTTTGGAACTATTTTTGTATTACAAAAGAAATAATATATTTATTTCGAAGAACCAACATTACAAAATTTTTAAAAATAAACAGTTACAATATTCTTTAGCGATTTAATATTCTATTGCAAAATGATTTAACAACCAAATTAAAAAATATACTGTCGATTACTCAAAAAACTATAATTAATTATACATAGTCTTAGACGAAATCCACAACACTTCACTACGGAGTCGGCCGATTATAATTTTCGTTTAAGAATTACTACCGTCTATATTCTTATTATACAGTAAAGAGTAAAAAAAGTACTAGAGTAAAGAGTCGTATTCTTTTTCTGTACTGACTGAGTCTTACCGACTTCTAGCCAGTCGATTTGCCATAGTCTTCATGGGTCTTTGTTCATCATAATTTCCACATATGCTTGTGATTTATATCTGATTGAATCTAAACTTATGTCTTCTTATATATATAATAAATGACTAGAATCAAATAAAATCATTTTTATTATGTTTGTTATAAAGTAATTAAAACAAAATAACTCCATATTTGTATCATAATAATATTTTATTTACAATTCTCTTATAACAATTATTACATACTTAATCTATTATGCCATAACATTATTTACAATTCAACTATTTCCAAGAACGATTATTCAGATACGGCCCTGAACATTTAAAAAATAAAACATTATCACATGAATTAATCTATACTATATCTGTATCTACTATTTTTCGTTGCCGCGATATTCGTGTCGCAAAATTTTAAAACATTACAATTTACTATTGATTGATAACAACGGTAGTTATTCGAAGCAATAATATGCAATTTATCGTAACGTTTTGTTGTATTTACACAAATACATCTAGTGTTAAATTAAAAAAATAATTTTGACTCAATTTCCTGACGCACGGTTGGCTGAAAACGAAAATCTCATTTCAAATATTTTTTTTAAATAAATAAATATAAAATAAATAAATAAATCTCAATTTCAAAGACAGAGAGAATTGAATTTTAAAAGGGTAATTTTTTTGGCTTGAAATGTAATTCTGCTAATAATTATCGGACTACAAAATGTCGCATTGGACAATTGCGGATAAAATAAGTTATGATTTTAATTAAGAAAAATTTGTAGAGCTCTTACATAAAAATGAGGATATTTCTGGAATCTGCAAGGTTGGCCGTTATATCCTTGCACACAGATATTGTAATATTTATTCGTTATTATTTAACATACTTCGTACTGCGGCATTACTTGGGATTATTTATTAAATCGACAAAGCTAAAAAGGTAACAGCTTCAAATATGAATATGCTATGTCTAGTTTAAAATCATAGGTCAAATAGTCATAAATAAAACACAAAACTGCGTTTTACTCAATTGAAATGTCATGGTAATTATAAATTATCTATTGAAATGTAATCTCCTCTAATGCCCTAGTCCTCATTAACCAATAATCTAATTGAGGCAATCATCCTATAAGATTAAATAGCTAGCTTATATAGCTAGCACCTACACTTCTCTTTCACTAACTTTCCGGTTGGCTGGTAGAAAATGCCTTATGGCATTAAGTCCGCTGTTTGTACCAATTATTACAAAAAAGTGTGCAAATAAATAAATAAATACCTAATAATTTCTTGTATTTACGCGATTACACATTATAAATGAAACTAATTTTACGGATTTATCGCGTTTATTTTTAATTTTAATTCCCGACGGATCGGACACAAAATTAATAATTCAAAAACTGACGGTAGCCCGGGTTAACTATGACAATCAGACGTCTAACACCTCAGTCTGTCCCGTGACCATGAACGCTGTAAAGGGTTCGAAACGTCGGGAATTAAAATTAAAAATAAACGCGATAAATCCGTAAAATTAGTTTCATTTAAAATAAATACCTATGTACTCAATATGATAGTCGAGAAAACTACGATGAGTGGGCGTTTGCCGCGGTGAATTTTCTCTGCCTATATGGAGTGGACATTAACGTTAAACCAATTGATCAAACCGGCCCTGTCGTTGAAGCGTAGAAGGCGAAAGCGAAGCTGATTATGACCATCGATTCATGACTTTATGTTCATATCAATGACGAGAAAACTGTTCATCATGTGTGGGAGCGTCTAAAATCACTCTTCGTTGACTTTGCATTCTAAATGAAGACCGGTTTCAGATTAAAGAATTGCGATTCTATGCCTTCCTATGTAACCCAGATTGTGGACACGAAACCTAAATTACGAGGAACAGGTTTCCAAATAACTGATGAATGTATTGAATGCCTGTTATTTGGCAGGATTAACGGGAAAATTTGCCCCAACGATAATGGCTATTATAGAATATTCGTGTATTTCAGTGAGTACGGACGTCATCAAATCAAAATTGTTACATATGAGTGCAGAGGTTGCAAACATTGGAATTTCTTTTTGGATTGGTGCTTTCTTTTCGAAAAGTTGGCAGCAGCGTAAATACTTCTACTTCTTCTTCTAAGGTAGTTGGCGTTCCATATGATATCGCCAATGACATAATTATGATACAGAAACAAATGGTATCTAAGAATAACTTTTGGTTGTTTATTTTTGCTCCGCTTTTATAATGACAGCGTAAAAACAATGTGCAAGCAAATCAGAAATGTCAAATTCAAAAACGTCATCTTCGAAAACTGTAAAGACGATTGGATGTTATAAATGTAAACAAATCGCACATTATAAAAACAAGTGCAATTACAATAACAAAGATTAAGTAAGCACAGTGTTTAGTGGTTTATTCTCAAACTCAACGTACAAGAAAACGGATGGGTATGTTGATTCTGGTGCTAGCGCCCATATAACAAGCGATTTGCGACAAAGAGCGTTTGTTAGATAGTTCTCATAACCCGTCCGTAAAACAAATTGTAGCTAATAAAACAACAGTACCAGTACTATGCTCAGGAAATACGATGTTGACAACAAAAGTGGATGGTTCAGAGCACAATATTGGTGTGCAAAATGTGCATTCCTAACCTCACTCCTAATCTTCTCTCAGTGACTTGAAAATAGAGTGACTACGGAATGAGAGTGACTTTTGGAGAAAATATTAGCAAAATATCTAACAAAAACAATATATATGTTGCAAAAGCACATTTAGGGAATGTGGTGTACAAGTCAGGACATCAAACAAGAATGTTTGTTGGCAGGTTCAGCAATGCAAGAAAACAGTATGTTATGACATAGAAGGTTGGGCCGTATAAACAGTAAAAATACCTAACATAAAAGGCGTGTGAAAAAAACGATGTTGATTTCCTCGTTTGGAAAGACACAAAACCTGTTCTCTACTTTCAACTGCATTCCACGCAAAGTTGGCCACGAGATGTCAAAGAACTATGAAAGATGGGACAAATAAAGATATAGTGTCCTGAAGCTGTCAAATAATATAGGCAGCGTTTGGAAGGAGTTGACCGCTTTGATAAAAAAAAGGGGTACTTATGGGGTTGGGCAAAAAGGCAAATATAGTGGCGGTATATTTTTTACTTAGTTCTAGATTTAGAACCGACAAACGCTTATTTGTTATACGAAAACATCTTGACGATACCAAACCCTATGTCCAATTTATCACTTCGATTGGCCGTTGCAAGAGGGCTGATTGCGAACTGCACATCGAGAAAGAGAAGAATCGAATCGCTTCCAAAATGTGCAGCTAATATTGAAGAAACCTCCTTCCTCTATGCCCGAATTATCAAAAAGTGACAGGTGTCCCAGATGACGTCAGATACTCTAACGTTGGTCCACATGCCTCTACACAGGATAGTTATAGTTATAGCTGGCTCTTAAATAGCACTGCAATGAAAAATACACGCAGCAAGATCATATGCTGCTTTTGCTAGGTGCCGCTGTGTCTACCGCAGTGGACGCAAATAAACATGGAAGCACTATTGTCGGTCAAAAATGACAATGAAAAACTATACAATGGCAACACGGGGCTTATAAACCGTACCGCGGGGCAGTTTTAAGGATCTACACTTAGTTGAACTAACAAATAAGTTCACCAGGCTCCACTGAAAATCAGTAATCGCAAAAATATCTTCTCTTTTTTGCGATGTAATGCTGAGTGGTGACCTTTTTGGTACATTGACTTCAAGTTGTGATTTCTAAATTTTAATTGTTATTTTTATTTTGTTTTTATTTTATGTTTTGTTTGTTATGTACCAAATAAATATTTCTTTCTTTCTTTCTTCTTTCTTTCTTTGTTTGAGGGCGCGTGACAGCTGTCAATGAGAGTTGTATTGCTATTTATTAACAGTCATTTCTTATTAGCAACAGTGTTCGCTGTTGAACGAATGGGCAAGTCCGTCCGGTTAAGTATCACGACCTCACAGTAAACCGGCGCAAAGTGGCAGTGTTAGTGCGTTTCGTCTGTTGAGTGAGGTAGCCTTGGAATATGTTTATTGAAAGGTGGCAACGCATTTGCAACTGTATGTGTGGTGCTAATGTCCATGGGCGGCCGTTAACACTTAACATCAGGTGAACCGCCAGCTCGTTTGCTACTCTATCACATAAAGAAATATATATGTGTGCAAGGATATACCGCCTTCATTTTATATGTCAGCGCCATACAAATTTATGTATTATATTGTATGATAATGATTAGCAGAATTAATTTTTAAATAAATCATTTATTATTATTATTATTATTTCAAACCAAAAAAGTACGCTTTAACACTCAATTCTATATGTCTTTGAAAGGCGATTTTCAGCCCACCGTGAGAGATTATAAACAATTTAAAGTGTCCATAGTATATATATATATATATATATATATCATTGTATATAAAAAAGTATGAGACTTAGACTATACAAAGTATGAGGCTTAGGTAGGCGTTCCAACACGAATTTTTAACAGGTTATTTAACGTGGTATATTTTTTCATATAAATTTTGACATACAAATATCCTTCGCACTAATCAGAAATTTTGCAAAAATCACAAATCGATCGATGTTGCCAGGACTGTTAGCTCGTAACAAATTATTACAACATCTCGAAAATATATGAAACACTTTTGAAATAACAACGAAGATAAGATCTTTCAATGTGGTAACATTGAGTTGCAGGAATGACGACATTATATTTTTAACTGCTTTCCTTGAACTGCAAATAGTTTTACAAATTTAAAGTCTTTGTACATACACAAACTTAATAAGAACTTCGCTACACTTCGCCTCCGCCGCGGAGTGCTCCGCGCCCCCTCCGCGGCCTCCCTCAAACTAGGGGTGTCGAAAGTGTAATATATCGATATATCGACATTTATAGAACCAATATCGACCTCGACATGTCCAAGAGCAAGTATCGATATATCGGATTTAGGCCATAGAGGCGCCTTTGTCGAAAAAAAAAATGAATTAACGAATGAACGAATACGATTTACGATATTGAATATTTTGCATCGACATATCGGCTGAAAATATCGATATATGTAAGTATATAAAATCAAAAACATCGATACATCGATCTTTCCAAACCCCCCCTCCCCCTCAGAGCTCGGTGGGCGGGCGCCACGTCACCGCGCGCATCTTCCTGTTGATCTCCTGCAGGATGAGCCGGCACCGCGCCAGCTGGGCGGGGCGCAGCTGCGGCGGGGGGTCGCGCGCCCTCTCCGCCGCGGGGGGGGAGCGGGCCGCGCGGCGGAGGGCGCGCCGGCGGCGGGCCCGAGCGGTGGCTAAGCGGCGCGTGATACATCGTCATCATAATCATCGCCGTATTCGACAAACCGTCACGGACAAGTGGCAAGAGAGAGAGTCGTCATCATCGTCGTAACCTCCACCGTGGCGCGTGATACATCGTCATCATAATCATCACCGCATTCGACATGACCATCGCGGCCAAATTGAGGAAGAGAAATGTCATCATTATAATCATGCGCGTAATTAATATGACCACCGCAGCACTGGTGGCGCGCGGGGCGGCGCGTGACACGTTACCATAATCATCATAGTATTCGACAAACCGTCACGAGCAAGTGGCGTAAGAGAATCGTCACCATATCATCACCGCATTCGGCACAACCGTAACGGTTAGGTGGCGCGAGAGAGTCGTAATCACGATAATCATCACAGTAATCAACATGTCTGTTATATCTCAGGTGACGCGTCTCAGACATGGGTAAGTAATGCAAAAGAATCATCATCATATCTTCATAATTATCACCATAATCAACATAACCTTCACAGCACCAGTGACACACTCCAAACATCACCATAATTGATATAACATGTTAGGTTCAATCATCACACCGGGTAAAAATTTTGTTCACCATCCCATTATTCTTCCCAGTCTAACTGTAACTAGAGTCCATGACTTGGTGAAAGTGGAACCTCTCACAACACAGAATTTACTTCTTCATGTAATATTATTACAATATTAATAGTTATATCCATTTAAAAGCCAACAACAGAACAGTGTCAGCGGCAAGGTTAGACTAATGAGTTTTCGCTTTTCAAATCCTGTTTTGGACTTATTATAATATAATATTATATTTAATGGATATTTGGGGTTCTTGACCAGTAGTGGGTATGAACCCCATATAACACTGTCATGCAAGGTGACAGGGTATCTTTTGAAGATTTCCTCCATACATATAAAAGGTTATGAAATACACTTCATGAAATAGCCAGTGCATTTACAATCACAAATCCAAATAAGTGTCTGAGTCCCCAAAATACAGGTATATTCATCCAAATTTTGCATCTAGATAAATATGGATAAACTGAAGGGTTGAACCAAATGAGAATAAATGCGAGACTACTCACCACTTTCCCCCTTTTCTTTCTTAAAATCCCTCTCAATTGTGCTAGATAGAGATCTCTTCTTTGGCGACTGTAACAAGAAGTATATTATACTGTAATATACATAAGTAATAAGATTTATTGATATTATGTTTTGGGTTTTAGTTTAGCTGAATAACAGCATTTGCCATAAAAATAACACAATGATTTCTACTGTTGCATTAATGGGCATCCTTGTCCGGGACCAAGGCCTCAAAGAAGGCCATTGTAAAATCGAGGTACTTTACTTATTGTTTTTTTTTTTATGTTGAGTGAGCAAACCAGAGCCCATTGTTTATAAAGGTTAGCGTCTGCTTTGAGTGTTGACGATGTCCTTCAACATTTATGCCTGTTTGAGTCCACAGCTGAACATAGGCTTCTCCCACAGGCTGCTACAAGTACGATCCTGCGCCGAGCCTGAGATGGTGGTATTTACTTACATCAGGTGAACCAGCCGGCACCATGACAACTTTTTACATTAAAAACAAGTAGAATATAATTTAAAAAACGAAAAAACCCAACTGCGTTTGCATGTAATTTTTTTATTTTGATATACCCAGTGTCACTCTCACAGTAAACGACGAAAGTTTCTAAACCTGGCGCAGTTGGGTAAAAAGAAACCCAAAATTTAACCCACCCGTTTCTTTTGCTTCTGATAGTGCTGCGAGTCGTAGAACTGAGGCTGCGACCGTCTCACTCTACCTGTTCGCCTTCTAATATCCTCAACGGGCAAGGCGTCCGCCCCGCGGCGGGCTGAGAAGAATGTATGCCCGCACTTACACGACTTTGACGCTACTGCCACCTAACAACATACAATTTCGGGTCTCTAAATCCCATTGGCGAATGTAGAGTAAAATTTTCAGACTAATTCCTTTACAGATGTCAATAACACGCTAAATTTACTTGAAATTACACACCTGCAATTCGCATTTTGGGCAGCTTTTTGCGATCATCTTGTTTTTCCCCATGTTGTACATTTAGCATGTATTTTATTGACAGATCGTGCGAAAATGATGACGTAGTCTTTATAATACTATTGTTATTAAAAAAACTACATTTTATGAGAACAATAAAATAAAAACAAAACAATAAGATTATAGAAGAGAAGTGGTGCTGTCAAGTGTCAATATTAGCCATCCTGGCCACAGAACACTTTTTTACTTAAAGAGGCTGTTCTTTGAGCTATGTGACACAATCGACAATTGGTTTTTGGCCTCATTTTCTGATTCAGACATAAGTATTTTCGATTATTTTAATTACCTAAAGTCTATTTACTATTAATTATTCGCAATTTTAAAATAATACTCACAATTATTCATTTGAACATTTAATGCCATTGGAGCGTAATGTTACCATACAGTTATTAATATTGTATATCAAATTTATTTTTTATAAAGCAATATAATTCGCTCAGGCTTGCTCTATTTTAGTAACTCCAACCCTCCATTGATGATGAGTCAAGTACTCATATTTCGATTTTTATTAAATACATACAGTTCAAATTTTTATACCTCGCCTACGCGCTCGGCAATAATGACAAAATGCGTACACAAGGTACATCCGCATTCCAGAGCGGTTCTCACCACCCCCTGCCACCGAATAATATAGTTAACAATGATCGGTGTCACGGTCCGCACCGAATATCCATGGCCCGTAGGTGAAATTTCCTCCAACTAGATGTCACAAGCATGAGCACATGCGTGTCTCTACCCAACGCGTAGGACCGTATCAAGCTAGTGAGATCTGATCTACCTACGAGTTCTGAATTCAAAACATCAGCTAGTCTTTACTTTAAATTACTTTTAATTTAACTATTCCGCCGCCATGCGACAGCGCGTCGTATAGACCCTGTTCGTTATAAGTTATAACGCTAGTTAAGTTATAGTGCTGTACCGGTCACATCGGAGTCATCAGCGTATGCGAGGTATCACACCCTACACAGGATGTTTACATGTGACAAGCCATTTTTGAATTACTTACTAAATTTACTATTCCTATTTATAAGCAATTGATTCGAGCATTATAGTTGTGGACTATTCTATGGTTAAGTTCTCAATATATGTGTATAATCTATTGGTAGCACCGCAGCCGATAGTACATATCGGCTGCGGTTTAGGCCGATGTTTAAATCTCCATGGAAAGAGCCTCTGGGTCTTAATTGTTGACGATATCTATCTCTCGTCTACAGGAGTCGCTAAATTACAGTGGATTGGATGGTATAGTTATTTCACACACTTAAACAAAAAATTTTTCAGTTAATCTGTACAAATTACAATATTGCTGAACGACAACTTAAGCATCACTACGTAAATTATGTTTCTCCTATCACGAAGAGAAGTATGTACCAAAAACTTAAAATAATCTATGGTGAGTAAGTACGACTACGAACATAAACATATATTAGTATTTTATCTATGGGTACGAAGACGTCAAACCAAATAGAACTGTTTTGTTTTGTTTTGTTTACAATAAAGAAATTATTGGAATGCGATAGTAAATAGTAACAAAATCTAGAAAAATGCAGAATATTATATGTCAGGCTTGTCTTAAAAACGGCGAAAATGTCTTTCCGATGGTAGCATCCGATATTCATTGGTACAGGAGGCTTATTAAAGAGGTATTGTATTATTTTTTAACTTATTGAAGAAAGATTTACCCACTGTATCATTGGCAGTCAAGCAAAATTTTTGTTTGTGTATACGAGTTCGTTTGGAAAAATTTAACATTTATGCAAAAATTGTTGATATGTTCATCACAGAAAACTTAACTAGTTTTAAACTTTTTATATAACAGTTTAGGTACAGTTTTTTTAGGTACATTTATGTCCAATAGCTCATTTTTTTCGTTACCTTTCTGGTATGGTAACATTTTTAAGAGTATTCATAAAATATTAGTAATCAATAGAAGAACCACTGAAATGATAATAACCAACCACAAAATGTTTCTGTGTGCTGAAACATATTCAGAATAAACATAAGCAAAAACTAAACATGGACTGAATTCCTGAACTTTCCCTGCTTTATTTTCATTTCAAAGAGACATACAAGACAAATAAAAAAGCAATTCACCTATTGATGCGGGCAACCACCAACATTCTGAGAGTTAGCTTCAAGTTACCTCACTAGGATGTAATGCAATTTTAGATATTCTTTCTCTAAGTCAGGCTTCTATGAGGCTGCATTTCCTTGGTCAAGCCGGTCTGTATGCAGTAGAAGCTCTTATGTAAACTTTAAAACCTTAGTGATTTTTTTTATGTGCTTACGGTTCACCTGATATAAAGTAATAACACCCACCCATTGACATTTGCAACATCCGTAGCAGATGCATTGCCACTTTTTAATAGAGTCCCGTGCCCATTTATGCGTCAAGCAGTTGCGTGGCTATCACATTGAAATTGTGCCAAGTCATATTGCATTCCTGCAGATAGTTCAGTAGTGCATAGTCACAAATGTAGACAGTCTAACGTTCTGCAGACTGAGAAATTGTACTGTTTCACGAATCTCATTTTATATTTCAGGTGTCTAATGATGCAGAGATGTTTATGTGTTCAACTTGCATATGTTTATTTCGAAAGTTGATCATGTTCATAGAACAATGTCACAAGGCCCAGATATTTCTGAAACAGGTTTACAGTCAGGTATGTAACTTTAACGAGAGGTAAAATGCCAAGATCTTGAAAAATTCTCTGCAAAATTGGTTGCTGGCTGGGATATGAAACCCAAATCTGCACAATGATGTCTAACAATTAGGAACTTAGCCCAGCAAGTTCACAATATGTTGTTTTAACAGATACTAAAATATCTTAATAATAATATACTGAATATATCAGTTCCCCTCCAAAACTGAATCTATAACTTGACGGTTTAGCTATAAAGTTTAATAGGTTTTAATAAGTTAAAGACTACATATTTATGGCAAACTACATATTTGAATTTGAGTTTATTTGTTTATTTGAATCTTTTATAACTTGACTCAAAAGGTAATCTGACATGTCACATTCAAGTTAATATGATTTCATTAATTTCATTTTGATACTAGGGAGCCATCATAGCTTGTGGTCCAGGCACTTTTAATTCCATATTCTTCAGCAACCTGAGTTCGATGAAATTGAATTGACAATGAAAGTGTTAATTTTGAAATTCCTGATTCACCATGTGCTCAGTGGTGAAGGAAAATATCATGAGGAAACTTGCATATTTTGGAAAAAATATGCCCTAATCTGCATCTCTATTACATGATGGACTATGCACCAATGCCGTAGTAGTGGGACATAATATATAGGCTGTTATCTACCATTATTTGTATAGACTTTTGTAGAAGAATTGTGAAAAAAAGGATTTTTTTAGGAGCTACAAATATTACCGCCACCAATAGGCAATAACTTGACAGTCTCACCAACGAGAACATTCTACCTTGGGCCAGAACACCTGCAAGAAATAGATCCGGACGTAAAAGCAGAGGACTCGGTGTTTGATGGCAATGAAGCGTATATAACAGAGGATGAAGACGATGTACCGTTAGTTCTGTTTTGTGGCAGCAACGGAGATGGTGAATCACAACAGATTTTGAAGAAGGAAGTTCTAGATGATAAAGTAGGTATTTATAAACCCTACTTACTACTCTTATTATGCCTATAAAATTTCTGATATTTTTTTATTTTAGGTGCTTGTAACTGTACCTTAATGTTAAAATTTTATGTAGATTGTCAAGAGTTTACGGCGGTGCTGGATTCGAACCTGTTTTGTGTCTTCTGTTAACGAACCCAAATCCTTTTACCACTGAGCCAAGCGGCCGCTATCCGCACGTCTCGATAATGATCATCTTTAAAATCAAAATCAAAAATATATTTATTCACATAGACGCTTGCGCGTTCTTATGAAATGTAAAAAATTTTACATAAAAATTAATACGTTCGTAAGTTACCACCGGTTCGGAAAGCAGTTTCTGTTGAGAAGAAACCGGCAAGAAACTCAACAGTTGCTCTTTTTAAAACGATTACTTTACAATATAATAGAACAAGTCTGTCATTTAAGCCTACGTTATTAGGCTTTTTTAGGCTTATTTAAGCCTTTACTTAACGACTGAACTGATTTTGATGATTGATATTTTGTTAAATTATTCTTTATTTCTTTTCTATTTTTTTTTTTTAACTGATGTTTTTGCTTTCAGTCCCGAGACTATTAAAGCTTCATCTGACGCAGAACCGGTGGGCTAGCCAGAACCCACGAGTTTGGGCCCTCCGCTGTGGGTAGGGCCGCGCATGTGCTCATGCGTGCTTTTAACTACGACATGTCATCTAAGGGCCATGGAAGTTGCGGTGCGGACCGAGACCCCGATGGCCGTCGACTGTGTTTTTAGCTAATCGGTGGCTGGGGGCGGTGAGAACCGCCCTGGAACGCGGATGTACCTTATGTACGCGTTGTGTTGCTCTCGCCGTGCTCGGAGGCGAGGGCGAACTAGTGTAGTGTTGTCCGGCGGGACCCCCGGCGGTGGGTCCGGCGTATCTAAGTCCCCTTCCTCGACCGGGTCGATGAGGACGTTTCGCGGGCGACGCTTGTTGACGTTCGCGTTTGTGTCGGGTTGGTAATTTGCTGCGCTTACCACCAGAGGGTTGGGATGATGTTCGGCTCTATCGAAGAACCGTTTGGTCAAATCTTTAAAATATTCGCGAATCGTCGGGAGTCTGCAATCGCTGTGCAGATCGACGTTGCGTTGATACCACTGTTGATGGTTGCACGGCGGATGAACTTATTTTGTACTATTTGCAGCTTGTACGAGCGAGTAGGGTGAGTGTGGGCGAAGATCATGCATGCGTAGGACATAATAGGTCGTACGCAGGTCTTATATAATAATAATTTGTGCCTTAAGGGCATTTTACTTTTAGCGTTAGTTAAATTGTGTAGCCGGCCGGAGACGAACGCGGCTCTATTACGAACGTTATTAATGTGCGTAGTAAATGACATACGCGAGTCGAAAGTGACTCCTAAGTATTTGAAGAATAAAGGGATATTTGCCCCAACTTTCTGCATTGGCGAGGACCATTATAAAGATGTGACGGGTAAGTACTTCGTGTGAAGTGAATCGCTACACTCTTTTCGGGATTTATTTCTATTCTCCATTTGCGGAACCAGTCGCCGAGGCGGTCGGCGGCGCTTTGGAGTCGAGTGGTTAGTAGTCAAAGGTTGCGGTCTGAATAAAAGAGCGCCGTGTCATCCGCGAAAAGCGCGAGATTGACGTGGGGGTCTTTAGGTATATCGCTCGTGTAGAGCGTAAAGAGCAAAGGTGAGAGGCAGGAGCCTTGTGGTACGCCGGCCGTGAGGCGGCGGCTTGTGGAGAGGGTGCCTTCAACTCGATATCGAAAAGAGCGGTTTGACAGGAAGGCCCGGATGGTGTGTACGAGCCTTTCTGGCACTTTGAGTGTGTACAGCTTGTAAAGCAAGCCGTTGTGCCAGACCTTGTCGAATGCTTTTTTTAGGATATGTTCCGTTAGGCGGAATAGTTGATCGGGACAGGAATGTCTAGCTTGAAAGCCGAATTGTTCCGCCGGCAGAAGGCCGTTGGTAAACACGTGTTCATTGAGCCTGTTTAATAAAAGCCGCTCGTAGAGCTTCCCCAGGCAACTGAGGAGGCTGATGGGACGATAACTAGAGGGCTGGTTGGCTGGTTTATTCGGCTTGCGAATGCCGATAACCGTGGCTTCTTTCCAGTCGTCGGGAAAGGAGCAACTGGAGAGTAAAGTGTTGTAAATGGTCGCCAGTAAACAGATAAGCGGCCCAGGGAGAGCTTTAAGGATTTTGTTACTGATATTATCTGGGCCCGGGGCGGATTTCGGTTTTAGATTTTTATAAAAATATCTTGGACCTCTTCGGGGGTCACTGAATTTAAAGGTTCGCCTTCCGGTGGAAGCGCAGCCCTAGTCTCGATTACGCGGTCCACCTCCGTTAGGTGGACTGTATCGGTGTGTTCGCGCGATGGCGTACATTGCTGCTCTAGGTTGTCCGCAAGGCATTCGGCTTTTTCGGAGTCATCTAGGGCTACTGAAGCGCTATTAGGTCTAACTAACGGCGGTAGAGATTCGCGGGGGTCTGCTTTCAGACTGCGGGCCAACCGCCAGTAGGCGGTGTGCGATGGCTCGATGTCCTCTAGGAGATTGTCCCACGTTGTATGTCGGTGTTCCGATACACGATCTTTGACTTCTAGCTGAAGGCGTCGAAGTAGGGTTCGGTTTGATTCCGATCGGTATCGGTCGAAGGCGCGTTTGGCTGCATTTTTCTGTCTAATTAGCAGTCGTAGGTCCGCCCGAACCGTCGGTTAAACCGTCGGTCGCCCGACAGTTTCACCGTCCGTTCCGAGTCTGTGACTGCGGAAGTAATAGTTTCGCGGAGACTCGCTATCGCTCGATTTGCGTCATCGAACGTAGCTATCGTCTCGGGTAAGTCTACTAAGTCCTGGGGGTCCAAGGCCTTGAGTTTGACCTCAAGACGATGCCAGTCCACTACGGATTTGGTCGGAGGGACCGCGCCGGCGTTCTGGCCCAGTTTACACAGGACGGGCCTGTGGTCTGAGTCTAGTTCATGGATTGTCTCTATCGACTCGATGTCGAGCGAGACCTCCCTGAATAACATTATGTCTAGGACACTCGGTGACGCGTGCTGGTAGTTGTCCACCGTAGGATACCTAGTGGGAGCGACTATACTAAAATTTAGGTTATCGGATAAGCTAAAGAGATGCTTTCCGTTGTTATTTGGGATGCTGTTGGTGTCCCATGAGCCGTGTTTGCAGTTTAGATCTCCTGCAATTATCACGGAAGGGCCTAAGTTAAGAAGCGTATCTAGGTCGCTTTGAAGAAGGGTTCTATTCCCCGAGAGGTAGACTGAGACTAGTACAAGCGGCCTGTGGCCGGTGAGCGCTAACCTACACGCGGATGCCTCTATTTGACTTAGCTCTGGAATGTCGAGCGGGCAACAGTGCAAGGACCGTTTATAATAAATTAGTGTGCCTCCCAGACGGTTTGCTAACCGGTCGTGGCGGACAATATTGTAATTTGCGATTCTGGGATCGCGTACACTAGGTTTCAAGAATGTCTCTTGCACTAGGAAAATATCTACGTTATAATCGCGAAGGAATTCCGCGATTTTATCCCTTTGACCCTTTATGCCGTTTGCGTTGAAATACGAAACAACCAGAGCCCGAGGTTTTGTTCTATCTGCGGTTGTACTTCCCATTAAGGTGTTTTTATGGGTCTAATTAACGACGCGGCGGAGCGCGGTTTTATTGCGCGGACTATTGTTTTTTTTTACGGTTGGCTCGTAAAAGCCCAAAGGGCTTCCACAAGCGTTTTGTGTTGGCTAATTGCCCTAAGACGCTCGTGGCCAGATGTGGCGGCCGCTATTTTAACGGACTATACGACGAGTTCCTGCCTATTGATTCTTTCAAGTAAGCTGCAAATATTAGCGATTTGCGCGAATGGGTCGTCCTTGTTTTCCGCGAAAACTGACGGAGTTGGCTGCACCTGCGGCCGCGGCGCCGTTTGAGAGGCGGGCAGCTGTTGTGCGATCGGTCGTGAGGCGACCGGCGCGGTTACCTGTGCGGCCACCTGGGGTTTCGCCCAGTCGTTTGTGACGGGTACGGGCGCGGGAATGTATTTAACGGGCGCGGGTTTGGGCAACGTAGACTTCGCGGGAGATTTTCTCGCGGGAGTTTTCGGGGCCTTAGCGCAGCCTCTATAACTAGCTGGATGGCCGGTAGTGTGACAGTTTACGCAGTCCGGTGGATCTGCGCAATCTTTCGGCCTCGTGCACTCGGTTGTGCCGTGGTCACCGGTGCATTTGACGCACCTTGGGTGAGCGAAGCAGTTATTGGCCGTGTGGCCAAAATGTTGACAGTTGTGGCACTGTGCCACAACACCTGATTTACGTGGGGGCTCGATGACTAAGTCACTGAGCCCACAGACCCTCTTAAGGTTGAAAATGGCCTTACCTGCCGGGGTAGGGTCAAGTTCCACCATGACCATGTCCATAGGGACACGGGTGCGAGGGTGCTTGAGACGTGAACAGGGTATCCCTGAGTGCGGATGGGACGACCCGAAGTTTACGCTCTTCGGGTAGTGAGTAGGTGTGGAAACCTACCTTAGCTTCGCGCAAGTATTTCGTTACGCGGCGGAAATCGTCCGAAGAATCGAGGTATACGCGGATACCCATATGCGTATTCTTGGACCGGGGGTCTCGTATGTTATGGCGTTCGAACCATGAACATATCTGATGCCACTTTGCCTTTTCTTGGATTATAATTGGCGGCGATGGCTTGATTATTCGCTCGGAGGCTAATGTCGGTTCCGACTGGGCAGTCGCGGCTGCCTTTTTGGCGGGCGTCGCGGTGGGACGGTTTGATGGGGCGGCCTCGCTTTCGTGGTCGCTGTCCGTAGCGGGGCGTTTCTTGCCCTTTTTGCGCGATTTGACGACAGTGAAGCCGTCGGCGTTCGCGTTGTTAGCGGGGGTCGTTTCGACCTCCATGTCTGAGCCGACGTCCGATTGTGAGTCGGGAACGACAGCGCGGAAGGGGGCCGAAATTGGTTGCGCGGAAGGCGCGTTAGGATCGATCGCGGCGGCGGAGGTCGACGCGACGGGCGTTTCGATAGTCGCAGAGGGCGACACAATAGCTGGCGCAGAGGGCACCGGAGATGGCGGCGAGGCGGCAGCCGGTGAAGCCGGACTGTCGCTAGAGAATTCGACGACGATGCGTCGTTCCCTCGCGAAATTCAAATATTTTACCCATAATTCGGGGCATTCTTGACGCAGGAATTCCTCTATGAGGGAACCCATGTCGACGCTTGAGCCTTTGGGGCTTGCGCCCCGCCGGCGTGTGGTTTACTAAATAGGCCTCCCCACCTTGCGGCAGGGAGGTGTGTGCCTAAAATTAACCTTTAATCGCCTGCGCTTTAGGTGCGCTAGGGTGAGTACCTAGCTGTCGCCTAATGCAACAAGCACACAGGTAAAAATTACAATGCCGCCTCTGAGACGAGAAATGTGTGTAGAATTCTACTTACGGACAGGAACCTGCCTACGAGCACAACACTACACTAACACTATCCGCTCGGAAGTCGGGCAAAGTTTCTGCGTTCTTCTATAATGTTTCTTGTTTCTTCTATAACTTTTCTTCACTCTTCTTGCTTGAGACTTCCCTAACCGTAGATCGCGAAACACGACAACGATGAGGCAAGCAGTGCACACCAAGAGATAAAAGAAATAATATAAGTAGCAACAACGGTTGCAAAATGGCTTCCGGGTCGGTTGGCATGGCCCCTCTGGCTCAGAGTAACGTCCGTTCCGTGTGGAAGCACGAAGCGGAATGATTCTTTATTGCGCGTGTCAGCCCCTCGGTATATCAAAGTTTTTTTTTTGCAAAAAGATGAATGAAAAGTCTTTCGCCGTGCGAGAATCGAACCCACGTAGTAAGGTAGTTTGCCACACCGAATAATATCTCCACGTATTTTGAGCAATGCTTGGCGCATCTATTTTTTTGTTTACATCAGACAAACAATTTCAAATTTTGTTTTACAACGATATTTGAATCCTTTTTAAACGGTTTTATTTAGCTCGACACGTACGGAATTTATTTGTTTATTTGGGTCAAAATTAGAAATTGAAATTTAAGCACCTTCCCGTTCTCAGATTGATCTGAAATTTGGTACACACATTTAATTTAGATGACAATACAATATTGTAGTTTTCAGTGCACATAAAATAAAACCGTTTAACTTTAAAGTTTTTAAACGGTTTTATTATAATTGACATTTTCTACAAATCTTAATTGCCGAGATTAACACTAATAAAAAAAATCATAATCCCGATTTTTTGTACCGAAATGCATGTTTTTTTCGTTTTTTATTATTTTTTTTGTTTTAATTGCTTTCTTGTTTAAACCGGATCGTGTTAAAGTCTCGAATCGTTCTTGATGCAGGTGGACGTGGGACCAGTCACTTTGGAAATGCAACTGGAAACGGGTTCACCGGTCTCATCCCATCCCAAGGCGAGGTCGAAACAGAAGAAGCAGATGGTTCTCCGCGAGGGTTTTACCTCCCGTATGGTGCAGGAGACCGCAGAGTATATTGTAATCAAGCTGACGAAGGAACAGGTGAGACTTAAATTGAAATATCTTTGCTCTGTATAGAACCATTACACTTGTTACTTACGTAACAGCTTCGGCTGTTTCACAAATTATGGTCTGGTTCAAAATAGATATTTCTTTATCAAGGCTCAAGATAAATTGATTCGAGATAATATTTTTTTATTCTATTTTCTATTATTTGTTCTTATAGTGTAATTTCTACTGTCAAACTATCGGTTCATGAGATACAGCCTGGTGACAGACGGACAATTAGACAGACAGACAGCAGCGTCTTAGTAAAAGGGTCCCGTTTCACCCCTTGGCTACGGAACCCTAAAAAGAGCAACCGCTGAGTTTCTTGCCGGTGTCTTCTCAACAGAAAGTGCCTTCCGAACCGGTGGTAACTTACGTAACGATTATTTATGTAAAATTCGACGTTTCTGTAGTGTATTGAAATATTGAAGGTAGAATAAATCAGTTAGCATCCGACCGCTGTGTTTAATTGACGTACACTTCAGTTTCATAAGAACACGCAAGCGTCTATTTGAATATACGACCTGACGACGCCAATGTGTGGAGTTAATACTGTTGATATTTTACCTGTACCATTATATTGTAAACTGTGACCTTTTAAAAAGGAGCAACTGTTGAGTTTCTTTTTTTTTTATGTGAGGAAGTGGCAAACGAGCTGGCGGTTCACCTGATGTCAAGTGATAACCGCCTGCCCATGGACATTTGCGAAACCTTGGGTTGCAGATGCGTTGCCACCTCTTAACAACGTGGTTCACCTCACTCGCCATGTCAAGTGAGGTAACCGCCTGCCCATGGTGCAACATTTGCGTGGTCCTACAATCGAATTGAGCGGTTTCTCAAACCGGTGGTAACTTGCGAACAGTGCCTTGGTGTGCGTTATTTGGTTATTTAATCGATTGAGCGGTTTCCAGTGCCTTGGTGTGCGTTATGGTGGTGCGGTTGTGATCCGAACAGTCCTTCCCCGCCAGGTCCTGGAGGAAATGCGGGAACGCGCCAAGAGCAACAAGTACTCTAGGGCGCCATACAAATGCGAGCGGTGCGTGAAGGGCTTCAACTTCGAAGACGTTCTGCAAAGCCACATGGATAAGCATTCGCCGGTAGGACTGCCCGCTTTGGATTTGACTAGTTTACCACTTTCATCGAAGTTTGCAAGAACACCGGCCAAGTGCGAGTCGCGCACGAAGGACCATACTATTTTTTGTCTATAAAAACGGCGAAAAAGTCACGTCTATTGTATGGGAGCCCCACTTGAATATCTTTTTATTGTTTGTTGTCATAGCGGCGATAGAAATACATCATTTGTGTGAAATTTCATCTGTCTAACTACTGTTCAACAACAACCAACACAACACTGACAACTGTCTAACTTCGGTATGAGATACAGCTTGGTTACAGACAGACAGATAGGCAGCGGAGTCTCAATAATGTGGACCCGTTTTCCTTTGGATACGGAACTCTAAAAATTACACTATAATAATTCATATGAAAAGAATTTGAAATTCGAAACGAGAGCTAACTGAATTCAGATATTTTTTGTAGATGTAGTTTGCTACTATTAGGCTGTCGGGTATGTCGGAAGAGATTGTTCGATTAATTTTTGAGAGTTTTGCAATATTCGATAGTCGGAAATATCGATATGGTACGGAACCCCAAAAAACAGCCAAAAAGCGCCATTTCAACTTCTCCTTCACGCCGGTCTTATGTGAGGTCGTACTCACCCGGACGGACCTGCCCATTCGTGCAACAGCCGAGGTTGCTGCGTGGCCCTGCCACAGTAAACGAACATATGAAATTGGCGCTAATGGACCGTGGACATTTGCAACAACCATAGGCTTGCAATGCGTCGCCACCTGTAAATAAAGTGGGCCCCGGCTACCTCACTCACCAGACGAAACGCAAAAGTGTAATACTTCCACTTCACGCCGGTCTTCTGTGCACGGATGCCAACTTATTTTTCTCCCTAAATTTAGGAAGAAAAAGTTTACAATGCAGTTTTTTAGGAAGTTTTGGTTCGACGTTAGCGAATTTTAGTGGGTTTTAGAATTGTTTTAGGAGTTTATTTGAAAAGCTGGTAATACTGCTTGTGTGGGGTCGTGATACTAACCAAGAGCTGCCCATTTGTGCAACAGCGGACACTGTTGCGTGGCCCTACCACTTGGCTATTGCTATTCATATTGCATTAGTTGCTCTCTCTCGCAACAGAAAAGCGGTCCGCTGCAGTGCGAGCTGTGTGGCCAGCGATGCCCCACGCCCGTCTCCCTGAGGGGTCACATGAAGTCCCACACAACCAGGTAATATCATAGAGTCAAATCATAGATAAAACTTGATGACCCGAATGCCCGAGGGTTTGGGTTCGATCCCCACTACTGGAAAAATATTGTGTGATGAACATAGTGTTTTTCCAGTGTCTGGGTATTTATATATGTATAATATGTATTAATTTGCAAAAGAAAATTATTTTTAAGTATGTTTATCAGTTATCTAGTACCCATAGTACAAGCATTGCTTAGTTTGAGACTAGAGAACGTTGTGTGAAAATGTCCTAAAATATATGAAATATAAATATATATACATATAACCTAAGAGGTCAGATCGATTTTATTACCCCTATATATTCATCATCTCCATCCCCCTACCTTTATCCTACATATGGGTCCATATTGCGGTGGCATTCGTGTTTCGCCCTCTGGTGGGGCGAAACACGAATGCCAGCGCACCGCCTCGCCCCCCTAAGGGCGATTTCGTGGCGCGCAGGTACAAATGCAAGCTGTGCGGCTACATTCGCCACTCGCGGCAGCACGTGTTGGAACACTACACGATATCGCACGCGGACTCATCGGCCGCATACAGCTGCGAGACTTGCCCCTTCACCAGCAAGTGAGTTGCCGCCATCTTCGTGTTGGGTATTTCTGATGACTCATTGGCGCAGTCGCCAGGGTGTTGGCTCCGGCGCTGGTGGACGTGGGTCCGATTCCCGCGCGGGACAACTGTTCGTGTGACTCCAGATAGTTTTTTTTTAAACGTTGCCCTTAATTTAGGATAATATTGTCCTGTGTTGTAAGGACGTTTTACAAACATACATTCCACTCTGGGTGTCCACATGAAATTTGGAAGAATTTTCGAAGTTCGAAGCGATCGATTCATATCCAGAGGTCGTCCCCTGGATATGAATAGATCGCTCCAGGCTCTTTCAATTGGACTTTAATATATTGTGGCCATCGGGGTCACGGTCCGCACCGAAACTCGATGGCCCTTAGACTCCTTGGCTAACGCACGCATGAGCACATGGGCGGCCCCACCCACTGTGGAAGGCGTCAAACCCGTGGACTCTGGCTAGCAAACCGGTTCTGCATTCGTTGAAGCTTTAATAGTCTCGGGACTGAATGCTTAACATCAGTTAATACAAGATAATATATTGCAAACAAGTTTTTACTGTCATAAAATGGTAAAAAAATGTCGTACGAGCTTGCCCAAAATTAATACCCGGACGAGCCCGGCCTAAGTTATTACCCGGACGAGCCTGCGCAAAATGATTACCCAGACGAGCCTGCCCAAAATTTCGATGAATAAATTGTTCGACCCCTAGTTTATGCGTGTTCGTCCGCAGCAAGCGCACGGTAATGCAGCGTCACGTCCGCTTCCACGGGCGGACGGAGAGGCACACGTGCCACAAGTGCGGGAAACTATATAAGACCCTGGACTCGCTGCGGGTGCACACGATGTGAGTAACGCGCACACGGACATACATACAGACGCACACACGTAGATACATAGACAAGTAAATTATACATAGTAAAAGGCTCGATTTGCCTAGTGGTTAGTTCACCTGCGCCAGTCTCCCGCGCCAGAGGGTGTTGTATCATAGACTAAATAGCGAACATAACTAGCAGTGTGTTCTATATTAGTCTATGGTCGATTTCACTTTGCATATTGTTAACCTAAGAAAGAGTAATGTAAGATGTTTTTTTTTTATTTATTTATTTAATTAGGATCGCGAACTGAACATTACACTCACATTACAGAATAATGGACACAGATAAAGTTGATACGGAACTTAACATACAAGTGAATGTTCTTCTATGAGCGAACACAACATGCACAAAAAACACACTCAACAATAAATAATTGTACAATGAAATAATAAAAATGTTCCCCGAATAATTGTTTTATATGCTACAGTTCCATCCCGCAATCGAAAATCTCGAGGTAACGCACACCACGTCATACACCCGCACACATGCTCTATAGTTCCATATGCTAAACGAAAATCTCGAAGAAACGCACACCACAACGCACACACATGGTATAGTTCCATTCCCCAATCGGGAATCTCGTGGACACCCACACCACGACACACACACGCAGACACACACTATTATAGTACGGCCCATCTCCGACGCACACACATAACACTATTCCATCTGCCAATCGGCAGGCGGCACGACGCGAAAAAGCGGTTCCAATGCGACCAGTGCACACAGAGCTTCATCTACCCAACGCTGCTGCAGAAACATGTGCAGTCGGTGCACGTGCGCAGGGACTATTATTGCGTGGAGTGCGACATCAAATTCAAGTCGATGGTGAGTGGCTAATACAAGAATTTGACTGTGGTAGGGCCACGCAGCAGCCTCGGCTGTTGCACGAATGGGCAGGCTCGTCCGGGTAAGCACCACGACCTCACAGAAGACCGGCGTGAAGTGGAAGTATAATACTCTCGCGTTTCGTCTGGTGAGTGAGGTGGCCGCAGCCCAATATTCAAAAGTTTGTCAACGCATCTGCAGCCCTCGGGTGTAACAGATGTCTGTGTCTATCAGGTGAACCGTCTGCTCGCTTGACAACTTTACACATAAAAAAAAGAAACATACCACATCGCGTCGGGGCCCAATGACACGCTGGAAATGCCGAGGTTTAGACTAGCTAAATTCAGAGAATCGTGTCTTGGTAGATGTGTTAGCTCATAGTACCTGTATGACCGTTCTTAGCACGGATTTTTTCTCACAAAACAAGGAACTTGACAAAAAGGGTAAAAAATACTTAGTAAAAAAAAACGAAAATAATCACTTAGACTCGAAAAAGACAATAAAAAAAAGAAGGAAATGGTCTGGTCTCTGATAACTGATCAGGCCAGTAGGGAGGTTTCTAAGTGTATCCATTATTTTTTAATTAATTCTAGACATAAATAATGTTATATAAAAATGATAAATATTTAAAATCACTTGTAATTAATTAAATACATTCATTTGAACAAAGTCCGTGATTTATGGGCAACTCATTTATTTTACGCGGCATCATTCACAACTAAAACGCACACAAGTTCGTTTCAAAAGTATACGACGCATTTATGAATGACTACCGCATTGTCAACAATTTCTGTTTTTAGGAAATGGAATGGCAATTTTTTTTAAAAAAAGTTTGTTTTTGTTTCAATAAACGATTATAGTACCGAGTCTGAACCTCTTGTGTGAATTTGGGCACCTTTTGAAAAGCCACCCTCAAAATTAAATCTATTTTTTTTTTACACATACGCTACACTGACAAACACTTGCCGTCCTCTTTTTTCTCATTGCTTTTATTACGCTATCCCGTTCATACCATTAGAACAAAACGTTGAATGTTTGCTGAATTTATTTGGCAATAGGAACACTTTCTTTTTTTTTTATTCAAAACTAGCCAGCACTTGACTTTTTTTTTTCTAAAACTGGCCAGCACTAGACTGCCATCTCACCTGATGGTAAGTGGCGATGCACTTTCGACCCACCGTTCGAAAGAGTTCGGCTCATTCTGACCAAAATATGTGAGAACGAGAATCCTTTTGTCATGAAGATGTTTTACAGTTTAATTGTTGTCTATAACAGGACACGCTGAAACTTCATTTCAAACGGGCTAAGAGGCATCGCGAAGTCAAGTGAGTATCCCTCCCATGATTTTGTGGTCGAATTTTGACCATCTAGGACCTAGATTCTAGGTAATATAAAAAGCAATCTTTCTGGTCTGTGTGTGTGTGTCATGTATACTGTTGTACACAACATTGAAGACTCCGTGGCGCAGATGCCGAGGTATTGGCTTCGGCGTCGTGGGTCGTGGGTTCGATTCCCACGCGAGACAACCATATGTGTGATCCACAGATGATTGTTTCTCATCTGTGTGTTTGTCCGCGTGAAATTTATGTTTTTAAAACGTCCTTACAATACAGGATGTTTTTATCATAAAGTAAGGGCAATGTTTTAAAAAAAAACGAAACAAACTGTGGTAGGTGACCCCAGGTGGGAGCAACGAGCAATTATATTAAGCAGTTTTGATAAACATTAGGGGTGTAAAATACTTTTTAAATAAAGATAAGATACAAAATATGACATAAAAACTGTGTAGGTTCGCCCTGGGCAGAACCACGACGTCACAAAAGATTGACGTAAAGCGGAAGTGTTAAACAGAGTTAGGTCTGGTAAGGTAACCGGGACCCAGTCTTATAAAAATTTTATTCCGTGTGCCTGTGCTCTTTGTTTGTGAAATAGACATTAAATGCAGTTTATAACATAACAGATGTTGAAAAGACGCTATCGGTTGCAACGGCAACACAATTAAGTTGCTCGCTTACTCGATAGATTACAAACGCGTTAAAACGAGCGACACTAAAAACACATCGGCATCGTCTCGCCCGTTCGCACTCTCATAATTTCCTCCCAAACACCCAAGGCAGTACCAAGTAATTTCATGTAAAATAAATGCCCCTTTATATTAGGGGCGAGGAGCGGCTGGCCTCGAAAGCGTCCGCCCCTATGGCCCGTCCCAAGGCGCACGTGTGCGTCGCCTGCGCGCGCTCGTACGGCAGCCGCTCGGCGCTGAGGGCGCACGCGCGCCGCCGCCACGCGGATCCCGGGTGAGGGGCGCGGATGCCGGGCGGGGGGCGCGGATGCCGGGCGGGGGGCGCGGATGCCGGGCGGGGGGCGCGGATCTGGCGTAGTGATGTCGAGAGTGAAGAGATACAGATCGATGTAATGATATTTATGTCGACCATCTATCTACATTAGTGGTCGCCTTATGTTCGAAATTGGAACAGAATCAATAATACATGGGCGCATGTCATTTTTTTTATTTAATGTTTTTTTATGCACGATTTAAAGAACATATTTTTTTTAATTTACTTTTACTCCTTACCTATTCTCATACTCATCACCATTTCAGCCTGTTTGAGTCCACGGCTGAACATAGCCGCCGTTTACGGAGCTTGGCACGAAACTAGCGTTTGTCCGGCGCGGATCTAGTCGACCGTTATCTCGATATTCGATTTGGAAAGGAACTGACGTTTTTAGTGTTTGTAGCCAAAGGGATTTGTTACCTGGGCGCGTATCTGGGTGTCTTGGTGCCACCTTCTACCCACGAGCCACATGTCCTCCTAATGTTATATTTTTTTTATTGAAGTAAAACTTCTTCACGCACCCTTGAAGAGTAAGATGGTGAATGCGTAACGAGAGTGTTATGAAAAGTGTGATCGGGCAAGGCCAACGGAAATTGAAAGGATGATATAAGTTAGTGAAGATAGAAAGTGTGACGTTTCGTATATTACTGAGGGGGCAAGAGAGAGAGGTGTGAGCACACATTTTCTCTCTCTCTCCTTGATTAGACAAGATGCAGGCCTGGATTATACATAGATAGCGCTAAAGAAGTTTTACTTCGGTCGTACGGTCTAAGGCATACTCGTTTTTGTTTTCGCTCGGCAACTTAAAAAAAAATTCACTCGAAAGTAAAACTCTCAACTGCGACTCCGCAAAAGTTTACGGTCTTGTTGACTCGTCGTTACAAACCTCGTTAAATCCGCGCCCGACTTAAGCAATATTTCCTCCTATTGAGCAAGGAAAGTGTGTACAAACGACAACGTATGTTGTCGTAAACGATATATTTTAGTCAATCGTTTGGGGCCATATCGTGAAGTGGCTTCGAGGGATAATTTGTTCGATTCAATATTTGGAATTGCTTAAGTTCTCTTCAATGAATGGTTCATTATAATAAATCTTTTGCTCAATATGTCGTTTTCTTTTTTCCCACACCCTTAGTTGCACCCTTTATAGAGGAAGTCACATCATCCAAGTGTGGATCTATTGGCTTTACCATGGGGATCATGAACCCCGCCAAAGTCGAATATATTTATATTGACTAAATGAATCGTATAATCTCCCTCTTAAACGTGGTATATTGATAAAGTTATACGTTGTTAGTAATAATAACATTGTTTCTTTTTAAATCTCAATTTATTCATAATAAATAAACTCTAGAATAACATAATTGCACCTTTCAATACACAACGATTTATACATTATTCTCGTTCAATGGGTCATGTCAGAAATTATAACCCACTTTTTATTGGTACAATCCATTCTACATATTGGCTGTATCTACTTACATGTAGGCACGGTGTTGCGTAGAAAAAAGTACCTGCGAAAGATTTTTCGCCGATGTGGGAATCGAACCCACGTCATCGGGATTTCTTCGCAATTTTTTCCTACAAATTTTAATGTTTCATCTTTAGTGCAGATTAGCACTACAATGTTTTTTTTTAAAGAAACGGCGACGTCTCTCGTTCAAATTATCGTTGTAAAACGTTATGTTGCTTGTATGCTGGAAAGGCTATAACAATGGATGCGCCTACCATTGCTTCAAATACTTAAAAAACAATTTAGCCGTTTAACATTTTGGTTAAAGCGTCAGGCCGCGAATCCCGAAGAGAGATAAGATAAGCACTACAAAAAAAATCTCGTAAAATATGGTAAAAATCATAGAACCTAATATCGCAATAAACCTTGTTACGTGAAGATTCACGAACAATGAAGTCACATCACTGTACCCACACCTCTATGGATTACACAAATTTTTCATCGTGTAGGGAACGAACCCGCAATACAAGAGAAATGGCGGAAGGCAAGGTCATCGCCGAGCAGCCAATTCCAAATTCTGTTCACCACATCCTATTTATACTCAGTGTGATACTTGGGGTGCTAAGCTTATTGAAATAGGATGGAAAACACTACCTGCTCGATTCGTCATCATGATCCGCCTGCCCTTATCTATAATAATCTATGCCTATAGATTATTATAGATAAATATTCGAATCATGTTGTAAGCGGTTTTGGCTGTCTTTTACAACAGACCGCACCTGCCTGACGTCAACCCTCGGTGGAACTCAAACACCCAGATCCGGAACAATTATTTGTGGGTCGCACAAATACTTGTGCCGTGTGGCAATCGAACCCACGACCCTCGACGCTGAAGGCAATAGCTTAGCAACGTCGCCATCGAATCATGTCCGCCTCTTGGGAACTCTTCTTGGGAAACAAGAAACTGAATAGAAAAGTATGATCCAAATTATTTTTTTTAAAACTTTGTTCGCAAAAAATGCCGACGGAGGGATGGGGGTAAAAAATTATAAACTGAAGCATTGGAGAAAGTACCAGTTAATTTTCATAGGCATTCCTTTTTTGAAAAGTATAAGATACAAGGATACAGCAATACTGTGTCGTGGATAGGGTTGCCAACTGTTTTTGAGAAAAATAACGTATCACTTTTTCAAGTAGGGAAAATAAATTACTTGGAAGAAAAAAAAATTTCTTCAAAATTTTATAATTTATAATTTATTTTTTCTCTTGAAGACTTATTTTTGTGTGCTTCTAGCACATAGACATTTTTTCATTATCCTTAAATTTAATTTAAATAGATTATTCTTATGCAAAAGTATACATTTTGTTTGCCAAAAATGAAGTAGAATACGTTATTATAAAGTCTATTTGGCAACCCTAGTTGTCGAGGCGATTTACAAGAAAACTCACAACAGCGAACAGTCAGGTCCGCAAAGGTTACCTGGAGATTATACAAATACTCGAACGTAGAATCGAAGTACCAACTAACAAAGCTCGTCAACTTTTAGCACCACCAAAAGTACTACAATAGTAAACTGTCACGTAATACTTGTGTTAGATGTTTTTATGTATCAAGACAGTTTGGCGCCATTTGTTTTTTTTTTTTTTTTCAATTATTTAACAATCAATAATGACAACAAAGTAAGTTAATGGAATGTATAGTTTTCAACATATTAATTTACTATATTATTCAAAAATTCATTATGATAAACTATATGTACAATAAATTTTATATCTTTTGTTCAACAAAATTGAACAATATCTTTCTATACAAAACAAATTTCCGATGAAACATTCCATAGATTCTATAGTATAAAATATTATGTTAAAATAGATTGACCATGTAAATAATCTCATTCTTGTGGAAGGACAATTTTCATACTTATTCTTTATAACATAAACTTTAAATAATTATATTTAATACTTTAAAAGTTTATATGATGTTTTGTTTTTTTAACATAACTACAGGGAACTTTCTTTAATTGGCACAACTTTGTGGTTGTACTACATTTATCATCAATTATATTTACATCTGAAACCCATATTTACATTTCAACAGTGTTGCTATTTAAATTAAATTAGTAAAGGATATATTTTCGTCAATCTGTCCTCATGCACTTCCTCTTCTCTAGCACAATCATGGACTTTAAAGCGCTTGCGATAACAAACCTCAACTCGTGGAACTTTGCAATGGACAGTCTGTACGTGTTTGTCTGTCCGTTTGTCAACTTGAAAATGAGGATGATGTTGGTGCATTGTTGCATTATCTCCTTGCACCTATGCGGGTCCGCGTTTTCTGCGCAGATGTTGTTTTGGCTGGAATTTCGAAAGCACGCATAAGGTGTCAAATCTAGCGCCATTTTGTTTTCTTTTCTTTAAAATTGTAAGCAAGGTTAAGTGATTTTAAAGCCACACACACACGGGTCGTCTACACTACCTTAGAAGTAGGACATCTGTAGTATATTTTTAAAAACCAGCGTACTTTTGAAATAATACCAAAAAATATTTCGAAAATATGTGAAGTCCACCAATCCGAAGTGGGGTCAGGTGGTGTACTATGAACTAACCTTGTTACAAAGAAGGCTTTTGCCTAGTAGTGGGAGTTTATAAGCTGTTACTTTTACTTTATACTAGCTGTGCCCGCGACTTTGTCCATGTGGAATTTAGAATAAATAAAATTTCTAAAATAAACATAGTAAGTTAAGCTAAGTTACTCATTATTACATAGGTTGTCTGCCAGTGAAAGTCCAGCCATTTCAGTGATGAGCCAGAACAAACAGACAGACTGAAGGACAGAAATTGTAAAAATGATATTTTGATATATGTACTGTCAACCGTGTATACATCCATATGCATTTCGTTAAAAGTGGTTTTTTTATATTACAAACACACTCCAAATTGATTTATCCATATAGTTGTAACAATATGGTAAAAACTTTTTAGATTTCACACATGTTAAGCCAAATAGGGAGCTATCAACACAGCTTACCATAATGAGACGTCTATTCGCCATTGCAAACTGACCACACCCGGCTTCACTCGTAAATGTTTCGGAATGCTCTCATATATTTTATCTGTGCACAGCAATGACGTCAGCTCCTCTATGCATTCTGGACTAAACCTAAATATGATGGGAAATATTATTTTGTACATGTCCCACTCTAGAAAAATGTATGTTAAATCTATGAATATTTGAATATTCACTGAAATTAAAGTTGAAACTATTACTATATTAGATTGTGTCAATGAAATGTTGCACGCCTGTATGTTCTGAAACCCTTAATAGCCTCAGATCCATAATAGGCACAGATCTTTTCAGGACTATCAACCAGTTGCTGCAGATGACAATGGCAAACAAGTTAATACCAGTACCCATGGACACTAGGCACAACTGTATTGCCAGTAGATTTTCTAAAATGTAGTAGTGAGGCAAGCAGATTTTTTTTTTTCAAGCAAATGTTTCAATGAATTTTAATGGTCAGATATTATAGATTTTTTTACGATTTCTGAATACAATGGGGCCCTTGTCTTTATTGTCGGCCTGAGGAAGCACATTAAACTGCAAGGGAAATCTTGTTATCAAGTCTACAGTAACAAGTATAGTTTATCAAGTCTACAGCTTGTCAGTTATAGTGTTGTTTGGTTACCTTAGATTCTCTAAAAAAATTTGTATGTCCGTTTGATTCCAAGGTTCTTTAATGGCAGATCGCAGTCTTGCCACATGCCTCACAACAGCCCTCACAGCTGAATACTTGTCGGCATTTGTCAAATTGGAAACTCTACTGTCTGGTTTGCCTTCCAACTCCTTTAGAGTTACTACAAGAAACAACTTTTCTGCATATTTATAATTTACAGATTTAAAAGACCTATCCTAGTTTTTTTGCTAACTGGCTAGCGTTGAACTATTTTTGTAATGGTTAATGATACGATAGGTTACCAAAAAACTAGCTATTTTAAGGGGAAAGCGAAATAATTGTTGTTCTTTAAATTTTAAGATACATAAAATGTTTGTTGAAAGGTCTCAAAGCTAGAGTAAAGAAAAGAAATAAAAAACCGACCAGAACTAGGGCCTTTAACGTAAATCTTGGTAGTTTAATTAAATTTGAATTCATTAAAATTACACTCACAAATAAAAAACGGTTTAATTTCCTTCTTCTGTACTTCTGGTATAACGTACAAGGCGGGTGTCCATTGTGCTGGACTTTCCGTAAGCAATTCAAATTGTAGCGACATTATAAAATGCTGTGAAATGTTACCTTAAGGCAAGTTTAAAAAGAGTTTAAAAATGATTAAACGAATTGCAAATTTATTTAACATGAAACAATATATCTCTGTCAAAATAAGACAACAGGAAGCAGGAACACATATGACAAGACGTCAAGTTGACATAGGTTAATATTTTTTTAATAAAGATTTTATAGCCTGGTAACAAGATGACATAGGTCAACTAGGTACTATTGGTTAGTAACCCACCGGCGATCACACCCATACCAGTTATTGTTGGGATACACTCGAACTCGAAGTTGTCGACCACTGTGTCTACCTTGGACAAACTGTCCAGCTATACATGTCCAACTTCGACAAAGAGGTCACTCGAAGAAGCCAGCTCGGATGGGGAGCGTTTGGGAAGCTACGCGATATCTCTTCGACAAAGATTCCGCAGTGCCTGAAGAAGGATTTATAACCAGTGTGTGTTGCCAGCAATGACGTATGGCACTGAGACGTGATCTCTAAAAGTTGTCCTTTTGGAGAAGCTCAGAGTCACACAATGAGCTATGGAGAGAGCTATGCTTGGAGTCTCTTTGCGTGACAAAATCCGGAGCGATGAAATTCGCCGAAGAAAAGAAAGTCACTGATATAGCTCCCGGGATCTGTAAGTTGAAGTGGCAATGGGCACGCCACTTCGCTTGAAGAACTGATGACTGATGGGGAGTAAAGGAGGAAAGATTCTCGAGTGGCGACCACGAACCGGAAGATGTAGCGTTGAAAGGCCTCCCTCTAGGTGGACCGACGACATTATAAAGTCGCGGCAACCGGTGGATGTAAATGGCAAAGTGACTTTCGTTGTAGCGTTCTAAGGGGGAGGCCTATGTACCACGTATCACCGAGGGGGAATTGCTAAAAAATGCAAAAAAAAATCACGTGATTAATGGACGGCCCTTATCTGCCCAGAGACCATGAAAGCCAGGCAAATCACTTGTAACAAGCTGCAACCCGCCTCTCACCATGTTTCGACCGCAGAAGGTATAGAGAGAGGCATATTTTAAGACAACATTTTTTCTCCCTTTGCGACCCTACCACTACTGCATCTGTGGTGTAACTCCGCCGAGTCGCAAAGTACAAGAAGGACACCCAAACGTAATACACATACTCCTTCTTCCCCGCGACTTCACCTTTGGTTACAGAGGCCAGGCCGGCCCAGTGTAAGTTCCTTAAGACTTTTCCGTGGAGGACCTAACCACGGCTTTTCAGCCCCTCCGCCACATTCAGACGGGAACCTGGTGGGAGGAGTACGGATATAGGACTCAGGGGAGAAAAACGAAGCTGGTACACGACGACGCGACGGTACGATGATGCCCGTTTCGCTTCAACTCCGCGACCCCTGTGAACGAAAAATTTGTTGATGATGACAATTAAATGGTGGTTTCAACTCCAATCCGTAATAATCCTCTATTCCCAATACACTTGCTGGTGTATAGGTAAATGTACAGAAAATAAAGGTTCGGGGAAATGCCGATCTCTCAAAGGGCTATCACGCCCCTGCCCCGTCGGCTCGATATTGAAATCGACGGTCCGAGAAGTAGTTTCGTATTATTAAATGCATTAAATGAAAACAGTTTACGGATGTTATCGCGATTAATTTTGATTTTTAATACCCGACGTTTCGACCCCCTTTCCAGCGTTCATGGTCATGGGACAGACTAACGCCTGGTTTCTGATACACTGATCATCGTAGAAGTCAACTAATTAGCTGTCAAATGGCTTTTCAAATGCAATTTGAGTTGCCAAAAGGATTGTTGCCAAAAGGATTACACTCTCTGAATTGATCAGAATGCAGACTTCTTCAATCGTCAGCTACTACGTGTTCTATTATTGTGGGCTTAGTTGATCTTTTACTTTGTCCTATAATATAAGAGAGCCCACTATTAATTACTCGTATTAATTTAATGTGTCCGTCTGGCACTCACTGGCAGTGTAATATATGTACTATGGTGTTATGCCAGACTTTCTCGAATGCCTTCGCGACGTCTAACAAAAGTAATCCTGTTGTAAAGTGATTTCTATACACCTAATAGGGTTAGGTACTAGATCTCAGTATCTAGTATAAATTTCAACTTGCTAGGTCTACCAATTCCTGAGAAAATCGGTGCTGATTATTTAACAATTTTATTATGGTAATATAATGGGTAGGTCCGGAACCTTCGGTGCATGAGTTCGACTCACACTTGACCAATTTTTTTTTAATTGCGAGAAGCTTGTCTTTTTTTTTGTTGTATTTTTGCAGTTAAATACCAACACACGGAACTAATAAATTGGGACCGTAAAAAATATGATTCTATTCTAATCTTCTCTTCAACATATTGTGCTTCCGTTATCTAAATATTTTGTTGCAATTTTATGTAAGGTTAACGCGAAGTTGAAACGCGTTAAGGTGACAATAACTATGTTAGTTTTAATTACGCTTTTTTAGGCCCTACAATTACATTGTTGACAACACTGGATTAATAATAATATAGTAGATTATAGATGTTTTATCTATGATATAGAGTTTACTAATCGAGTTAATGGCCGTCCGCGTTTATTAAGTTGACTTTGAATGACATTTTTTATATACATATCTCAAACAAGCTAGACACGAAACGCGTAATTTATTTTCTTAGTGACCCTCATTTCAATTCTGTATCGATAACAACTTAGGTTGTTCGAATAGCAAAGATATTGCAATGGCGGTGGTGCAAGGGACTCCGGGTAGCAAGCAGTGGCCGGCGCGTCCTGGTATCCAACATCAAAACAGTCAAAACCCAGCGAGTCTCACATTAAACAGGACCATTAATTTATACCCCCTCACTAATTATACTTTCGGCACCAAAGAACCGCTTTTTGAAAAGGACGCTTCTGTACCGGCGAGGTTTCAACGTATGAGAGAAGAGTTTGTCAAAATTGGCATGAGAAGGTATGTTATGGTCTGCATTTACTTACATCTGATGTTACACAAATAACCATTTATTATTACAAATACCAGTTATGGTTATAATACCAATTTGTATTAGTAAAATTATAGTGCATGTACCAATTACAGGTTATAGAAACAAATTTTTATAAGTTTTCGTTTACACAATTATGAGCTGATAGGTTCCGACTGCTAGCTCAGGCATTGGTAATGAATAATTCAGGTGACAGTTCTGAGTATGCCATGGTTGGCTGAAAGGTACTTTGGGATTATCCTGTCGACTTCTGCATAGTGACCTTAATATATAAAAATGTATGGTAATTGTTTACATGTGTATGTAGACTTAACAAACCCAGCCGGACACTGAAATACTAAGGTTAGAAGATGGCAAACAAGCTGGTGGTTCACTTTCTTTCAAGTGGTAACTGCCGCCCATGGCTATTTACTACACCAGAAGGGATGCAAATGCATTGGCACTTAAGTAAGTGTGTCCCTGTTACCTTACTTGCTAGACGAAATGCAGAAGTAAAACTTTTCCACTTCCGTGAGCTTATGATACTATCCAGGATTGGCCTACCCATTTGTGCAATAGCAAAAACTGTTGTGTGGTCGTACCACAGTAAAAAACTTACTGTGAACTTAATAATCTTAATTATTAAATAAAAATGTTGCTACTTTTTGATGATAATTTTGTTTTTGGTAAAAATGGTTGATGGGAATAATCCCAAAGTATCAGCTGAAATACTGTAACGGTAACAAATATTAAGATGCTTTACACAGTAAAAAATTGCGGTTTGTCTGTTAAACTGGGATAAGTCGTTACCATTTGATAGGTAGAGGATGAAGGATGTCTCTTGAATCACATTTATTTCGTCTGTCAAATATCGGGATTAGACACGGGCTGCTCGAGCGTTACAGAATTAAAGCAGGCTTCAGAACATTGAGATATCACAGTTATTCTTTCTCAATAAGTTCCATCAAACATGGATTTGAAGTATTAGTGGTATTTAAGTGTTAGTACACTTAAATTGTATGACATGAATGTTTGCTCAAGAATCTCTATATGTTCCAGGTCAGTAGAGGGTGTACTGTTGGTACATGAGCATGGCCTACCACACGTATTACTGCTGCAGCTTGGTACAGCTTTCTTCAAGCTGCCTGGAGGGGAGCTGAACCCTGGCGAGGTGGGAAATGTTGTATTATCACTAAGAAATTTTGACTTAGACGCATTTAGGGGTTTCATGTTATACACTACGTAAATAATTTTAAATAAATGCCATTTGAGGCAGATTCGTTGAAGGTATATTAACCTTATCCATTGTTCATATTTATTGTTGGCTTCTTTCTACTGCTACATTAGATCTTTTAAATTTTCATGTTATATTTTACCAAATCCTTGATTAACACAACATTAACAGTTGTTAGAACCAACAGAAAACTTTCTTCAAATCATGATTGATTGATGATTCATTTATCAAATCATTTCTTCAACATAAAAAATTTCATCTATCGTATTTCTTTATTAAACCTATCACCGTTTCGCAATGAGGTTCCTCTAATGTAGAAGAAACTCTGTGGGTATCCTCTTTTTTGTCAATTAGAAAAAAAAATCTAAAAATATTAACATAAGAATATTAAACATATTTTTGATTTTGTAGACATAGCTTGGGAGCGATCAACTCATTCTCGATGGTGATTATTATTAATGCATTCAGTTATTAAAATATGTAGAAAAAGTACGAAAAGATTATCGCCGGTGTGGTAATCGAACCCACGTCTTCGGCCAAACGGCTGATTGCCACACCGACGAAAATGTTAACGTCTTTTATCTACATTGTTTTTTTTAGCATTTAAAGCAATGCGTGGCGCATCCATTGTTATCCTTTCTAGCATACAAGCAATTTCGAATATCGTTTTACAACGATAATTCGAACGAGAGACGTCGCCATTGCTTTTACTGTTTTTAGAACAAAAAAATGGATTAAACATGGTGTATGTTTTCTTCATGTTTCAGTGGATTCAGCCACTTGGCTCTTCCACAGCTACCTGTCAAACCTGTCAACTGTACTGATTCCTTTTTTTAGTTCCTAATGTGTGTCCGAATTTTTGATGCATATGCTTGAAAGAGGCAGAATTAAAGGCGAGTTTCATTGTATTTATTCATTAAAAAAAATTGTCTACATTTCAGGATGAAATTGAGGGATTGAAAAGATTACTCACTGAGACACTCGGCAGGCAAGACGGGGTGAAACAAGAGTGGGTTATTGAGGATACCATAGGTGAGAAGTGCCATATATTTTATTTATTATTTTTTTTTTTGTTTACATTTTTACACAACATTTTCTAGTCCCAAACTAAGCAACGCTTGTACTATGGGTACTAGAAAACTGATAAACATACTTAAACATACTTTTCTTTTTGTAAATAAATACATATTATAGATATATAAAACACCCAGACACTAGAAAAACACTATGTTCATCACACAATATTTTTCCAGTAGGGGGATCGAACCCACACCCTCTGGCGCAGGAGGCAGGTACACTACCCACTACGCCATTCGGGTCGTCAAATCATAGGATGTTGTACTCTTTTAAAATGTTATACGCCCGGTTTCTGAAACATTGATCATCGTAGAAGTCAACTAATCAGCTGTCAAATGGCTTATCAAATGTTATTTGAGAGTATAGTTGACTTATATGTTGATCAGTGTTTCAGAATCGTTAGTCTTTTACGTTTAATGTGTGTCGGTGTGTCTATTCAAATTGTTCAGTCTGTAGATTATTTATCTTGAATCATAGATTTATGAGTAAATGGTATGCAAGGTGATATTTATACATATGATTAATTTTGCCCTTGATCATAGGTTTTTGACATTTTTAAAAAGTTTAAGTAGGTTTTTCATCCCAAATAAATAAAAAGTACCTATGGGACTTAGCAAAGGCGCAGGGTTACAAGTGAGCTGGCGCTTCAAGCTGATTTGTGTGTGTGTGTGTTGTTTGTGATCACAGCCACGATTGAAATTTGTGAGGGGTTGAAGGTCCCCAGTCGGTCATAAAAAAATTGTCTCGAGCTACCTCACTCACCAGATGAAACGCGAAAGTAAGTAAATGTTACACTTCACACCAATTGCCTGTGAAGCCGGACGCATCAGCCCATTCGTTCAACAGGAGACACTGCTGCGTGACTCCATCGTAGTAAAATGAAAATGTAACACCATGTTTTTAGTTTTTAAAATATATCACATTTATAAAGTTTAGCTTCTGTATGCTCGTGTCCACAAAACTCAAAAAACCAGCCCGATAGCTACTTGTGGTGGAGAAGCACTATATATGTGTGTGTCAAACTTTAGAGTATAAGACTTGCTTTACCCTGTATCGTGAAGATATCAACAGGCTTTTTTTTAAATGTTTTTAGTTCAGTGGTAAGTCTAGGCGCGAAGAAGGCTATTTAAAGTTTCGTCCTAAGTATAGAGACTGGCAATATGAAACAAAATTTGTTATAAGTCTGTAGTATAATATATTTATAACGATTTCAGGTAACTGGTGGAGACCGAACTTCGAACCGCCCCAATACCCATACATTCCACCGCACATAACTAAGCCCAAGGAGCACAAGAGGCTCTTCCTAGTCCAGCTCCAGGACAGGGCACTGTTTGCCGTGCCCAAAAACTACAAGTTGGTGGCCGCTCCCCTGTTCGAGTTGTACGACAACGCTCAGGGCTACGGGCCCATAATCTCATCCCTCTCCCAAAGTCTGTGCCGCTTTAACTTTGTATACATGTAGGGGTCGAGGGCTCGTCGCAAGGTGAGCAGGGGTGGTCCGAGGGTGTGGCGCAACCCCCTTCAGTGGAGTGTCCACCCATACCTGTATAGGTTGGATCTGAGGGTATGGAGGAACAGACCACTGCAGTGAACGGTTTCGTTTTATGAACAATCCAACAAACAGTCAAAATTGTGCCGCACAATAGTTATTTTTGCGTTATTGGACATTGCATTTTGCATTCTTGACTTTTTGATGTTGCATTCAAAGTTTTAATGGACATTTTGTGTAAAGAATACATTTAACGGATGTTCAACTCGATGTGAATACATTATCGTAATACAGACTACATATCTAATGTAGCTTGATTTGAGCGTAATTGTTGACACAGCCATAAATATAAATGCAAACAGCAAAAGAAATCCAACATTTTACATATGGAAAAGACCACCCTACATTTAGAACCTTCCTTCATATGTTTGGTACACTGGAAGGGAAGACTTTTTGTGCGTAACAGTGCATAAAGAGGCTTTGGTTTGTTACAAAGTACCCTCAAATGATATGGTGTTGACCTATTTTTGTATGCAAAGCAAGATTGTCACTTAAATATAAGTATATTTGACTAAATTATAGAATAACATGACCGTGTTTTATTTATTGTACCTCAAGAAAGAAGACTGTTTAATAGTTTTAAGATTATTTATTTATATTAGTATATTACATAATTTGTATGAAAAAAATTATGAATGACATTTCGAAATGTTCTAGGTATATTTCAATCTGTGATATTTGAAATGTAAAGTCTGATTTTTGTTTTTTTATATATTATAAGGAAAATATTCTTTAAATTTATTGAAATTCAATTTCAGAAATGTAAATATAAATGGACTTAAACCATGTATTAGTACTGAACAGAAGTTCATTATGAATAGTTTTACAACTTATTCTTACAAAGTTTACATGTTATATAACATAAATTGTACAATAAATTCGCTACATATTAGATGTTATAGAATAAAGGGGAAGTAATGTCTTCAAATATATAATTTTTGGGCTAATCGTGATTGTTACTTCTTGACTCGGACTAAAAAAATATTTGCGCAATGTCAGTTGCTAATTTGTTTATTTAATAATATTAAATTTTTTTGTGGTGTTGATACACCAACCAAACCATATCTGGGCAGTCTATGCCTAATAAAAAGCATTTATACTTATGTGGGGCAAGTTGTAAAGTTTATGATGATAATGATAAGATAATAATTATTTGTGAAATATTATTATATACACTATACTCTTCTCATAGGTATTACATGTTTCCTAGAAGGTTATCTACAACTGATAAAAACAAATACTTATAAAATAAAGGTATAAGTATATCATAGAAACATGGAATGGTGAAAAATGATTTGCTTGGTAAAAAATACACATGGTTTCTTCTTAAAAATTTATCTTGTTTTTTCATGTCATTTGAAAGTTTGTTATATATTTTAGGTGCCATGCATGCAATAGCTCAGTGTCCCGGAACTCTCTTTAATGAATTTAAGGCAACCTGAATTCGGTCCCCAGTGCCGGCACCAATTGTTAATTTTAAGCGCTGACTTATCACATGACACAACATGAAAATGACTTGAGGAAAGCTGCATATTTGCAAAATAATACAAAATACCTGTGCCATTCGGCGACTGCCGCGGTAAAGCTATTGCATAGCATTTATTATCAACTTATGCAATTATAAAAATTTATTTATTTTTTATTAATGGAGTATTTTTTTCTTTCATATTAATTCAAGTTACACTGAGCGTGGTGACCGATAAGAAAACCTTTTTTTTACTTTATTGAATAAATGAGAAGTTAATATCGTTTAAAATATTTTTATTATCTTACGACACATGTAGCTTATTCAGGAATTTTTATCATACCATACCATATCATATATCAATTTTGTCGTACCACATACTTACACGTTAAGCGGACGCTCGGCCTAGCTACATGGTAGGCGGAGTGGGGGGTGTTAGGTTTTGTTTTCGTTACGGAACTTCTTCATTCGGTCGCCGCGCTCGAAGCCCGCGATAAAAGCTATGCAATAGCTTAAAAATGTTTCGAATTATATGTAACATCTGCCAATCCGCAGTGGGGTCGTGTGGTGGACAATGCCTTAATACCCTCAGTATGGAGTAGTAGGTCTTTGCCTAGCAGTGGGACATGTATATGCTGTTACTTTACTTTAAGCTTAAAGTACTCTTGTGTTTTGTTCTTTTATGTATGTACAGCTTATAAATGTCAAGTCTGCTTCGTTCAACGCTTGCTGTAGGAAATAGAGATATATTATTTCTCACCAACATGGCACTCTCATAGATATAAAATGAAGGCATATTCGATGATCTGTTTCATGAAATATGGAATATATACAGCTGATAATTGATCTTAACTTACGTTGATGGTTGTTACATTGTTTGTGCAATCTCCGTACTATAGTATAATTGTTGCTCTGTACATATAAAACATTTAAATGGTAAAGTTAACTGGAAGAGAATGCCTATAAGCATTACACCTTTTTAAGAAGCGTGTTTATTTTTGAAATGTATTGAGTACATAGTGGCCCATGTGATACATTTTATTTTAAGTGAAAAAACTTACAGGTTTAAGAAATCTCGTATAATTATGTAATCGTAATAAAAAATAAACACACTTGTATACGTGAACGTACAAGTCTTGCCCGCAAAATGCACAAGATTTGAATATTTTAGATTCCGTATACTAATATATATTGTGTATAATATGATGATAAATTATTTAATGTTAAAATTATGCACAATCTTTGACCTTCAGCACGATATACAAACATCAATTATTTTTATTATTACAATTAGAAAGTAGTTAATGGGCGTTTTTTTTTTTTGCACTAATGGCTGTGTATTAAAAAGGATACATAATTATATTTCGAAGTGTCTGGAGGAAAAAGAAGAGTAAGTAACCAACAAGCCATATAGTTACAGGAAGATATCTGGACAACAGGTATCTCACTACATCTTCATAAATAAAAATGAACCATTTTATGGTTTATAAACGTTAACTGAAAATAACAATAAAATATGTTTGTAAACACCTTGATGTCTTACTATTTTGTTTTATTGCATTTTTAGGTAAAGTACATCTTATTTTCTTTTTATATAGCAAAAAAAAAAACCGGCCAAGTGCGAGTCGGACTCGCGCACGATGGGTTCCGTACCGCTATCTATAAAAACTGCATAAAATTCATAGACAGAGACGCGATGCAATCTAGTGCGTTTAAATAGATCTGAACTGTATACAATATATATAATATAGTAAGTATATAAAACCACAACACAGTGATACGACCGCTGCGTTTGCCTTATGATGGCTCAAAGTCATAAAGTTTACACTCTTTGTAAATAGTGTTATGCTACAGAACTCAAAAGTGATATTAATGAAGTGATACTTTTACGCGATTCGATAATTGGATATGAACAGAGAGTATGGTTCATGCGTACCGTTTACGGAAATTTAAATTTTTCTTAAATTTATTTAGTTAATTTTCTTTTGCAAATAACATCAAAAGTGAGTGTCGGAGTGTCGGTTGCAATGGGAACGCACTAAATATATTACGTATTTATTTAAATCGATATTTTCCCGCCCAATCGGAAGGTTTTTATGACAGATCGGTAAGTATTTCGAAAATCCAATTTATAGTTTATGGGTCGTAACGTTCACGGATATTTATTTTGCGAACGCGGTTTACCGCCATGCGTGCCGTAGTGTTGTGCTTTTCACTGTGTATCGGCTACGTTGCCAGCAGGCTGTGGCGGAAAGGAGTTGTGCATTATGCGATCAATAAAAAAGATTACGGTAAATTATTCTCGCCAAAACTTTCATTTACATATTCGACATTCAATATTGCGTACAGTACAGTACTATTGCGTACAGTATTGAGTGGAGATGTCTCCAATTATGCGCCTGCACTATCCATGATCAAGTCGATATAATAATAATAATCTTTATTTGCCTTTAAACTGGGTGATTAAGAAGTTGATTTACAAAATTATTGACCACCATGTTCTGCCATAATATATGGAATGAAAATATTCGTTATTTCATAAATTATGTGATATAAAAAAATACAAATATTATAAATTAAATTAATACAATATTATAGTTATAAATGCATATATGTATAGATATAGGTATATAAATCTACTTTTACAAATCTGAAAGTTGAACAATATACCGTGTACTGCTGGCGAACTTCAATAGTCTTACAAAATTATGTAGACGCTAAGCTAAGCGCCTGGACGCGTAATTTAGACGGCGCAGGCAGGTTCGAATCCTGCTTTGGCGAAAAATTTTGCGTATTTCATCTAAGTACGTATTTTCAAGTTTCAACTAAATTACAAAGACTAGAAAGACTTTACCGAGGTACGGAGTATTGAAATACTCTGACTACTTCCAAATATGGAAAAATCATATATGTTTTGAAGCCTCGGTTAGATTTTAAAATAAATTGTACTATATGACACATGAAATAGTTTCATTAAACTATTGCTAAATCATAAAAGTATGTAGATAAATTGTCGAAAAATTTTTCGCCAGGATTCGAACCAGAGACCTTTCCGATTACCCGTATTACTAAGCTAAGCGGTCGATGCGGGAAAATCTCGATATCTCATATACTTACTTTATATTTATAAAGATAAACATATTATTAATATATTTATCGCTTTATAATATTAAAATTTTAAGCGATGCAGTGTCTTTCTCTAAAAACTTTATTATCTTGAGTGCAGAGGCTAGGACTTAAAAAAAAGAGCCCCACTTACAATATTTTTCCTGTATTTTTAGTAGGTATTTGTTGTTATAGCGGCACGCAACAGAAATCTGTGAAAATTTCAACTGTCTGGCTATCACGGTTCATAGCCTGTTTGTCTGTATGTCCGGACATACAAACAAACAGCGGAGCCTTAGTAACAGTTTCGTTCGTTTGACCCTTTAGGTACGGAACCCTAATAAAAATTAAATAAATCAGATTTTCAAATCATCTTCTAGATGTACACTCGCAGGACGAGATAATAACAACCCTATCGCTGCTGCAGAAAGAGATATGCGTGAAGTTCTTCTACACACCGATGAACTTTAACGCAAACGAAAATGATAAAATCCTGTACATAAGTAACCCAGAAAAGAGGAAGAGTTGTCCGCCGAGTGTATACAACTTTAGCGGTACTGTTATCGTAAGTTTTTTTTTATTCCTTAACTAGCTGTGCCCACGACTTCTTCCGCGTGGAATTTAAAATAATAAAAAATCTAAAATAAAAGTAGCCCAAGTTACTCCTTATTACGTCAGCTATCTGTCAGTGAAAGTCCCGTCCAAATGGGTCCAGCCGTTTCAGAGATTAGCGGGAACAAACAGACAGACAGACAGACAAAAATTGTAAAAAATGTTGTTGTTGTATATGTACCGTGTATTTTAATATTACAAACAGACACTCAATTTTCTTTATCTGAAGTATATATATATATGACGTCGGCACGAAACCGTCATCCGAAATCTTTATAAAACAATTTTTAAATTCATTGTATTTTTATTTTTTTATAAACTTATCAATTGAAATTCGTATGAAAAAGGACGAAAAGTCTTTCGCCGCTGCGGAAATCGAACCCACGTCTTCCAGATTGGCGCCCAGGCGCTTTAACCGCTAAGTTAAGCGGCTGATTTCACACATCGACGAAAATCTCAAGTCTTTAATTAGTGCATTGTTTTCTCGCATTTTAAGCGATGCTTGGGACATCTACTGCCATATCCTTTACACCATACAAACAATTTCAAAAATCGTTTGACAAATATAATTTGAACTAGATTTTAAATTTCGATAAAATTAAATTTCACATATGAACGGCGACCGTTGGCAATTAAGATGAAACTTTAAAGTTTGAAGAAAAAAGGATGATCAAATTTCACTCAACAGTTTGATATGTTCCGTAAAAAGTAAAGAATCAGCCTATATACATCCCACTGCTGGGCAAAGGCCCCCTCTGTTCAGAGGGTATCAGTCCACCACGCGGCCCTACGGCTGGCGGACTTCACATATCCTCAATTTCTCATATAAGCAGGTTTCCTCGTGCCCTTGCGGTTTACATTAACCGCGGAACACGTGATAATTAACACTTAAAATTAGCAATTTGATTGGTGGACACTGAGCTATCACGGCTCTTTCACTTCGTACCTACTTAATGAAAATAAAATAAAACAGTTTTGTATTTAATGTAATTTTAAAAGTGACAATTAAAACTATAATGAAATTCTGCGGCCCATGTACTGAATTTTTTCTGTTCGTTCCAAGGACATGCCTATAGGCTACAAATGTATAAACAAGCAAGACATCGCGAGGGTCATAGTCGATATGCTTCGAGACAGCATCGAACAAACCGGTATTACATCTTATATTAATAAATATAAAGCAAAATCCCAGGGCCACTAGACGTCACGTATATCCGACGAACAAGATGTATACGATTCAGACCTGCTAGCATGGTCAGATGCCCAGGTATCATGTAATCAAGGTACATAAAACATTACTTACCTTACGTAAATTTAAACATATTTATTTATCTAATGTTTACAAGATTAAATCTATCTAAAATTACATATTATCTAATAAACTTAATCCACGCGGCACGGTGCCAGTAACTCTAGCTGCATTACCCCGCTGAATAGTTATATAAATTATTTATTATTAATTCACGTACATTCTCCTATCTGATTTTTAAGTACATTTTAGACAGTATCGTTAAATTTAGCTCTAATTAACTCTCAGACACTTTCCGTTAGCCGTATTGCATTGCAAACGCTTTAAAGGTCTCAAAATAATTACTTAACTTCATGTTAATTCGACGCTCCATTTTATATATTCGCCAATATTTTTCAGACCAATCTAAGGAGCCAATCATCCCCTAAACCCAATTTCAATTCGTCAGAAAATACGTGACGTCTGGTGGTCCTGAGATCTTGGACTACTAGCTGATAGCTGATAGCGGCGTTTTTTCCTTTCCATTGGAACTTCTTAATATAAAGTATAGTAGGTACCTGGAGGACTTGCTCGGTTTGTTTTTTTTTTTTTGTAAATCGTGTATTTTGGAAATTATATTTAGATACAAATTACTGTGTAATGAAATATGCATAATATTTTTCGATCTTACCGACGTAATAATAAGAAAATATGAAATGGTGTTTTTCACAAAAGAAAGAACTTAAAAAAAAAAGGGGAAAAAATTACAAAATTAACAAATCGACCGCCCGACTACCGACCAAGCTATTATAGTCTATTAGTGCTATTGTAGTCTTGTACTTTTTTTGTAAATAAATGTTTTCAGATTTTCAATTTCAAATTGAACTGTTCGAAATTTTCACAGTTCACCAATGACTGAACGATTAAAACGTTTTCCAGTCTACTTCCCTCCTTTCCATTAATGTAAATTGACATTAATTAATAAAAATTAAATGAGGAAAAACAAACGGATTTTTTTTTATTACGACATTAATTTAATTGTACTTTGTGTATTTTTCGTCAATAACCTCAAAAATAAGTTTAAATTAATGTCTCATAGTATAATGTAACAATTACAGTGTCATCAATTAACAGCTATGATTTGGTCAAGAAATTCTACGATAGAGTAAGTAAAAGCATATTTATTATAACTAACATTATATTTATGGGCAGTATGTAACTACATTATACTGTATATTTAAACAAAAAGCAAGAAAAGTATGTGGTTTACAAAGACTAGACTAGCCAAGGTGAACAAAATTATTTTTAAAGCATTGTTTACTGTAACGAAATGACATACGTTTATTTGATTTAAATGTCTCTGTCGCTTTCGTTTTTCTAAATAAAAAAAGACTCATCTGCAAGCTTCACCTCCATAGGAAGAGCGCGGAATAGAGAAAATATTTAGTTTTTATCTTCTATTTACTGGGTGGTATACACATATCATCCAGTAAGCCGTCACATTAAAACTTTTCACATTTAAAAAAATAAATATTTGTCTATGGTTCCATCTAAAAACCAACCAGTGCATCACAATAATTATAGTTAAGTGAACATTACGCGAAACTACTTTCACAGATTTATTGTGTTTACCATAGTGCAAAGTACTCCAATCGTTTGTCTCATTTTTCATGATTCATGTCTCTTTGGAAAAAGCCGCGACAACTCAGTGTCCGGGCGCTCGTTTTTAATTTAAAAATACTCGAGCAACCTGAGTTCAAAACATGTGCTCAGCGTTGAAGGAAAACATCTTTAGGAATCCTTCATATTTACAAATAATAACAAAAGAAAAAAATATTTCTAAGATATGTGGAGGTCCCATGTTAATTTCATTGGTTGGCTTCAAAAATCTCGCTCTGTATTCATTTTATAATTGATTTTCAGAAGTTCCCTAAGTATCTCTGGAGCCCAAGGTCCAATACCAATAAAATCAATATGGGACCACATGGGAAGCACTAGCTTTCAAATAAAAAAAGAATCATAAAAATCGATTCACTCAGTCGAAAGTTACGAGGTAAGAAACATAAAAAAAATACAGTCGAATTGAGAACCTCGTCCTTTTGAAGTCGGTTAAGGAATACAGAGTAAGATATTTGAAGTGGTTTTGTTTTTTTGTTAATAAATTGTTATTTATTCAGTTAAAGTTACTTTACTTAAAAAAAAATAAAGGACCAAGACCCCGCGCGGCCGTCGCTCCTGAAGCCGGTGGATAGGAACTTCATAAACGCCCACTACCATGGCGAGTGCGGTCGGCTGGCGCAGCCGTCGATAGCGTCCAGGCGGCAGGGCGCCTCCGGCACGGAGCCGCTGAAGCTCACGGAGGCGAACCTGCAGTACTACTCCGGCAAACTGTGGCCGCTCGGCATCGTCATGTACGGCGTCGACGACAAGCTGCGTACGTGCCCCATTGACGTTATACAGGGTGGCTTTTCTAATTGTATCCATATTTTTTTTTTACTAAATTCTAGACATAAATAATGTTATACAAAAATGATAAATATTTTAAATCACTCGTAGTTAATTAATTGCATTCATTTGAACTTATCTTAAAAAGTGCGTTCATTTATACGCAACTCATTTATTTTACGCGCGATCATTCATAACTAGCTCGCACACAAGTTCGTGCGCAGTAGAATTTAGGTATTTATGAATGGCTATCGCATTGTTAACACGTTCTGTTTTTTAGGGAATAGAATGGCATTTTTTTTTTTGGAAAAAAAACTTTGTTTTTTATTTCAATAAACGATTATATTACCGAGTCTGGACCTTCTGTGTAAATTTGGGCACTTCTATGACGCCATACAGGGTGATTTTTTGATAAGCGGTTTAGTAATTATGCGTACAGCGGACAGTTTTAGTGGTCGTGAATAAGTTATTGTATTGAGACGGTAAGGCAGAAATTTCTAATGGGGTGTTCATAATGTTTGAAAAAATTTAAAATAATCTTTGAAAAAAATAACGAGGTCACAAGTACGTACGTCCCAGATTCAGATTTAGAATCAAATTCTGCATATGCTCTGTTAATATGTCCGTCGTCCATAAAATCATCCTGTATGCACAAACTGGCGGACCCGACAGACGTAAATTCGACGAACTTAGAAATGAAATTTAAAAAAAAATAGTTGTGAATCTAAATCATTCTCGAATCGTTTGAAGTAAAACTTAAAGAAAAATGTATAAAATAATAAATAATAATTTCATTTATTATTATTTTTTTTTAATGTATAGTTCAGATGCATACATACATACAGCGTAAATATCGGATACTATAAAATCGCTTCAACGCCGTAACGCGTTTCCGTTGTATTGTGGTAGCCCAAACCATTCGGTTATCAGTCAGTTGCGCCGAAAGAATTTTTTCATTAACCTCATAATTATAATAATCACAATCATATTTGCAGAAATATGGTAGATAAAGATTTTCAGTATAGATAAAAGTACAGAAATATTTCGCCTCATTGGCATGCAAATATTTCACAAATAAACAATATAATTAATACAAACACAATCTAAGTCAATCAAATCCTATTAATTACAGTAACTTAAAACAAAATGACTCAAAATAGTTTTGTAATTCTACATATATAATTTCAACATTAACTCGTATGATATACATATGTGTCAAATGAAAAGGCTTGTTTCACTATTGTTATTTAAAATTTAAACATTATATCGTTTATTAATAAATAATTCTGCTCAGGGAACGCATATCAGATTGTTGCAACCAATCAGTTTTTACTTTGAGCTTGAAGAAGAAACGTTCAAGTTAAGTACAAGTGCTGTGCTTTCATTCAGAGTTCGCCCGCTGAGTTTCTTTCGCCGGTTCTTCTCAGTGCAAGAGCTTTCTTTTCCGAACCGGTGGTAATGTGTTGACTATCAATAAGCGAGTGTAATACTCCTATGTTGAATATTTGATTTTGATTTCAGGTGCAACATCCGACTATAACGCGCTCAAGTACGCCATGACCACTATAGAACTGTCCAGTTGCGTGGTCTTCCAAGAGATAGACACTAACGACGGAGTGCTGCGGCCCAAGAACTACATATGGTTCACCAGCGACGGGGAGGAACAGCCGCGTTTGGGGTTCGTTCCCGGGAAACAGGTGAGGGGAATTTTCTTCGATGGACAATACCAACTATACAAAAATACAGGGAGGCTTTTCTAAGTGTATCCATTTTTTTAAATAAAATTCTAGACATAAATAATGTTACATAAAAATGATAAATATTTAAAATCACTCGTAATTAATTAATTACATTAATTTGAACTTATCTCAACAAGTGCGTGATTATATGCAACTAATTTATTTTACGCGCGATCATTCATAACTAACACGCACACAAGTTCGTTTCAAAAGTATAAGACGCATTTATGAATGACTACCGCATTGTCAACAAGTTCTGTTTTTTAGGGAATAGAGTGGCATTTTTTTTTTTGAAAAATAAAGGTTTGTTTTTATTTCAATAAACGATTATACTACTGAGTCTGAAGTTGAACCTCCTGTATGAATTTGGGCAAATTTCTAAAATAAAAGTTACCTAAGTTACTCCTTATTACATCAGCTATCTGCCAGTGAAAGTCCCGTCCAAATCGGTCCAGCCGTTTCAGAGATTAGCCGGAACAAACAGACAGACACAAATTGTAAAAAATGTAATTTTGGTATATACATCCATAGGTACCGTGTATACATCCATATGCATTTAGTAAAAAGCGGTTATTTTAAAATTACAAACAGACACTCCAATTTTATTAATCTGTATAGATTTATATTTATATTTATTGCACTATTAAACTGCACCTTTTACTATGAAAACTATTGACAAATCCAGTATTATTTTTATTTATAATAAAACTGGAAAATTTATAGAACATTCGCTACTTAGCTCTTACCCTTATGCTACATTAGCGCCAATCTGGTCAATAGTAAACCCGCACGTTATATGACGAAGCTATTTCGGTTAAAAGACATGAGACGTCCGAAGCTATTTCGGTTAAAAGACATGAGACGTCTTCTCCTTGAAACACCTCAAAAAGGGTTACAAAGGGTGTACTTAATGCCTATTGGCATTCTCTACCAGTCAACCCTTTTCTGTCGTCACAATCGATACGTATTGCAAACATATTTTTTACGGCACAGACAATAAATATGGAGAGTATGGTGCGCGGGGCTCCGGGACACAGCGCCCATGTGCTGGTCAACTTGATGAGGACCCTGGGAGTCCACATGATGTCCAACCGTCACGATAGAGATAGCTACGTCGCTATAGACTGGAAGAAGATCCACAAAGGTGACTTTGTTAACGCAGATTGTTAGGGCGGAAATGGCATGGCAACATTTCTGCCTCTCAGTAATTATTGACAGCCCATAATGAATGAATGAATTTATCCTTACTTAATATTATAAAAGCGAAAGTTTGTATGTATGGATGGATGGTTGTTACTCTTTCACGCAAACACTACTGAATGGATTTTAACGAAACTTTACAATAATATAGCGATAATATATGAATGTGACTAACCGATAGGTATACGCTATTTCGAATCCCATTATCCAGTATTACTAGAAAACTTATAAACATACTTAAACATACTTTTCTTTTGTAAATAAATACACATTATACATATATAAACACCCAGAAACTGGAAAAACACGATTTTCATCACACAATATTTTTCCAGTAGTGGGCATCGAACTCACACCCTCTGACGCAGGAGGCAGGGTCACTACTCCCCACGCCAATTGGGTCGTCAAATGGTCAAGTTTATGCTTAATTTATTGAGCTTTCTAATTGCGTCTTTAGATATTAAAAAAAAATGAAAATAAACCATGTTTAAACTCTTTAAACTTGAATTTATCTACATGTTTTCAAGCTTCTCTCCGATACAAACCCACCAGGGAAGGAGCATTACTTCGAGAAAGCGCCGCCCGCCGCCTGGGTGCAGACGCCGTACGACTTCGACAGCGTGACCCACGCGCCTGCCAACTACATGTGTGGGTCCTGTGATCTGGGCGGGCAGAGCGTCAGGCCGCTGCAGGTTTGTCCGGCGTGCACTCCTCGACTTTATACCTCGTCAAAGGATGAAACGGGAATTTATTACTAAGGCTCCGCTGTCTGTCCGTCCGTCTGCCTTTGTCTGCCGTTCACACCTCGACCGACTTTTTACCTCGTTTTTTAGGGTTCCGTGGCCAAAGTGTGAATAGGGTTCCGCACTAAAGGGTGAAACAGTACCCTATAACTAAGACTCCGCTGTCTGCCGTTCACTCCTCGCCTGACTTTTTATCTCGCTTTTTAGGGTTTCGCAACCCAAAGGGTGAAACGGGACCCTATTACTAGGACTCCGCTGTCCGTCTGCCCGTGTGGACCAGGCTGTATCTCATGAACCTCGATAGTTAGATAGTTGAAATTTTCACAGATGACGCATTTCTGTTGCCGCTATAATAACAAATACTAAAAAAAAATTAATAAATGAATATTTAAGGGGGCTCCCACACAACAGACATGATGTTTTGCCGATTTTATAGATAACTAGGTGAGGCGGCAAACGTTGTTTTGCCACATAAATTATTTCTAGAGGAAGCGGGACGCGTTCAAAAATCGTTTGACAGGTACAGTTTGTATGGGAAAATAAAATTGTTGCCATTTCGATTTTCCATGCAATTTTTCCATAATTTGTCTTCGCTTAAACCTTCCCTGGACTGCCACAAATATATCAAAACCAAAATTAGCCAATCGGTCCAGCCGTTCTCGTGTTTTAGCGAGACTAACGAACAGCAATCCATTTTAATATATAAAATAGTTAATGGTACGGAATCCTTTGTGCTTGAGTCCGAATTGCACTGGGCTGGTTTTTTTTTTCAATAGATGTCTTCGTTTAAACCTTTGAGTTGAATCGGAGCCTTCATCCCATTTCGCTCGCATGTACGGGACTTCATTATATGCAGTTTTTCAACCAAATTCAAACAAGAGTAGGTTCTCCGTTCTACGTATCATCTTTTTTATTTTTGTCACATCAGAAACATTATGATGACGTGATGACATTAATTTCATGAGTATTGGACCTTAGAGTCTGGATACATATCAGAGAGCTTCCTCAAAATCAAATAGAAGATGCACTATGAGGATTAAGGAATAGTCCTTCACTCGACCTTACTGCTAATTGGTGGACTTTACATATCTTCGAAAAATATATTCAATATTATCATTTAGAAAATATGCAGGTCTCCTCACGTTTTTCCCCTTATCGCGGGAAATTGATAATTCGGCACTCAAGTGACAATTTAATTGGTGCCTCCACCGGGATTCGAACTTAGGTTGCTAGAGAATTTCGAATTAAAAGCGGACACTCGGACTCTGACCGATCGCGGCTCTATCTCAAAAATGAAATTATTTAACAGAAAAAAATGAACAATTTCGAATTTATTGTATATTTTAACACGGGTAACACTTACGTCGATCGGCAGCACAGATAATTAAACATTGAACAGATGTGACGTTTCACGCAGGACCACCTGTGGCAGAGGACGCTCACGATGGGCCACAGAAATGAACTGTGTGAATCCGATGGCACATTACTGGGTCTGCTCTACGGCGAGCAGTGCAGGGATCGGGAGCCTAGCGTAGATCGCGCGGTGGAAGGAGGGAATTGATTCATAACTACATTAGCTTCATATTTCTTGTACGTATTAAGGATGTCCCAAGTGTATATACAAGTGTTCAAGTGTATGTTCAGGTGTTAAATTATATATATAGATGTATAAGTGTATATAAAGGTGTTCAAGTGTATATACAGGAGTTTCCCAAGTATGTATACAGGCTGTCCCAAGTGTGTATACAGGGGTGTCTCAAGTATGTAGATAGAATTTCTCAGTTGTGTCAAGTCAGCCATCCCGTGTGTATAAAGGGTGTATCAACTGTGTATATAGGTGTCTCAGGAGTGTTTGAATACAGAATCTTCCAGTTTTGTATACAGGCTGACCCAAAACACAGAATCTGTAACCCTACCGCTGTTGCAGTTGTCCATGGGCTGCGGTTATCACACCAGTTGAACCGCAACTTGGCTTGCAGTTTTTTTACATAAGATATAATATAAATACATAATTTTAATCCTTTTCCAGACATCCGTTGGAGTTTCTTAAACGTATTGAGAAACGAATGCGATGCGTCGCGACTTGTGTCATCGTAGTTGTTATAGAATCGTAGCAAAGAAAAATTTATTACGTGATTAAAGTGCGTCTTATAATTACAGGCATGTTTTTTTTAATATGTTTAATGACATTTTCAGTAAAAAGGTTATAACAAAAAAAGAAAACTTACACTGGTATTAACATAATACTATGTTTTGGGACGAAATCATATACCTAATTGCTATGATTTTCCCCACCCTTGCTTATAGGATTAGGCAATTGAAAAGAAAATTGTATATTTTGACGATTTTAATATCTTATTGTATGATAACAACAATGGATTTAGGAGAAAAATGTTACATCTTTTTATACAATTTATATACAAAGAAAGTAGTTAATACGATAAAAAGAAATTATTTCACAAATTTTTCAAAGTAGTTGTAGACTGTATGTCGAAGATTACTTCCGATATTTAACTCGTCAAAGTCTTCAGTCTTAAATAGTCATACAACTTTAGACTTGGAATTATAAAACATAAGTTCATCTTAGGATTTAATAAGAAGAATACATGTTATATAATTACATAACTAGTTCAGTTGATATAATCAATGAACACATTATACGCAAAAGAGTGACATAGCTCAAGGTCATTCAAAGGTCACTGGAGTCGAAACTGGGAATTTAATCGGGAGTATTCCTGGACCAGTAAGTCGAGGTATATATAAGAAGAAATGTACGCAATGTCGCGGGAAAATACCAGTGCGGTAAGCAAATTTCTGAAACAGTGACATCAAAGGTAAACTTGATTATATACAATTTATTTCTTCGCAGTCGATCTAATCAAAATAATCTATCAGAACTATAATTGATTTTTATACTTTATAATTAAATATTCCATTAAAACGATTTCTTAGCTATTATTATACAGCGTCTCTTTACCACCGCGACAATAAATGAACACACATATAGAGGATAAGTTTTTAAAATTGTATTAAAGATTTACATTATTTAAACATCAATATTTACCGAGTTATTAAATTTTCCAAAACAAAGAATTTTAGAACATCCTAGTTCATTTGTAAAGGTCACAAAGCATATGAGTGGGTTGAATGAATTTAAAAGAGACAAAACATACTGTTAGAAGGAGAGGCTTGTAATGCGGCGCTGTGGCAACGAATGAAAAAGTCTTGGAATGTATGAATCAGTTCGTTGTAGATGTATAGGATGTTACAAATTTTGTTTCTTTTTTACTTAATTACTTTGTATGAAAAATATTTTTTTTTTTATGGATGTTTTTTAATTTTAATATTTTTTTATGATTGGCAAGTAGCGTTAGACGTGTGTTCATTTATTGTCGTGGTGGTAAAGACACGCTGTATAATCGTATGATGTCGTGTGATATTCCATAATTCTGTTGCGAGGGTTTTTCTTTGATTCAACATTTCCTACACTTAATATAATAAAGCATTGTTGATTATTTTTGTCGAATTATAAGCGTCTACCTCAAGAATCAAGTCTTTCATCTAAACGATTTGACCAGAGCGCTCCAAGTTTAACATTATATAACGCGAGTTTGATCTAGACGTGGGTCGTATCATTAATGATTTTAGATTTTCAATATCTGATTTCGCAACTATGTATTTTAATATCTAGATATGTGTTATTATGCGTTCGCGCATCCATCTTAGATTCATAAAAATCTAATCCTATACACGACTTTAAAATGGATATGACGCTATCATACGTATTTAACAGAAACTAAGCTTTATTTGCATAACTTTAAGATTTAAAATTACTTTACCATAACATTGATATATAACGGTTCAAAAATCTGATATTGTGTATTGTCGTACCGTTCTAACTAGTTTAATATTTGTATCTCTCGCGCTTTGTCGCTCGCAAGCGGCCAAATAGTATTCGGTTCATAGCAAATATCTAGATATTGCACATACATAGATTTCGAACGAACCAGTAGGAGATTTTTAGATATTGAACCAATAATATAGTTTTCGTAGATACTCGATTTGTATCGCCCACTTCTAGTTTGATTGTATACAGGGTGATCTTTTAATACGAAGTACATACTTTGAAATAATGTTAATTGAGCATTCCATAATTCAAATAAAATATTAATATTTTATTTTGACAAAGGGATAACCAGAAAAATATCAATTCAAACATTGTTTGTTTATCCCGTTAAGGGTGGTCACCCTATTGATAAACGGTTAAGTAATTATGCGTTCAGCGAACAGTCTTAGTGCTCGTCAATAGATTATTGTGTTGAGACGGTAAGGCAGGAATTTCTTAAGGTGTCCATCATAATGTTTGAAAAAATTAAAAATAATCTTTGAAAAAAAAAATGAGGTCACAAGTACGTACCACATTCAGATTAAGAATCAATACCTGCAACATCAATACCTATGCTCTGTCAGTATGTCCGTCGTCTATAAAATCACCCTGTATAAACGCGTCTAAGGTATTACAACCACCGATAAAAAAACCGAAAACTTCAATTCCACACGATATTTCTCTTGATTTCTGCGTCGTCGTAAATAACGTTTCGTGTCGAATTGCCAACGCGAAGTCGACTACCATTCCCGGCCGGTGTCCCTTCAAGAGATCTTCCCAGGACTCTCCGTTCTTCTCTCTTTCCTGATGCAATAGTCGCATTCGTCCAGGTCGAAAATCGACGAGCACTTCATACAGTACTTCACGTCCGCAGTGCTCGGGACTATTATGGACATCTTCGAGTCATTGTTGCAGCTGTCGCACAACTCTTTTGCCTCCGTTCCGTCTTCTTCCTTCTTCGTGTCCCTCTCTTCTAGTTCTTCTTGAAACCCGCCGGTTCTGTTCGGTTCCCGCTTGAAGCTTTTGCACTTCTTGTAGTAAGAGTCGAGAGTATTGGTTTCCTTCTCAGGAATTTCTTTTTCATATGCCGGTTCCTTTTTAGTATCTTCTTCGATTTCCACCTCGATCAGGTGGCCGGATTTGACCTCTTTGGTGTCAGTTGAGTTAGAGACAATTTTGAAGACTGTTATGTAGTCGTCGGTTTTTGCAAAATTTCTAGTTTCTTCTGATGGTACTTTCGGCTCGTCGATTTTGTCGTTCAGTTTAGAAACCTCATCAGTAGGTTTGGTTTCAATAGGGCTTTTCTCGACGCATGACGCGTTTTGAACGACATTTTCGAGGCCACAATCCCTAACCGCTTCTTCATTGAGTAACGTTTGATTTGTTTCAGTTTTAATATTGTTTTGCTCGACAACATCGACTTGTTCCTCCCCTTTTGCGGTTTGCGAGCTCTCCGTAGATTTTCTTTTCTCTCTGAAAGACGATTTCTTTTGTGTTAGGAGGTTCATGGGCAATTTTTTGAAGTTGAGAATCTTTACCCTCTTGTTTGTCACGTACCTAGGAAAGGTTTTCGACTTTTTGAACACTTTCAAATGCTCGATGGGATTAATGACGCCCTTCGTCGAGGCAACGAGCGGTTTTGGATTTCCGTCGATTCGCTGTACGTCTATATCTCTCTTCCTCTCCATCGGTATTTCAATATTCTCCAAATGTTCCAGGCATTCCTTGTCTTGTTCGGTAATTGCGGCGAAACAAATATCGTCCACGTTTTCCGCCTCCACTTGTGTATATGTATCGGATATATTTTTATGATCTGTTGAATTTTTGCGTTTTGGAATGTCTGCATTATCTGTGCACCTCTCTTTGATCGATTGTTCTTCTTTAGTATTGATGCTATTGTATCGACTTTTGCATTCATTCAATTTACTTTTAATGGTGCCCAACAAACTCTCCAGTTTGCTGCGTTTATTTTTAAATTTGTCATTGGCACTGTTAACGTTAAATGTTGCGATATCCATTAGGGTATCTGTGTTTAGTTTGTTGTCTTGTATTTGTTTTTTAATTTCCGCGGTGTCGACCGACTCCAGTATTATTTTGTGGGGTTTCGTCTTCCTGGCGGATTTAATCTTTAATTTTGTCGCGGGCGTCGGCAACGGGCTGATATTTCTTGATTTTAAAATTATCGGACCTGGAAATCAAATGAAACAAATTGGTTTACTGTTAACTGGTGCTGAACACCTATGAGTGAGAGTAACAATGTTTTTAATTATTGTCTAGTCCGAAAGAAATCAGTAACATAAATGTTTTATACATTTCAATAAAATCCTGAAAATGAAGGGTAGGATATGGGAAGCCAGATTTATAGAAACATAATACTGGGATGGCTCTATTGGAATTTTAATAAATACTTAATTAATTTCGAAGTCTTATAGCATAAGCCTAGATGCTCACTCTCCATGTAGTCGCCGTCGGGTGGGTCCTCCCACCACACCGGGCTGGGGCAGGTCAGTATCTCCAGGAGATCGTCATCATCCAAGCTCTGGTTCTCGTCAACCATCCGGATCACCTCTTCGAAGCCCAGCTCGGAGTACACAGGGCTTCGAGATCTGTTGCCCAGCGCGGTGGGACCGGATTTCAAAGTGTGGCGAGGCCTCGCCCGCTTTGCCGGCGGAGATTTTGATCCTGCAACGGTGATGAAGAATAGTAAAATTTGCGGAAAACGTACGTAAAGATTGTCACCGCTGTGGGAATCGAACCCGCGTCCTTGCTTTTAAACGCTAAAAACAATGTAGATAAAAGACGTTTAGATTTTCGTCGTTGTGGAAAACAACCGTTTAGCTTAGTGGCTGAAGCGTCAGGCCGCGAATGCCGAAGACGTGGGTTCGATTCCCACAGCGGCGACAAACATTTCGTATTTTTTCTACAAATTTTAATATGTAGAGATTAGCACTATAAAAAATTTAAATTTCTAAGTAGCAATGGCGACATCTCTCGTTCGAATTATCGTTGTAAAACGATATTCGAAATTGTTTGCATGCTGGAAAGGATATAACGATGGATATAATAAATTCAAGCGGGCTTAATTGTGGTAGGACCACGTAAGTGTTCGCTGTTGCACGAATGGGCAGGTCCGTCCGGGTAAGTACCACGACCTCACAGAAGAGCGGCGTGAATTGGATGTATTATACTTCTGCGTTTCGTCTGGTGAGTGAGGTGGCCGGGGCCCAGCTTATTTAAAGGTGGCAACGTATTTGCAACCATACTGGTGTTGGAAACGTCCATGGACGGCGGTTCTCACTTAACTTCAGGTGAACCGCCAGCTCGTTTGCTACTTTATCACATAAAAAAAGCTATTTGTTACGCTATAAATTACGAATAGCGATGCAGGCCGTGAAACATATCTGAATACTGATCATGAGTAATGATATGTAATGTACAAGTCGGTAAATAAAAAAAACTAAAGTGTATAAATAAACTGCAAAAAGTAAATCAAAAAGCGAACTGCTCGGCAAAGGCCTCCTCTGTATATAGCGTGTTAGGGCACAGTTCACCACGCGACACCACGGATTGGTGGTCTTCGCATATCTTCGAATGTCTTCACGATGCTTTCCTTCACCGCTAAGCACGTGATAATTCAGCACTTAAAATTAACAATTTCTTTGGTGCCGGCACCGGTGATCAAACTCAGGTTGCTCGAGTAAATTGAATTAAAAAGCGCCTAGACGATGAGCTATAACTGCAAGTTGGTATATCAAATACTTTTTTGGGAGCCAAAACGGAATCCAAGTCGACTTCCACTACTAGACCACGTATCAATTATGGTCGAGTTTCGACATGATAGGGATGCCGAAAGTGAAGAAATATATCGATATTTATGAAAATATCAATTTACCTCGATATATGGAAACATATATACTTTTTGTGAATTTTTTTTTAATGTACATAATATGTCCCGGATTCGAATTAGATAAAAATATCGGTTTTGATGCGATTTCTATATTGAATATTATATATTGGATCAAAATATATCGGTTAAAAATATCGATATAGGTATTTAATAAAAATATCGATATATCGATATTTTTTCTAAAAAAATATCGATATGTCGGTATTTTTTCGGCATCTCTACTGGGTGACTAGTATGACGTTAATAGTCAAACCCATCCCAAAAGTTCCACTCACCCTTCTGCGGCATACCCAGCTTCCTTTTGCCGCCACTCCCCCCCATGACTTTCATCTCGTGTCTCTGCTTCAGAAGGACCTGCGAAGGACTCCTCCCCTTCATATTCTGGACCTCCTGGGTCTGGTGCGGTCGCTCCTTCTTGACCTTGGCGGGCGAAACAGTCGCTTTGGTCTTCCTCTCGTCAGCCGCTTTGGGCGAATGCGCGGTCGGCCTGCGCTCCTTTTCGCGTAGCTGCCGCCTCTGCTGTGACAGCTTGAATCGGGTGAGCATCACGCTCCTGCCCTGGTGCGGCTGGCTCGCCGCCATTGTTGGCGCGCTGCAAGCGTCACACACGTCGACCGGTGGTCAGTGTTGCCAACTGTTAAAAAAACACCCCTAAAACAGTAAATACCTGCTAAAATTCGCGAAATTCAAACGAAAACTTCTAAAACGAGAAACACTTGGGATGTTTTGGTTTGTATTTACGTCCTGAAAAAACTCCATTGTAAATTTATTCCTTCCTAAATTTAGGATGAAAATTCGGTAAGTTGACATCCGTGCCGGTGTTGCCACCGTTAGGGATTTCGAAAAATATCGATAAATATATCGTTATTTTTAATTTTATATACCTACCGATATTTTCAGCAGATACACTTGGATCAGATATATCGAAACAAATTATTCGATATCAAAAATCGTATTAATAACTATATTTTTTCAAATCCGAATCGAGCACAGTGCGAAGGTGTCAAATATTTATTGACATACCTTTTTGATATTTATGAAAATATCAATATCGAGCCCGATAGGTATTGATATTTTTATAAATGTCGATATATTTCTTCACTTTCGACATCCCTAGCCACCGTATGAGCGTCGGCGTGAAAGGCAGAAGGGCTTTTTACTGACACCATTACTAACGTTACATATCGTCAGTAGTACGGTATCATTTACTTCATTAGATACTTTAAGAATCTGACCAAGGTCAAATAAATGTTCTACATTAATTTGTTTTTTTTTTTAAGTTTCTTTTGTATGGTTGAACAAAACTCTTTTTTTTCGGGCAGCGATCTTAGCAGGCTAGAGAACAACTCAAAGTTTCATCTTACTTAATTGGATGAATGGTTTAGGACCGCATACAGGACAAAGATAATGCTACGCTATTGGCTTCGGCGTTGGAGGTCAAGGGTTCGATTCCCTTACGGGTCAAATATTTGAGTGACCCACAGATAATTGTTCCAGATCAGGGTATTTGTTGCCAAAGGGTGGTTACACGTTAGGCAGGCGAACGGTTGTAAATATATAGCCTAAACCACTTACAACATGATTCCCCACCTAGGTGAGATAAGGGCAGGAGGACAACAAATTATGAAGATATATACGGATTTAAGCCACTCAGAAGACTAGCATAGATCATGGGATATCTTTTTCCGTTATTCCTACTAAGTACAAATCTCTGACTTCAGAAGACAAATTGAATACAAATATTTATTTGCTATTTAAGTTATAAGCACCTACACATGTTATTTTGTACTATTAACAGAATAGGATCATAGGATATATGTTTTTCTACAGGCTCAAAATGTCTATACAATGATACTCTTGGGATCCATGGCATCATAAAGGATCTGTGGTGATTATGAATAATTTTAAAGGTCGCAAGAAAGCCAAAAGAAATATCAAAATATGATAAAGAAAGAGATATTATTAAAGTTATCATATGCTATCTCTATTTAGAAGATAAATAAAATGTTGTGTAACATTGTTATTAACTGCTTGAATAGTATTTGACTAACTAAATGTCAGGCAGAATACCCTATTCTACTAATATTTTCAAAGCATATTAGAAACACTAATACATACTTATAAAAACATCTTGGAAATTGATATGTAAAAGTACAGCACCGCTAAAAGATTTGGAAGATCATTTTCATATCATATATTCGTTGATTCATTTGTAATTAGTGCTATTCATTTTCTACCACACTATGTACCACATAATTATCACATAATGTAATAGTCTCATATTTTATAGGAGCATGTTCAACCAAGGTTTTGTGTAGGCCTGTTACTATTTTATCAGGCAAGCCAAAGCAGGAAATGATGAATGTAAAATGATAACAGCTATGCACTCTACCAATAATTTGAAAAAGGTTGGAGTTTCCAGTAAACAAATGAAATAGGTGCAATTAGATATTTAACTTTTGATTGTCATACAATAACAAATATAATAAAATCCATAATTAAGTGAAAATCACTATTTTGAGTCAATGTTATTCACATAGTCATTGTTTTCAGCAGTTTTATATACAAAACCTCATAGCAATTGGTTAAGTTTTTGAGCTATGCAAATGTCACAAAAATATAGGCAGTACTGCTGACATATGTTCAATAACAGAAACAATATCTCTTTTAACACATCTTTCCAGACAGAGACAGTTGCCAAGTTTTATATTATGCAGTAACCAATATAAAGATCAAAATAAATAAACACTTATTTTGATCTTTATATTGGTTACTGGTTAAGTTTAACTTTACATAATCAAAAACAGTTACATGTCCATTTTTGATTATGTAAAAGTTAAACTTATAGCTAAATGTTTCATCTATGAGATTTCTAAAAGTAATAAAAACACATTGACTCTTGTTAAACAAGTGGACAAAATTTTACCAATTTTACAATCTGAAATATAAACATGTTAGATTTATGTAGAGGTCATTTAACAAACTATATTGTGGCTTTTTTGCATACCTACTGTTTCAGTATTAAGTACTTGTAATATTGCACATATAAAAAAATATTTTTTTTTGCGTGTAACTTGACACAGTAGACAGTTACAGTTAAAGAGCCTTTTTTATTATTAATGTCTATCACACAATGCATAGCACCGTAAATTGCGGCAATTCAATATAATTTATTGACATAGATTAGTAACTTCTTTATTATTATCATCAATGTAAACAGCTATTATGACGCGTAGAGAAGTTGCGAATGGTAACTTAATTATCATGACAAACCGATACATATATAATTATCTTATTCTATATAACACGAATAAAATTTGTTGGGGGCATACCTCAAAAGCTTTAACAATAATTATGTTACCGAAAACAAAAAGATTTTTACCGATTACACACAGACAAAAAAATGTTATTTAAAGAAATAACAAAGTCTCAAACATAGTACTGTTACGTAGGTATCTAATATAATGTAAATTACTCACCAGCACAGCAGTAATTTTTCAATCACTTACAAATTTAACTCAAAAGCAACGTAGGTATTCAAGGATTTCATATATGAATTTGTTATAATTTGCACCAAATTTTATTGGGATCGTTTCACTTCTCTGCGTAACGTAATAGAATCAGTATCAATCTGTTTCTGTGTTACTGAACTGAGATTGTCAATACATCGAGTTAGAACTTTGTCACATTAACGATTTCTTCTTGTTCCGTTCTCCAATAAAATCTTTTATTCATGTAAATTTCTTTGTAAATTTCTTTGAAACATTCCAATTTATTCTCAGTTATATTGTTCTGTTTGATAATTACACTTTTTTTATATTATATATCGATTTTTTTCAGAGAGGTCCATTCAGATTTCAGATACTTATATAAAAATACTCTTTGGGTCCATTTTACTATCAAGGCAGAGAGACAACATAACTATCATTAATTGCGTATGGCTTCTTTTTAAATAAATAGAATTAAGGTTCTAATCTAGCTTGAATACAACCTTAAATTAATTTATTTTACTTTAAACTATTTTTAAAAAAATGCCTCATTGGTTAATTTCGGCAAACCGTTGTCCTCATTTATAAATTAGTTATTTGATTTACTTACTACTTAATACTTTATATGTAACATTTATGTTTGTGGAATATATTTATTTCGAATGGTTACTTATTGAGTTTCTGCTTTGTGAGACCCTTAATAATATTTTTGTAATAAACTAATAGTACCTACTCGAATCTTCAATCTCAAAAACATCTTAAATTTTTAGCATTTCGTTATGTATTAAATATTTTTCGTACTGGCACAAGGTCTGCAACAACAAACCGACCGTTATGAAAATAAAATTATGTCAGCTGTCAAACTTCGGCTGACTCAGAAAAACTGAGGGTACGCAATGATATTAGATAGGAGGATATGACCGCTGTGCACCAAAATTGAGGCACTCAAATTACACCAATTGGTGTAATTAGATTGTAATTCTATAAACTGCAATTCCTTTCTATATCATACGTTCTATATAAGCTGTCACATTCACGTAAATAATATATATAATGTCATTATAATTTTATATTACGTCATATAATGTAAAGCGGAACAATTTTTAAACGCCGCGCAGTATGAACATGCGTCATCTGTAATATTAAACATAATAATAAAGCACCGATTAGACTGTGTAATAATTGAGGTACTCAAAATTTGATGTTCTAGCCGGTAGTTGCCGTCCGGAACAATCGGTCAAGTTGAACATCATGGCAGCGTTGTTATCAAACTATCAAAATTTTTTTGCGTTGCTGTTGCAGTTGAGAAAAAAGGAAAAAAGGAATCCTGGATAAAAAAATATTTAGTTGTAAGAAATAAATTTTCACATATGAATATTCTGGAGCAGTAGATTCCACGATTTCAGAAATTATATGAGAATGGGAGAATATTTCTATCCACAAACAGGGCAAACTCAACGAACTATGATTACACCCCTCCTTAGAAGGGAACTTATTTGTTATAAGGCCTTGTACATAGAAAGTAAACGCTAGTCTACGTCTAACTCTATGGTGGATTTGAATTCGAAAAAAATTTCGTTTTTGATACGTTTTTGTATCGATATATCGGATCCATATATAGGCTAAATAAATCGATATTTTATCAATAAATAAAATCAAAAATATCGATATTTTATTGACATCCCTAATCGTTAAATAATATCCACATAATATAGTAAAACAAACCGCCAAAAAAGAAAAGAAGATAATATCATTGGCATTATGGCTTAAATCATAGAAAAAAAAAAGAAGATAAGATAAAATAAAACGGAGTGAAAATTGGCAGTAAATACAGAAGACTAAAGAATGTTAACCGTTTTTGGTGATGAGTTCATCTGTTCACTGGTATATCTGGCGGATTATTTGTTATTGAGTTGGTAAACTAAACTTGGTTACCTATTAATTATTAATTCCGTAGTGCAAGCTAATTGCAATATGTCCATTAGAATAGAGAATAATTTAAAAAATACGGACAATGCAGAGTTGTTTGAGCAAAAAGCGCATTACGTGCCCTGTAAAATAGAGGCAGACGGAGCTGCAAATGTGGGAAAATACTTTGAACAATATGTGGTTGAAAACGACGGTGGTAATAATTTTTACTTATTTTAAATTATAAATACACTCTACGGAACTTATAGCTGCGTCAACTTATAGTGTTTTCAATGCCTTCTTATATTTTTTTCGGTATACCGCTGTGTTATTACATCATTTGGTCAGTTTCATCTCATTTCTTGGCAGAGCTCACCGGCACTTTCAGAGGACACCCCCTTAATGGCGTTAAGATGATGCTGCCAGAAGGCTATAGGGCTTTGCTGGTCACTGAAGCTAAGAAACCGCTCTCTGACGACGCAGACAGAAGATTTCAGGTGATTTAACTACTCATTTTGGGTAAATTGAGTTGTCAATAAAATATTATAAGTGAAGAATTATTCTGTTCCTACATGTACATTACATGTTTTGTTACATCCCTAGGTGGCCGGAGGATTCAAGGAGTTTGTCAATTGGAACTGGGATAAGAAACCAACAAAAAATGACACTATAGTCAAAGGATTTCAGTGGATTGATATTGCAGAGGCGGTAAGTATATTGTTGGAAGGTAGGAGGGCAGTAGCACACTGTGAAGGCCTTTAAAAGGAGTAGTGCTTGCCGTGTTCTGGTACTTTCGCGTCAGCCGTTGTAGCGTGCGGAAGCTTTACCCAAATTAATAATGATTGTGTCCGTTAATTAGAATTATAATTATACTTTTATGTAGTTTGGCCTGCTGGCCAATTTATTCTTTTTTAAAAATCAATTATCATTTCTATTTCTAAGAATATATGAAGAATATATTTTCTACTGAAGAAATATAAGAGTAAATTAACTTGATGAGTAATTTGACCTGATCTAAAAATAATATCAAAAAAAATTGAGAGTAATTTTCTTTGCTTCTATTGAATGTTTATAGTCTTAAGACAATCTTAGTTTATGCTACAAGTGTACTAGTTATGTTGATTGAAAGACACATTAATTAAGTGCTAATTGGAATAGAATATCTAAATACAATTATGAATCAGAACCATTAATTGGTACCAATGAAGTTGTTAATTTTAAGTGCTGACTCATCACATGCCAATGGTTAAGAAATAATTTTAAGTGCTGACAATAACCGGCATGTTTTCTAAATAAAATATATTTGAAATTGCTTGTATGCTCGAAAGGATATAGCAATGGATGGGCCAAGCATTGATTCAAATGCGAAAACACAATGTAGATAAAAGACTGAGAGTTTCTCCGGTGTGGCAATCAGCTGTTTAGCTTAGTGGCTAAAGCGTCAGGCCGCGAATGCCGAAGACGAGGGTTCGATTCCCACAAGAAGAATTTTCTTTTTACTACAAATTTTAGTGATCATTGATGTTTAATAGTATAGATGGCACATGTCCATGCTGCGTGATGCTTAAAAATTGTTCTGCTTTACATTATATGACAAGTGTAAGTGAATGTAACAGATGATATAGAACATGTGATACAGAAAGAGATAGCAGTCTTTTTTTTATGTGAAACGTTGCCAAACGAGCATGCGGTTCACCTGTTGTTAAGTGAATGCCCATGGACATCTGCCACACCCGAGGGTTGCAGATGCGTTGACAATCTTTTGAAAATTGGGTTCCGGCTACCTCACTCACCAGACGAAACGCGAAAGTATTTGACATACTTCCAATTTACGCTGATCTTCTGTGAGGTCGTGGTACTTACCCGGACGGGCCTGCCCATTAGTGCAACAGCCGTGGCTGCTGCGTGGCCCTACCACAGTCTATGGAATTGCATTCTAATTACACCGATTGGTGTAATTCGAGTGCCTCAGTTTCGGTGCGTTAGTGTCATATCTACCCCTTATTTGTATATAATATCATTGTTGTATGATGGGCAATTTTTTTTCCCAAAGTTTGGGTGTCAATAAACAACTTATGTGTGTGCGTCTCTTACAGATACATGGGGATTGAAGAAGACGACAATATATGTTTGTACATAACTACAGTTTTTGCGTGATTGACGAATAACTCTACTATATAAGTTCACTGAGATTGTTTATGAATAATGACAATTAAAAATGTAAATAAAACAATATTTTGCACTTTGTTTAAATTTTTTCTTTCCTTTGAACTAAATAAATCAATACTTTCTCATACAACTCTTTTGCTTACAATTGCATTTCTCTATTCTCACTTATTCTGTTTTGTGGAAGTGAGCATATTAAAACGGGCACAAATATGACTACAATTGAATACATTGCCCATGAGACCCATGTAGACAGATAGATGCAAAGTTGTCATAAAATTGTCATCCTTCTGCCCTTATCCCACAAATGTGGGGTCGGTACAACGTGAATCATGTTGTAAGCGGTTTTTGGCTAGATTTTTTACGACTGCCACTTGCCACTTGCCACTTGCCTGATGTCAACCCTTGGGAAACAAATACCCAGATATGGAACAATTATCTGTGGGTCACGCAAATACTTGTCCCGTGTGGGATTCGAACCAACGAACCCCGATGCCGAAGCCAATAGCTTTGCAACGGCGCTACGGTTGTGACATTGAGAGAAAGAAATCGATTGATTATTAATATTTTTTTTAGCTTTAATTAAAAACGAATTCTCTTCTATATTAATCGAATTGGCCGGGTTTCAAGGTGGCAACGCATTTGCAACCCTCCGGGTGTTGCAAATATTTATGGGCAGCGGTTATTACTTAACATCAGGTGAACCGCCAACTCGTTTGCCACTTCTTCACATAAAAAAAAATTCAATGCCATTTAACATTTTATTTGAATCAAATCTGTTAAAAAGTTGCGAACTGATTTACACACAGATGGCTTTGTTTAAAAAATCGTTTAAAAATAAAAATAAAAATTGATATAATCGATTGCTATTATAGAAATATCGTTTAAATTATGAGAAAAATAATCGATTAACATGAAAATCGATTATTTCTTCAAATCCCTAAACGGCGCCACCGAGTAAAATTTGTCCTAAAATTTTCTTAATAAAAATTGGTAAAAGGTCTCACGATCCTGCAGATGAGTGTCTGTCGCTGGGACCTGGGCTTAATCCGTGAGTTTGTCTTGAGGAATCCCCCGTCCCGTTACAACGTGGCCCCTTGACAACGTAGTCTTCGGACCCATCGTCGGGGGTCCGCCAAATAACACTACACACTCAGTGCATCAACAAACACCATAGTTCGTCCTCGCCTTCGAGCACGGCGAAACCAACACAACGCGTACACTAGGTACACTCGCGTTAGTCGGTTGCTGGGTACGGTTCTCACCGCCCGCAGCCACCGACTAACCAAGCGCAGTCAACGGCCATCGGGGTCACGGTCCGCACCGAACCTCGATGGCCCGTAGGCGACACGCCATAGTTAACGCACGCCTGAGCACATGCGCGGCCCTACCCACTAAGGAGGGCCTCAAACCCGTGGCTTCTGGCTAGCCCACCGGTTCTGCGTTCGATGAAGCTTTAATATTCTAAGGACTGAAAGACTACCATCAGTTATACAAAGAAAGGGTTGTATTTGTATTTTCGCCCGGTTTCTGAAACACTGATCGGAGAAATTATCTTCTTAACGATGAGAACAGTCTTTTTGCACAATAGCGTGTAATGTCGGACTTAACACCATTAGGTTCTACCAGTCACGATTCAAATGTGCTGACCCCACCTAGGTATAAAATAATAAATTGGATTTTATCACCGTTCGACAATTTATTTTTATCGGAACAGTTTCTTGCGTTGTCTGTAGTATTTGGCGGCATTTGTTGTTGCTGTTGGCGTCGAGTTGAGCGAGTTGACATATATTGTTACTGTCGACGACCGCGTCACCTGAAAAATTTCGGATATATTTAAATAATCCTAGTCGCCTAGTGGTCGCAATTCGACCAGAATTAAATATATACGGTAGAGTGTGTAATGTTTAAGTTGCCCCGCTGTCTGTCTATCCCTATGTATGCTTAGATCTTTAAAACTGCGTAACGGATCTCGATGCAGTTTTTTTACTAGATAGAGGATGAATGATTCAAGAGGAAGGGTTATATGTACAATATATAATATAGTAGAGAAACATAGTAGAGTATATTTAGCATCAGCATTGCACCCGTGCGAAGCCGGGGCGGGTCGCTAGTTAATATATAAATTAATATATCGTCGTGTTGTTATGGTGATAATAGGCCATCTGTCTACCCACTTAGTATTAAAGGCGTGATTATGGCGACGAAACCCCGACGATAAGCTATTTACATTATCAATTTATAGTAGGTATAGGCAAATAATTGTTATATTTAATTATTATTATTAATATTTAAACTAAAAAATTTTTATGAAATGACTTGATCACGTCATCTATTATTGTAAAATTAACTTTAATTTAAATTTGCATGCTATTTGTAAGTGGCTATACAAATGGAACTAAAAACGACTATAATTGTACCATCATAAATTCATACCTTGTGTAATGGCAAATAAATAAATAAAATACCACGTGGTTGTGCTCCGTGGTGTTGGTGATGTTGTATATTTTCCCGCTGCCCCATGGCTGCCGGGTCGACTGCATCGGCGAGTCTGTCGGGTCTAGATGGCTTATCAGCTTATGGATGACCTCTCTGTAATAGAAATAACGTAACAGCCTATACACGGTGGCTTTTCTAAGTGTATCCATTTTTTACATAAATCTAATATATAAAATTCTCGTGTCACGGGGTTCGAACTTGAACTCCTCCGAAACGGCTCGACCGATTTTTACCAAATTTTATATGCGTATTCAGTAGGTCTGAGAATCGGCCAACATCTATTTTTCATCCCCCTAAATGTTAAGGATAGTCCAACCCCAAATTTTTTTTTTTTAGGCAAAATTTTTTGTTTTTATTTTTTTATGACACAGCATACAAAAATACATACAACCCTAAATTTTCACCCCTCTACGCAGACGTAGTCGCGGGCAGCAGCTAGTAATGTTATATAAAAAATAATAAATATTTAAAATCACTAATAAGTAATCTTTTTCCATCCATTTTTTTTTAAGAAAAACTTTGTTTTTTATTTCAATAAACGATTATACCACCGAGTCTGAACCTCCTGTGTAAATTTGGGCACTTCGCAAAAACTCTCCCTGTATATGTCCCACTGATGGGCAAAGGCCTCCCTTGTGCAGAGGGTTTCAGGGCGTAGTCAACCACGCGACCTCAATGCGGATTGGCCCTTTGCCCAGCCGTGGGATGTATAGGCCGCTACTACCGCTCTACGTTTATTTAATATCTCATCATTTGATACCGTGTAACGTGCAAAACTGTAAGCAGTTTTAAATGTTTTTAATTGTGGTAGGGCCACGCAGCAGCCTCGGCTGTTGCACGAATGGGCAACCTCGTCCGGGTAGGTACCACGACGTCACAAAAGACCGGCGTGGAGTGGAAGCATAATACTTTCGTGTTTCGTCTGGTGAGTGAGGTAGCCGGAGCCCAATTTTCAAGAGATTGTCAACGAATGGGTGTAGCAGATGTCCATGGGCGGTGGTATTTACTTAGCATCAGGTGAACCGTCTGCTCGCATGGTAACTTTTCACATAAAAAAAATGTGTATGTACTTATGTACACGCGTTAGAAGTTATACTTCTTTGGCGTAACAAGATAAAAATCTTTTCAAAAATTTTATCTTTCGCCTTTATACGTTTATGTTTGTAGAAAAAACGACACTAACAATATAAAAAAGGTATTTGATACATTGAAAGTTTTATAATAACGCATTAAGTATCTAATTAAATAAAATTTATATCACAAAAAAATTATCGTGGACACAGTTGTCGGTTCTCACGCAAACATTCGTAGATGTCCAGCTAACTTCGGGGTGTCGGTTTTTCGTGACGGTGTACAGCGCGCGCATCGTAAAAAATTACTCTCATAATTTTCCCTTTTTTTTAGTATCGGGGTGAAATCTTTGTAAGATACCCTGTCATTCTGTGACAGGGTTATGTGGGGTTTTTACCCACTAAAATCCCCTCGGTGGCCACCTTCTGTAAGTTTGGAGGGACTCCGCGATCTCCTACGGAACGCACCGGTGTCCCTTGGTACTGGGCATGAGCACGCCTCGGAGAAGGGTAAATCTTCCCCGATTCCCTCGCCATCTTGCAGCAGCTCGAGGCCACTTCGTCCTGCTGCCAATCCCTGTCCCCCTTTAGTCGCCTTTTACGACAGGCAGGAGATACCTTAGTCCTATTCTAGAGCCCGGGACTACAGAGCTGTCATCATTTTTCCCTAACGCGCCAAAAGGAGTACAACTTCAAAAACGCACCCGGCCACCTCGAAGCCGAAGTCCTTGAAACGATTCTTCTCGTCCACAGTCAGTGGGCCGTCCATCATGGAGTAGTTGTCGAGAGCGTAGACCTTCTCCTCCATGTCCGTGGTGTTTGTGCTGGGCTCGTCGTCGCGACGGTATGACGGATGGCTGAAAAGGTATCACTATAGACGGCTGGGAAACTCTTCGCAACGATCCTTTGGGATTCAGAAGGCATCTTACCGATTATAAAGAACGGTATCACTGTGACGGGCCAATACTACGCTTCCTTAGAACGCTTAAAGGAGTCTATCAAGCAAAAAAGAGGAGGAATATTGGAAAATGGCGTGCTCCTTTTGCACGACGACGCACCAGTCGAGTTGCGAATGCTGTTATCCATCTACAGTCTAGACCTAGTGATTATTATTCATTTCCAAAATTGAAGAAAGTGCTCCGCGGACAAAAATTTTGCGACGATGAAGAAAGTCAAGTCAGTGATTTCGGCCGATTTTGACACCAAAGTCAAATATTTTTATTTCGAGGGTATAAACTAACTTTGTAGATCTGAAACATGTATTAATGTCAAGGGAGAATATACTGTTGTAGGACCACGCAACAGTGTTCACTGTTGCACGAATGGGCAGGTCCGTTCGAGTAAGTACGTGACCTCACAGAAGACTGGCGTAAAGTAGAAGTGTTACACTTCTGCGTTTCATCAGGTAAGTGAGGGGACCGATTGGCGTAGTGCGCAGTGAACCTGTCTCTTGCCCCAGAGGGTGTGGGTTCGATCCCCACTACTGGAAAACTATTGTGTGATGTACTCAGTGTTTTTCCATTGTCCGTGTGTACAACACAAGTACATATGTATAATATGTATCACTACATAGTATAAAACAAAGTCGTCCCGCTGTCTATATATGCTTAGATCTTTAAAACTACGCAAAGGATCTTGATGCGGATTTTTTACTAGATAGTGTGATTCAAGAGGAAGGTTTATACAGCGTGTCGTTACCACCGCGACAATAAATGAACACACACATAGAGGATAACTTATTAAAATTGTATTAAACATTTACATTCTTTACACATCAATATTTACCGAGTTATAAAATTTTCCAAAACAAACAATTTTAGAACATCCTTACGAATAAAACTGTAACGTAAAGTTCATTTGTAAAGGTCACACATATGAATGCATTGAATGAATTTAAAAGAGACAAAACATACTGTTAGAAGAAAAGGCTTGTAATGCGACGCTGTGGATTGTATAGGATGAGAATCGTATAGGTGTTACAAATTTTGTTTCTTTTTCCTTAATTAGTTTGTTTGAAAAATATTTTTTTTTAATTATGGATTTTATTTAACGTTAATATTTTTTTATGATTATTGGCAAGTAGCGTTAGACGTATGTTCATTTATTGTCGCGATGGTAACGACACGCTGTATATTTTAAATTATTTTATAAATCTGACCTAAGTCTCTCTTAGATTAACAGTATGCCAAAAGTGACCAGAGATAAACAACCATAGATTAATATAGAACACACTGCTAGTGATGTTCGCTATTCAGTCTATGATACAGAGACAGGGGAGGGTTAGTAATAGGGTCCCGTTTACCCTTTCGGTACGGAACCCTAATGATGTAGATTTTAGCTTACCCCGGCCTCTGACCGGTTTCCCAGGACGACGCTTTTTCGTATCCTGAGCGCTTCGTCGAATTAACCCCAAATATGGCTTCTAGTCTGCTCTCCAGTTCCGCGAAGGTGAACGTCATTATATGGTGAGTTATCTCGTTCTTCTCTCTCTTTATATCCTCCATCTGGCGACAACGGTAGATTTTATAACGTACCCAGTGCCGGATTAAGCTGGCGCGGGGCCCGTAGCAGACTCTTTCAAGAAGACCTTGACCTGCAATGGGTTCTTAAAAATTACCGCGTGCTCAGCGCTTTAGGAAGGCCATTAGGATGACTGCACATTTTCGAACTAATGACAAAAATAGGAAATATTTTCAAGATATGTGAAGTCTGCCGCTCCGCGGCGTGGTCGCGGAGTGGGCTATACCCTAATACCATTTGTACAGAGGACATGTAGTGTGCGATCCATACAGGCTTCTACTTTACTATTCATTTCATTGTCATCATCATTTCAGCCTGTTTGAGTCCACTGCAGAACATAGGCCTCCACCACAGACCGCCACGGATCGTGCGTCGTGGCGGTCTGAGCCACTTGCATCCGTCGACTTCCATTTGCACGCGTCTTCTTTTCGTTCGCTTTCACGGAAAATGATGGATAAACTAAACCATCGCGTTCGGTATGGATCCAACCGCTCACGTGGGTCTTCAGGATCTCCAGGTACTCGGGGCTGCGTCTGAAGCGTGCCAGCACCGAGTGCACGCCCTCGCCGAACAGCTTGTACGACTCGTGCTCCACGTCGTAGCGTCTGCCCCACGTCGGCGCCGAGAAGCCCAGCGCTGGAGCGGCGGTTGGGAAGGGTAGCGAGGTCGATGAGAAATGAAAAAACCAGAGGTCACGATCAATTTATACCGTCGTGTCTTTTTGTTTTACCGATTTCTTTTTTCGATATAGACATATACAATTTCAAAATATCTTTATTTTTTTACTTGAAAAGTTGCCAAGCGTGCATGCGGCTCACCTGGTGTTAGGTGAGTACCGCCACCCATGGACATCTGCTACACCCGAGGGCTGCAGATGCGTTGACAACTTTTTGGAAATTGGGCTCCGGCTACCTCACTCACCAGACGAAACGCGAAAGTATTGTACTTCCACTTCACGAAGATCTTCTGCGAGGTCGTGGTACTTACCCGGACGGCCCTGCCCATTCGTGCAACAGCCGAGGCTACTGCGTGGCCCTACCACAAACGTGCGAATAGAACAAAATATATACGGCCGAATTCAGAAACCACCTCCTTTTTTGAAGTCGATTAAAAATAGGCAAATGTGAAGATTATGTTGAGGCCCCATTATCGGCATTCTTGGGCCCACGCAACAGTCTTCGTTGTTGCACGAATGGGCAGGTCCGTCCGGGTAAGTACCACGACCTCACAGAAGACCGGCGTAAAGTGAAAGTGTTATACTTCTGTTGTGTTTCGCCTGGCGAGTGAGTTGTTTACTTATGTACACGCGTTAGAAGTTATACTTCTTTGGCGTAACAAGATAAAAATCTTCTCAAAAATTTCATCTTTCGCCTTATTTTACGTTGTAGTCAAAAACGACACTAGCAAAAGAAAAAAGGTATTGAATACATTGAAAGTTTTATTATAACGCATTATCTAGTTAAATAAAGTCTATTTAAACATTACAAAATAAATATCGTGAATACAGTTTGTCAGTTCTCACGCAAACATACAGACGTAAATGTCTAGCTCACGAAAAACCGACACCCTGAATGTCGCCTTTTCGTGACGGTGTGCGCGCGCATAATTTTTGCCAAACGCGCCAAAAGAAAACATAAATATCTACCTCATATTTGATCTATTACAGATCAAGGTTTTACAGTGGTAAGGCCACGCAGCAGTCTCGGTTGTTGCACGAATGGGCAGGCTCGTCCGGGTAAATACCACGACCTCACAGAAGACCGGCGTAAAGTGAAAGTGTTATATTTCGCTGGCGAGTGAGTTGTTTACTTATGTACACGCATTAGAAGTTATACTTCTTTGGCGTAACAAGATAAAAATCTTCTCAAAAATTTCATCTTTCGCCTTATTTTACGTTGTAGTCAAAAACGACACTAGCAAAAGAAAAAAGGTATTGAATACATTGAAAGTTTTTTTATTATAACGCATTATCTAGTTAAATAAAGTCTATTTAAACATTACAAAATAAATATCGTGAATACAGTTTGTCAGTTCTCACGCAAACATACAGACGTAGATGTCTAGCTCACGAAAAACCGACACCCTGAATGTCGCCTTTTCGTGACGGTGTGCCATCGCGCCAAAAGAAAACATAAAAACCTCATATTTGATCTATCAGATCATTTTTTACAGCCAAAGGCCAAAAGTCTCGGTTGTTGCACGAATGGGCAGGCTCGTCCGGGTAAATACCACGACCTCACAGAAGACCGGCGTAAAGTGGAAGTATAATATTTTCGCGTTTTGTCTGATGAGTGAGGTGGCCGGAGCCCAATTTTCAATATGTTATCAACGAATCCGCAACCCTCGGGTGTAGCAGATGCTCATGGGCAGCGGTATTCACTTAACATCAGGTGAACCGTCTGCTCGTTTGGCAACCTTTCACATAAAAAAGTCATAATTTCCTCAATCGATCCAAATACATCTAATAACCTAAAACCACTTACCGATTTCGAGCCATATAAACTGGTAAACAAGCATTCCGTCGCCGTTTCGACAAAAACTAAATTTAACTTACCTCGTAAACTCCGGTTTGCTCGCGAATAATTTGCACAGCAATAATCGGTGTGGAAACATTTATTTTATTTTTGTAAATTTTTGTTCCTTGTTTTTATTATTTTACTAGCTGCTTCGACTACGTCTGCGTAGAATAGGCTGAAGGCGTAACATTCAGAAAGAAAGAAAGATATACCTAAATAAGATATGTATAAGCTATATTATTAAAAGTTTCATTAAAATTCATTAAGTAGTTTTCGCGTGAAGTCGTAACAAACATCCATACATACAAACTATCGCGTTTATAATATTAGTAAGGATATCGCGTTTATAATTTATAAGGATAATATATCGATATCTAATATATAATAGATAAAGGAAGTAAGGACTATCGTCCCGCAGTTTTTGAAATTCGTACCCCTCCGGAATGAAATAAGCAAATGTGAAGATTTTGTTGTGGCCCTACTGTCGGAATTCCTGGGGGCACGCAACAGTCTTCGGTGTTGCACAAATGGGCAGATCTGTCCGGGTAAGTACCACGACCTCACAGAAGACCGGCATGAAGTGAAGGGTTAAACTTCTGTTCTGCGTTTCGCCGAGTGAGGTAACGCAACTGCAACCTTACGGGTGTAGCAAATGTCCATAGGCGGCGGTTATCACTTCACACCAGGTGAACAGCCAGCTCGCTTGTCAGCTTTTCACATAAAAAAGATTCTCATGAGAGGTTCACCCGATGTTAAATGAATACCGCCGCTTATGGACATCACAACACTTGATGGCTTACAGATGCGTTGACAAACTTCACCAATATGGGTGCCGGCTACCTCACTCACCGGACGAAACGCGAACTTGATACTACCACTTTACTCCGGTCTTTTGTAAGACTACCCTGGACAAGTTTGCCAATTCGTGCATCAAACGCAGGTATAGCAATAGCTTCTAGCTATGGCTATTACTGCGTTTTATAAAGATAATAGACGGACACTTCAGCATAACACGCGAATATTATTAGCAAACTGACAGACGTTTCGAACTATTTATATTTACATGTTATCTTTCAATTCGATATCAATAAATAATACGTGTATATCGTTACATTTCAAACAACATGCGTTTGCCATTTACATTTTAAGCGTTTGTGTTTTTACATAACAGCGAAAACGCAACTATGGGGATCAATTTTCTTGAATAACTGGAGACGACCATTGGCAATTGTCAATTTTACACCGTTGTCAATTGACTTCAATGATATTGCATACAAATGCGAGGTAGATTTGACACTGTTGCACCGAAAACAAATTACGTCAATTGGTGTAATTAGATTGCAATTCTATATACCGCTATCCTTTTCTGTATCAAACTGTTTCTATATCATCTGTCACATTCACTTACATATGTCATATAATGTAAAGCGGAATAATTTATAAACGGCGCGCGCTATGGGCATGCGTCATCTATTTTGTTAAACATCACTGGTTTAGGTTCCCGATTCGCAGCCTCACACGATATCCGGTGTACCAGCTTTTGATTAGCTTCATTGGACAGGTTCAACTATCAAAGCGCAACAGCGAAGATAACTAAAAACTCTTCTACTTTCTTTAATAAATGGCTTCCCTTAAAAGAATCCTGCCAATATCACGTCAGTAACCAAAAAACTCATTGATTACGTTATTATTGTAAACGTATTGATTACATTCTCTTTGATTGTCAATGTCAAAAAGACGTATCGATCGATCACGATTGATAAACGAATATACATACTGTTAAATTAATATAGGTAGATACGCGCAAATATGGATCGCGTATTTATGAATATCCGTATTTTTAAACAAGAAATGTACACAACACAATGTGGTACTTTTTTATTAATGTCACTTTAGTTCAATATCATCCCGCTTATCATCGTATATTTAACAAACTGTAAGTAGACTTAATGAAACAACACCATTTTGTGTAGGCGGAGCCACGCCATTTTAGAGAAACATTTTACTTCTGACCACGTGACCTAATCTGACATCCTCCTTCCTATATTCTTTTATCACTGACGCATCGTAGAGATTGTCAACAGAGATTATTAAAATCTCAGATCGACTGTGCCCGGTTTCTATTGAACTTTTGTAGCCAGTTTCTTTATTCGTTACTTCTTTAATTGTTACTTACGAAAGTGCTTTTCTGAACGCCACTTAAGGTAAGCTACGTTTAAACTTAGGTTAACCTAACTGACCAATGAGTGCCGTTTATTGGTTCCATAGGTTTATTTGACGTTTTATTTCTTAAGAACTACAAGTTTTAGTCAATTGGTGTTATTATTAAAATATATAACCGGCGAATCCTAAGTATTAAAATCGTTCAAAGGGCAAAAAGGTTTGAGAAAATATTTTAATTTCAAATAATTATCGAATTTAAAGCACCCGATGATTATTAAAATAATAAAAACTTTAATGCTTTTATCGTTCAGTTTGTTTTATTTTAAATCAATTTGTTGACCGCTAAAATGAATACCAGGCAGTTTGCTTTCAGATTTTTATAATGGATTTTATTTTATCCTTTGCGTTAACAGTTTCATCGAACCTTCTAGAGTAATTCTATTTGTCTTCCTCATAGACGCTGCGTTTTCCAAGCGGTATCGACGTCCTACCGTTCCCGTATGCGCCCCGGCCGTAGCTTTTTGCTTTTGGCCTGCTCCGTTTCGGTTTCACGTTTCTCCATCTCTCGACGCTTCTGGAAGCTTCCAATACTTTCTCGTTCACCGTCAGCTTCTTCTCCGTCTCGCCGGACACGTCGCTGACGACGAAAACCTTGTTGGGTTCCGGCGATTTTCCGATGGCGCCTTTGGGCGATTGCGGCCGGGGCTTCGGCCGTGTGTCCCATCTCTGGGAGTCGAACCGCTCGTGGCTGACCTCCACCTGTCCCCAGGAGAGCTTCGTCTCCTTGTAGCCTTTCAACAATTCGTTGGACTTCGTCAGATCGCGAGCACCGCGCTCTTTCCTCTTCTGCGTGGAGCCCCGGTGACCGCTGCGCTTGAATATGACGAAGCTCTCTTCGTTTGTCGGCACCGCTTGCGGTTTGCCCGCTACCAACTTGTATGGAGATCTGTCCTGATTGTGACGAACATTCAGCTTACCTCTAGACGATGCTGCGAATTGAATGTGATGAGTTAAGTGAGAAGGTGGCGCGCAAACAACTGGTTCACCCCACTTCTGACATTATTATCAGTGAATATAGTCAGCACTCTCCTTTCGGTAATGAAAGTTATCTTTAAAATCAAAACAACTGGTTTAGATTTTTTTTATGTGAAGAGCTGGCGGTTCACCTGATGTTAAGTGATATCCGCCGCCCGTGGACATATGCAACCATTAACCTAAAACAGTATTTTACACAACGTTATATGGTCTTTTGTAGAACTAGTTTTTGTCACTTGAGGGTACTGCCTTGGACGAGCATGCTCGTTCGTACAACAGCGAACCTAGCGTCCTTTTCCACAGCAGGTATCTCTAAATATACTGTAAACTCAACGGAAGCATTGTGTCGAAACAAGTTATCTCTGATGATATTTAATATTAAAATGTTCGGTGACATTTTAATAATGTCAAAATAAAATATTGACATTATTAACGAAATAATTAAACGGCTGAACTCACGTACAATCGTTGTATGTACAGACTAGTTTAGGACCTATCGCAGGTCCTTCATTAATGCGAGATGGGGCACCACCGCGAACTTATCCCACCCAAATTGATAAAGACCTCCGATAGGTCCAACATTCAGGGCGGGATTTTGGGGGAGGGCATGCAGGGCAACAGCCCCGGGGCCCCCACAATAGAGACTTTTCCTTTCATATTTTTTTCGCGTTTCACCTTTACCTACAGTACTTTGTACAACCATGATTGCATTAAATATTAACAGAAATCAATGGGAAATATTTTAATCCAAGGGGCCTCCACTCCTTTGTTGCCCCTAGGCCTCCAGACCTCTAAATTAGGCCCTGCAGACACTAGTCGGCGCATACACCGATAGGACGCGAGTTCAGCCGTTTTCTTATTTCGATATTTAACATGTCAAAACATCTATTTAAAATGTCTTTATAAATTTACAAGTTTGATGGCTCCGTGGCGCAGTTGCCAAGGTATCGCCTTCGGCTTCGGGGGTCGTGGGGTCGATTCCCACACGGGACAACTATTTGTGCGACCCACAGATAGTTGTTTCGCATCTGGGTGTTTGTCCTCGTGCAATTTATGTTTGTAAAACGTCCTTGCAACACAGGATAATTTTATCCTAAAGTGAGGGTAATGTTTTAATAAAAACAGAAATAAAACAAGTAAAGAGCGAAAATAATAATGAACGTTACGACATTCTCCTCCTCTTTCTATTGTATTTTTTTTTGCCGACTTACCACGGTTTTTATTTCGAGCAGTCGCCCATCTCCTGTAATAAGATAGGTCCTCAGTACTCGTATCCAAATCGCTGGAGCTTGAAGTCGAGCGGCTGTAACAACAATATAGGGTTCTGCCGTTGCCTGGTGAGACCAAGAAGACCCCAGGCCAATGATTTGGCGGTTCTACTGGTTTCTATTCTCTTGTTTCTCTTTTTACAAAATATTGCCATTACTTTAGGATAACATTATCCTGTTTTATGAGGACATTTAACCAACATAAATTTCACGCGGACAAACGGGAAGCAACTATGTGTGAGTCACACAAATAGTTGTTCCGTGTGGGAATCGAACCCACGACCCCGTCGCCGAAGCTAAGACCTTGGCTACTGTGCCACGGAGCCATAATTTTAAGTGATAACCGCCGCCCATGGACATTAGGTTGCTAATGTCCATGGGCGGTGACCCGTAGGGTTGCAATACGTTGCACCTTTAAACATAGCAGTTCCTGTTGCGATGTTACACTGGTAGGGCCTCTGCTACTTCACTCAGCGGACGAAACGCAGAAGTGCAACACTTCCGCTTCACGCCGGTCTTCTGTGAGGTCGAGGTACTAACCCGGATGGACCTGCCCATTCGTGCAACAGCGAACACTGTTGCGTGGCCCTACCACAGTTAAACAGCAAACAAAACACGCTAAACAACTCAAATGGTTAATACACGTCTTTAAAGAGAAAGAGATAGGAAACATGGAAATTAGAAGAGTTGCCGTTTGTTTTTATGTAAAAAGTTGTCAAGCGAGCATACGGTTCACCTGATGTTAAGTGAATACCGCCGCCCATGGATATCTGCATCACCCGCGGGTTGCAGATGCGTTGACAACCTTTTGAAGATTGGGCTCCGGCTACCTCACTCACCAAACGAAATGCGAAAGTATTATACTTCCACTTTACGCCGGTCTTCTGTGAGGTCGTGGTACTTACCCGGACGAGCCTGCTCATTCGTGCTACAGCCGAGGCTGCTGCGTGGCTGTACCACTTTATGTTATTCAACTGATTGGAACCGCTGGGGAAGAAAGGTTCTGGAGTGGCGGCCTCGAACTGGCCATCGCAGTGTGGGACGACAGCCAACCAGATGGAGTGACGACCTGTGCAAGTGTGCGGGAAGTCGATGGATGCAGGTGGTTCAGGATCATGCTTCGTGGCGGTGTATGGGGGAGGCCTATGTTCAGCGGTGGACTCAAACAGGCTGAAATGATGATGATGATGTATTGATCGGAGCCCCTACTATTTACTGCGCAGGTCTTTCTTGAAACTGTCGAGGACTTCGGGGTTCGCGATGACGTGGACCCTCGAGCTGGCATCCTCCTCAGGGTACATCTTGAGACGGTGGTCGTAGTTCCTCTGAAGCATTTTCAGGAGCCCCTTGAGCCGGGCCACTTGGTCTTCCACTGCGCCGCTTTCCTCCAAGTCTTCTCCTAAGGGGTAATTGGAAGAGTGTAATGAATGATGACAATTGCATTGTTTATTAAATTTTAACATTTTATAATTGTTTCGGCTCTGGGTTCGGTTCACGGTTTGTACACGTGAAATTTATATATTTAAACATTCTTAAAATTCAGGATAATATTATACCATAGAAAGGGCAATTTTTGTAAAAAAAGGAAGTAAAGTAACAGCCTATAAATGTCCGACTGCTGGGCAAAGGCCTCCTCTGTACAGATTAGGGTTATAGTGCGCCATGCGGCCCCACTGCGGAATGGCGGATTTAATATATTTTCGAAACCTGTTTCTTGTTATTATTTCGAAAGGTATCCGTATCTTCCGTTGAGCACGTGATAGATCAGCACTTAAAGTTGACAATTTCATTGGTACCGGGGACCGAACTCAGGTTGCTCGAGTATATGAAATTAAAAGCTAGCGCCCGGACAATGAGCTATTTCTAAAATGATAATAAAAAGACTGGACAAGGATATAAATAAAATTATGAAAGCGCCATCCACATTCTTTATTAATGTGATTGAGAATATGCTGCCATCTATAATAAGCGGCTTAGCAGGCAGCTTCAAAGGTGTTACTTTCGTGTTACAGTGATGCGTGCGCATCTTAAAATTTCACTCTCATCATTTTTTCATATCGCGCCTAAAGAAGTATAGCTTCAATAAAAATGAAACACTACACGAAGAAGCTTGTAGAAATTGTGGAATTTACCGTAAGCCTGCAGTCCATTCGATACAACGTCGGGTTCTTTTTCTATCTGCTCTCCGTGGCGGCCGTTCAGCATCTCTATGATTCTCCTCAGCTCTTCTCTGTTTTCTCTCACACGCTCGCTCGGTCTCATACTGTTACCAGCGCTGTCTGTGGGATACCTCAGCTCGGCATAGTCGTAGCCGTGGACAGCTATTGCGTTGGCAATGGACACTGAAACGGGGAGGTTTGACGTGATGCCAGGGGCGGATTCAAAATTCAAAATATTTTTATTCATATACTTAGGCGCTTGCGCGTTCTTATGAAACGTCAAAATTTTACATAGAAATGTAAGAAGTAAGTAACCGCCGGTTCGGAGAGGAATTTTTGTTGAGAAGAAACCGGCAAGAAACTCAACAGTTCCTCTTTTGTAAAACGATTACTTTACAATATAATGGGATAGGTATATGTCCTATTTTAGCCTACGTGAGTTTCAACAGTATTAACTCCACACATTGGTGTCGTCAAGATATTCCGCAATGGTATAATACGCCTTAGCCATAAGTTCACTTTTAATTTTGCGTTTAAATTGATCAAGTGGCTGATTTCCCTATAGGCAAAGAGCGCCCGGATCTAGGATCTAGCGCCCGGATCTAGCAAAACTTGATGGGATTGTTTTTAAATCCTTTAATCTCGCGATCCTTCGCGTAGACAATGAATTAAAATAAATCAATCGACCATAATGAGTAGGTACCATAAATTTTTTTAGGTTCCTTACTCAAAGAGTAAAACGGGACCCTATAGCTAAGACTCCACTGTCTGTCTGTCTGACCGTCGGTCACCAGGCTGTATCTCAATAACCGTGATAGTTAGACAGTTGAAATTTTCGCAGATATTTAAGCGGGGCTCACGTACAACAGACGTGATTTTTTAAGCCATTTTTATAGATAATGGTACGGGAGCCTTCGTGCGCGATACCGACTACAGACAAACAGACAGCGGAGTCATAGTAATAGAGTCCCTTTTTCCCCTTCGGGTACGGAAGCCTAAACAAGAGAATATCTCCAAAGAAATAAAAACAAGATGTCTAACAATCGTCAATACTAATATTAATGTTGTATGATAACTATAAGGAAGGATGGAGGGTGTTACACAGCTGAACTACTGGGATGCTGCACCGACAAGCCTAGCTTTTAAAGAGAAAAATGATAACTGAGATAAAATTATATGCCTATTACGTACAATTATATTCACATTTTCGATAATTTATAAAAGGTAAGTTAACAATTCAAAATGACTAACCCAAAACGTAAATGCGTTCGTAGAACATAACGGTCCCCGCATCTGACGGAATTTCGTAAACGCTCTTTTGTGAATTGTGGATCGTAAACATTTAACGTCCCGTCTTATCGCTACAATAAACAGATCGAGGCCGCGAGCACAAGATTATGCCAAGGTTTAAAGGGAGACTTGAGTATTTCAGGAATCAATGCAGTATAGTAGCAACAGAACACATCTAAAATGTTTATTTGAGTACGGATGGGGTCTTTTTTAGGCTTCCGTACCCAAAGGGTAAAACGGGATCCTATCACTAAGACTCCGCTGTCTGTCTGTCTGTTCGTCTGTCACCAGGATGTATCTCATGAACCGTGATAGACAGTTGAATGAATGAATGAATTAATGAATGAATAGACGTCTTTATTGCCAGAATACGGTAGTAAATTGCGATCTTAATTATAATAATTTGGTGCAACACATTCAGCTGACTTCGGTATGTAATTGTCAATTTGATATAAAATTATTAACATTAAAATATTTAAAACAATCAATTATTCACATTGAAATATTTAAACATAATAAATTATTAAATTCCATTAAAATATTAAAATTATTATACGGATATTACATACTTTGTGAAAATATTATAAATCATTTTATAAGCTTGAAAATCGTCTTGAAATTTTCACAGATGATGTATTACTGTCGCCGCTATAATAACAAATACTAAAAAACAGAAAAAAAAATATTCGCTAGACGCTCCCATACAATAGACTTTTTTGCCGTTTTTATTGATAATCGTAACCCTTCGTGCGCGAAACCGACTCGCACTTGGCCGGTTTTATAGAAAGACTCGTATTCGCCCGACATCCATTCGGGTACCAGCTTATATCAGTATGATACAAAATATTAAAGTGAGGCTTGTTATTCCTAGAGTAAAATTTTTACGATGCGCGCGCACGCAGACAGCCAAAAAGCGACTTGATAAAGTAAATTGCAAAGCGACTGCTTTCACAACTTTATCAACTCCACTTTTTTCGTGTGTGAAAAGTTGCCAAGCCAGCAGGCGGTTCACCTGATGTTAAGTGAATACCGCCGCCCATGGACGCTGCTACACCCGAGGGTTGCAGATGCGTTGACAAACTTTTGAAAATTGTGTTCCTGCTACCTCACTCACCAGACGAAACGCGAAAGTATTATACTTCCACTTCACGCCGGTCTTCTGTGAGGTCGTGGTACCTACCCGAACGGAACTGCACATTCGTGCAACAGCCAAGGTTGCAGCGTCACCCTACCACTGTTTCGGTCTAACCATGAAAACGAATAACAACTTTCTGAAATTATCCTATAATTCCAAGTTATTTAATGAAACCGTTATCAATTGCATTTAATCCCTTTTTCACAAACAAACAAAGCTCAGGGGATAAAGTTTTTAGCTATTTTTCTTTTGTTACGTCAAAGAAGTATAACTTCTTACTTGCGTACACAATATCACACATACTTTTTTTATTAATCTCTTTCTCATAGCAGCGATGACATACAAATCGTCGCATAGTACAGTGACCAAACACGAATGCTAATATATACCTATGTGTAAATAAGTTGTACCTATTTATCGATAGAACGTATTATATTTTGAAGAATTGCAACACTGTACTTCGCTGTCTTTCATTTAAACAAATTGTCAATAGATGGCGTTATCATACATTATTCATAAGACAATTTTAAACTACATTTTTATAATGAAAACATTAACATTATTCTAATCTTCCATTTTTCGTTTGAATGACATTTGATGAATAATTATGAAAGTTATGGCATACCGACAAGGAAGACGCTTGAGAAATAAAATACATCATCATCATCATTGTCATTTCAGCATGTACGCACAAGTCATCACAAGTATGAATACTCCTTTTCTTAGCCGGCTGAAGTGATGTAGTTATGCGGAGCTATCTGTTATTCAAACAGGACACGAAAGGTTACATTAAACGCATGATTTGGTTGCCCCGCGGTGTGACAGCCATTACGCAATTGCTTAGGTTTGGGGCGGTTCAAACCCTCCCCCGCAAAATGACGAAAATCTTACAATTGTTAGAATTTAATTAAAGTCTTTTGGATGTACATTTAAACTTATTTATTTAATTCCACTTATTATTATACAATACAATGGTTACATCAATTCCACAAATCCACAATATCTAATCTTACAACAATAAATCATTAACCTCCATTTTTCTTTCTAAACAAAAGTGTCCTCTAACTCTACTGTCTGCTAGGGTTGCCAGATGTTGGATTTATTTCTTTAAGTCTTGACATAATTTCATGTTTATCAATATGAAATGATTAATAAAAGGATATAATATTTATTTTAGGAATTAGCTTAATTTAATTGTATACAATATTCAAGTGCATATTTATAAGTACTTTTACACAATGATTTGTAATTTGAAAAATGCATTAATTATGCAATTTTCAAATTAGATTGCTATTTTCTCACACAAGTGAACGGATTTTAACAAAAAAAAAATAAGAATCGAAATATGTGTATTTTTTTAAATGTCATTTAGTTTTATTTATTTGTAATGTGCGTAAATTATTTTTTATTTTCTCTTCTTGCAAACGCCCGATATCAAAATCTGGTTACGCCCGCGTACGCAGCGAAATAGTTTATTCCAAACCCGAAATAAAGGCCCAAGGACTTCTTCTACGCACAAAATATATCATTATTTTTTATTTTATTTTTATTGATTAGGAAAACAAACAGCACTTACATAAAATAAATAGTACAAAATACACACTGATATGTGGGCCAATAAAGTTTTCACCACTAGCTATTATACACTTACCATCAGAAGTATACAATTATAACACAATTATAATATCTTATTTTAACAGCATTTACATTTAAAAAAGAAAAATGTTAAAGATAAGAAAAAAAGATACAAATACAAAACTAAAAACCTAAATTATTTGAAAAACAACATTTACAGATTATATATTTATTTCCATTTATTTCGAGTGTTTTTCCATTATATACGAGTGTTTGTCGAATTTTAAGCTGATCAAACATTTGAACAAGCATTGCGTTGGACAGTAAATTTTAAAATATAAATTCGCCAACGGCTGTGTCAATTGGACGATTTTGGCGCAGATGAGCAATTTAATTTATGGCTGTATGGCTATAAGGCCACCAGAAGAAAAGAGGTGCTATATAATATATAACAATAAAACATGCCTTGGGTCCAAAATACAATTTACGTTGTTTATTGTATTTATAGACCAGGGCTGAAGCCTTTAATAATGGTAAAAAGTGAAAAAAAAAAATAACATTAGGATGAAACTCATTGGAAAAGGAAGGGAATATGATAAAAATTTAAGGAAAAATAAATTACGGGTGATCTGAGTTCTGGAAGTTGGGGTGGGGTGAGTTTTTAAGGGTAAAAACGGTTTATCTCGATTTCCAGCAAAATTACAAGGCCTATGGAAAAAGTTGTAGGTAATAAAAAGGTCTACCTACAACTTTCGTATTTACACTTTTTTCACATAACCTCAAAATTTATGTGAAAAATTCAAATAACCAAGTTTTTGCTTTGCGTTTTTTTTTTTCATGAATTTGGTGAAAACTTTCCTTTTTATGTCCCAAATACACTGTAATTTATTTGATTTGAAATTTTTATTTTTTCACCTTATTTTGACTCAATATCGAAAAAGCACCCTAATTTTCAATCGAAAATTCTCGCGTCAAAATATCGGCTTTTTTAAAATAGTCGGTGGGCTATTTGTTCGCTGAAATCTCATATGGTATAAAAAATATTCGCTACTACGGTAAATGTTCTCAGAAAATGCAAACATGAAGAACGTAATCATTCTTAAGTATCTACATTCAATTGTACAATTTATTGTGTCTTTACAATAGCGACAATAAATGAACACACATATAAAGGATAACTTTTTAAAATTGCATTAAACATTTACTTTCTTTAAACATCGATATTTACAGAGTTATAAAATTTTCCAAAACGACGAATTTTATCTTGTATCTTGTATTAACTGATGTTTTTGCTTTCAGTCCCGAGACTATTAAAGCTTCATCTGACGCAGAACCGGTGGGCTAGCCAGAATCCACGGGTTTGGGCCCTCCGCTGTGGGTAGGGCCACGCAAGTGCTCATGCGTGCGTTTAACTATGGTGTGTCATCTAAGGGCCATCGAGGTCGTGGTTCGGACCGAAACCCCGATGGCCGTCGACTGTGCAATTAGCTAATCGGTGGCTGGGGGCGGTGAGAACCGCCCCGGAACGCGGGTGTACCTTGTGTAACGAATTTTAGAACAACCTTACGTACAAAACTGTAACGTAAAGTTCATTTGTAAAGGTCAGCAAGCATATGAATGGGTTGAATGAATTTAAAAGAGACAAAACATACTGTTAGAAGGAGAGGCTTGTAATGCGACGCTGTGGCAACGACTGAAAAAGTCTCTGAATGTATGAATCAGTCAGTTGTGGTTGTATAGGACGTTACAAATTTTGTTTCTTTTTTACTTAATTAGTTTGTTTGAAAGGTATTTTTTTAAATATGGATTTTTTTAACGTTAATATTTTTTTATGATTATTGGCAAGTAGCGTTAGACGTATGTTCATTTATTGCCGCGATGGTAACGGCACGCTGTATATTATGAGATTTTCTAAGACTTAATTAGAATTTAATAAATCAACTTTTTCACAAAAAAAATTGCAGCAGTCACATTTTTGCAATGCAATTGTACCCAATGCTAAAAATAATTTTTAAATAAATTTTAATGGATATTAGTGAACTTTTATGTCATTTTCGTATTAATACAGTACAATCGTCTGCGAAAAGTATCATCAGTTGTTCAGTTTTTTTTAATGTGAAAAGTTGCCAAGCGAGCAGGCGGTTCACCCGAGGATTGCAGATGCGTTGACAACGAAACAATCCATGTAAGAACAAACTATTTGCAAACAATCCATTTGGAGGCAATCCAGTTCGAAACAATCATGTTGAAACAATCTAGTTGCAATCGGTCCATTTGGAAACAATCCATGTGGGAACAATTTAGTTGCAAACAATCCATTTGGAGACAATCCAGTTCGAAAC